CAGGTCCCCCCTCCCGAGCCCCCCCGTAGCGCCCCCGAGCCGCGCGTCGTCGTGTCGGCGGACCCTCCGGAGGCGGAGCCGCTGATGGTGCCCCTCCCCCCGGTGCTGCTCAAGGGCACAGCGGCCAGCCTGCGGCGCGACCTCATGGCGCCCACGGAGGCCAACATCCGTGCGCGCGTCGTGCAGCTCATGCGGCCGCAGTCGGTCATGGCGGGGGGCACGGAGGTGAAGCAGTGGTTTGTGCCGGACGGCGTGTGGGAGGCGGCCGTGAAGGCGGCCATTGCGGAGGGCGCGCTGGTGCCCAGCACGCTGGCGAGCCGCGAGGTGCTGCTGCCGCAGGGGATGCCCAGCTGGCGCTTTGTGGACCCGCACTACACCATGACCTACCCCGCGCAGCAGTGGGCCGCGCTCGAGGACTGCCTGCGCACCGCCAAGGGGCGCGCCGTCATCGAGGGGTCGTACACCAGGTCAGGAAACGTGGGAGGGCGGGGTAGTGTGCGAAGACGGTTGCTTGTCGATTTCTCATGTTTTGGATTACTGTTGCATATGTGGCCATGGCGTCGGGGCTTATCCAAGCAGCAAGCTTGGATCCTTGTTGGGGTCTCTACAAGTTTCCAAGTCACGAAAGGAGTGCAGCGCAATTGCAAAGTTTGCATTACGGAAGCTCCTGAGTTTCGTGCCAGCCCCCTGTCATCAACCACATCGGACGTAGAGGGCTTCAAAACATGAGTGCCTCTACCTTGTCTACTTGTCCACTTACTTTTAAAGCAAAAGTGATACAAACATATACTCAATCAAAGAGCAGATAGGTGACAATGAAGATTCGTATTTCGGTCCTGCCACTGTAAACGCACTCCCTCTTGGGGGTGTGACGTGTCTGCTTGGACGCACACGATCCAGTCCTGACCCCGCTGCTACTTGTGTTTTGGCAGGTATGCGGCTGCCCGTGGCATGCTGCAGGCAGGTGGGCCGGCGCTCAAGGAGCTGGCGCTGGGCCAGATGATCAACATGCTGCAGGCCGCTGTCAAGAAGGGCTGGATCCTGCCCGGGCCTAGCTGGCGCCCGGCGCGCGTCACTCTCACCCCAGCTCCCGCGCCCCAGCAGGTGAGCAGCAGTCTCGCAGCACGCGACATAAGGCATACCACGACTGCTTGGTTGACAAAGCAATGATAGCCTACCCTGAAGTGCGCAAGGGGATACAGCTACTGCTGGGAAGCAGTCAGGTTCTTCTTACAATTGCCCCTCCGTTTTTCCTTCGTTCGCCTCTTCCAGTAATCGTCGTCGTGCCTTATTTTGCTTCATTGTCGGTCAGTCATATCGTGGTGCGCCTGTTGCATACTCCCGTTGCCTAATTTCCAACCTCTGTCAGCGGCATCCCGTGGGCCGTTTCGACCGGTTGCGAGTTGTACTCTGAAGATACAAAAGGGTTTGACTTGCAGGGTGTGCTTCCTTCTCCTTCCAGTGGATCTTCGGACGCGGCCCCTTCTAGCTTCAAGTCCCCCTCGGCCGCCAAGGCCGCTTCTTCGACTGCTGCTGCCGCTGCTGGTGCCAAGAAGAAGGAGTACCCGCCGTGGCTGGTCAAGCTGCGCCAGTGGCTCCCGCTCTTCTTGCAGCAGATCGGCGCCAAGGGTTTCAAGCTCGCCGCGCTCAAGGGCACCTTCAGGAACGCTTCCGGTGAGGGCAACGGCGACTAGCAAACTCTCAAAAGCGCAATCGGCATGCAGCAGCAGATCCCGGTTGCTGATTGCGGATGTGTGGAGCTCTGTGAAGATCGCTGTTGCTGCTTCGAGTTCAATTGCGCTCAAGCCGCTGCTGGAAGTCGGTTCTTTGCTGCATATTTGCGTAGTTTGAGCGTTAGACTCCTCAATTGCAGTCGTCTGTTGAGGCGGAAGTGCGGTCTTTTAGGGCGTTAAGCCTGGTGGGTTCTGAGGCTTTGAGCCTGATGCGTGCAGGGATTGACATCAGCGAGGCCGATCTGAAGGAGGCGGGCTTCCTCAAGTTCAGCCAAATGCTGGCTGCCATGCCCGACGTCTGCACCCTGCATACCGTCATCGTGAGCAAGCCACTCTCAAGCTGCATCTGCACATTTGCGGCTCTGCGGACAAGCTTTGGCTGCATATCTTCAGTGCAGATGATAAGCTTGCAAGTGCGTGATTGGTGATGTTATGTGTGTTCGCTCAAGAGTGCATAGCAGCTTAGAACAACTGTGCATCACAGGTCTGCCCTCGTACTGGTACTCGACCCAAGCAACGTCCTTCTTTTGTAAGCCACTGACCCTCCGCCCCCACTTTCGTTCCGCAGTACCACGGCACCAACACGGACTACGTGCTGTACCCCCCCGGATGGACACCCCCCCCCAAGGGCGCTTCCACGGAGGCCCTTTCTACCCCCCCAACAGCAGCCGCGGTGCGGTCTGCTAGTCCCGGTGTCCCTGTGGCGACCTTCTTCCCGAAAGAAGTGGACAAGGGCGCCGCAGAGGGCGCCAAAGCGGCGCCGGCAGTGGACCGGGAGACGGTGAAGCGCGACATGGCACAGCTGCTGGCGGAGCTGTTGCCGAAGTACCCTGACGGTGTCAATGCAGGGTGAGTAATGTGACACTGGCTTTCGATTGAACCGTCGAGGGGCGCACAGGTTATGCCAGGGTGATGCGCTACAGGTGATCGACTTTTTTTGTTTGGAAGGGCCGCTTTTCTGCTGACGTGGCTTGTGTGCAGTTCTGTGACGCCTGTTTGAATCGAGGGCTATTTTAATGGAGGGCTGCTGTTGACGTACTCGGTGCAATCGGGGGTATTTTGAAACATGTCACGCTCTGCTGATTTTTGACAATCTGCTTGTTGTTTGCCAATCCGTCAGGAAAGATGCCCGGGTGTCTTGCTGCGCAGACGGTTACTTGAGGCAGTGTCGTATTCAGCCTCATCTTAATGCCCGGGTGTCTTGCTGCGCAGGGGCATCAAGATCCTGTATGCGAACCGGTTCGGGTACCAGCTGGACCACGAGGCGGTGGGGTACCCCAAGCTGCGCGACCTGCTGCAGGCGCTGCCAAGCAGCTGCCGCCTCACGTTCCACCCCTACATCATGATCCACGCGCGCACCGCCACGCCCGCCAAGGACTCCCTCCCGCAAGATGGCAAGCCGGACAGGAAGGTCTGGAGCCCTGTCAAGAAGAGCGCAACGACGCGGGCGGCAGCGGTTGAGGGGCATACTCTGGGGGTCAAGCCTGCGGTGGCCGCTGAGAATAGAGATAAGGATGGGGACGCAAGCGAGGGGGAGGACGGGGAAACGGTGGGGCCCATTGGCTGCTTGTCGCTGCTGCCCGGAGCAGAGCTGAGTCTGCCCGAGGCAAGCACCATTCAGACGGAATTGGCCCGCAAAGCACCTGGGGAGGACCCGTCTTCGGAAGTGGTGCAAACCGAGGCGCAAGTCCCTGTGTCAGCTGAGGTTTTGGAAACGACTACCCCTCCTGCGGAGCAGCCGTCTGCAACTTTGGGGATGGCGCACGAGAAGGTGGATTTGAGCAAAGCTGCTGCAGACCTGATGCACGCAGTCGGTGCAACAATAGAAACAGCTGGCCATGCGAAAGCGGTCGAGTCCCACAGCCTTTCGGTAGGGACGTACGGGCAGCAGAGCCCCGAGGTGGCTATTCCTGTCGGGTTAGCGGTGGGGGCGACTCCCGAGCCCACCAAGGCGCTCAACTGGTCGCCGGACAGCCTGGCCACGCCCGTGGCCGCCACCCCCGACCGCAAGCTGGTGCTGCCGCACGAGGCGACGGCGTATTCCGTGAAGCCGGCGGAGCTGCGCAGCCGGCTGGCCCAGGAAGTGCACGCCATCCAAGAGGAGACTGAGCCGGCCGCGGACGACTCGCCCGAGGAGTCGCCAGTCTCGGTGGACAGCGTGGCTGCGGCGCCGTCAGAGGACGCCCATTTTGAGCAGCAGAACGGGGCGAGCAGCGGGCAAAATGGCAGTGGAGCAGGCCACGTGGCAGTCTCGGAGGTAGCGAAGCTGTTGAATGTCACCGGCGTGTCGGATGAGAGCGCGTCAGCTGATGGGGGCTCTGATGCGGACAGTGGGTCCGCAGCAGTGAGCTCTCTGCAGTGAACTACTTTTGACTTCTGAGCTCGCATTGGGGGTGGGAGGAGGTGGTTTTGAGCGTTCCTGGTTGGGAAGAGGCCGTCGAGGGAAGGGCGAGAGGAACATAGAGTAGAGTCTAGCTAGATGTGCCCGTCGGTGTGTTGCGGTTATTAGCAACGCCCTTGGTCCTTTCGTCGTGCCTCGTGCAAAGACAGCGCGATTCAAGCCCCGTTTCGTTGGGCTAGCGCAGAGCGGGTAGTGAAAGACAACAACAGACGGTTTGGGAACCATAAACTTCTTCGAAGTTTCGAAGCTGTTGCCCGGTTTTGGTGACATCGGGGCGTCGACCCGGAGAATGCTTCCGCCAGCCTTGAAGGAGGAGCCGACCAGCACGTGACGTGGAGCAACGGGACCCCGGCTCTGTCCTAGGGGGTTCCCTTTGTCTGGCCGGCCTCGGCCGTGGGGTTCACTGGATTCGAGCCATGGGGACGACCCTCTTCTTTGTGCGGCAGCACATGCCCCTGCCTTCGTAGACACGCTTTCCTAGAGTATAGACTTGGAGAGGAGCCTTTAGAGCGGACTAGTAGCCAATGCTTCTGGAGGGCTTCATAGCGGCGATAGAGGAACTCTGGCATCCGCTTTGGTAGTCAGGACCTATTCGAGGGTGACTAATTGTGCCGCACTGTGAGCACAGCTTCCGGATTGGTTAGGCACAGAGTGGACCGAGCAGTGAAGCAACCTGAGTCGCTTGACAGTACTCTCTTGGGGGTCTGGCCAGGGGATTGGAGAGAATTTGTCTTGTGCTCTTGATTAGCAGCCACTTGCAAGTCCTGTCTAGTGAGCTCAAGCTACGTTCAAGGTTTTGCGGCGGAGTGGGTGGAGTGTACCCGGTGATTGTCGCTTGAGCTGATTCTGCGCAGAGGGGAGCTAAGTAGGTGTGACGTGTGAGGAAAGTCGTTATAGTTGCTAGATTATCAGGGGCATCCTGAGAGTTGCTGACTCGGTGAATGCCGTAAAAGTTATGAACTTGAAGGGAATATGGAAGGGGGCTATTGCGAGAATGAGTCGTCCGATAGTGGCAAGATCAGGTTGTTTGGGGGCAGGCAACCATGTTCATCTGTGGCGGCACGGGCCTACCAGCTAGACGAAGGGACCAGTTTTGAGGGCGTCCGTTTCATGAATCGTTCAGGATTTTAAGAACTTGGTGTTCCCGGACACTCCAAGAAGGCCACATTCTGTTCGGTCAGAAGACAATAAAGTATGTCCATAGATTGAATTTTAAATTCGTTGGAAAGTGGTCGATTGCTGGGACAGTGAATCTCCTAACAATTGACTTATCTTGCGTCGACAATAATTTGATTTGAGTTTTTGGAGGCAAGGCTCAGCGCCGCGAGTAGCTCGACCGAGTTCGAGTCAGATCTCAGTACGTTCCAGTGATTCCGAGATGCGCATACCGTCATATTAATTGGATGCGTTGGAGGGCTATCATTCTAGCCGCCATATGCAATGATATCGACCATGCATGCCAGATTATATGGCCCAGCAGCTGAGTGGCCGTTGTCGTCACTGGTCAGCAGGCTCTGCCGGGTCGCGCGTCACATGATGATGCCAACGCATGACGGATGAATTTGCATGCATGCATTGGGCTGGCGCACGTACCTAGCTAGCCGCAGCGGACGGCGCCCCTGCATGCCAGATACCGTCCCTAGATATGAGTCAACATTGCTCGGACAGGGCCTGCCAGCCTCGGGGGCCTTAGAGCATCATTATACACGGCCGACTGATCCAATCGACGTCTCTCAGCTATAGCCTGTTTGGCCGGGCCGATCGCTGCATTCCAGCGCATGTGATCGGAACTTAAGCGGTATATATATCCGAATGATTCAACGCCTGCCAGACAGGCTGCAGCGCACTGAGCTATAGGTATATGAACACTTCTTGTTTTTTCCTGCAGCATTTGTGTTGGAGGGAGCTTCGACAGATGGTACAAGTATGATTCATGCATCCGAAGGCAATCATGGTACTAAATTGTTGATAGTCAAGACTAATGTAGTTTCGTCGATCCGACACGACTCAGTTCTACACCGAGTCTCTGACTCCTTTCATCAAATTCAAAGCCTGGTACAGCACCTGCATCTAAGCAGATTGTACTGCATGAAATTCCTGCTGGCCGACAAACTCCATGGTGAAACATCCGACTCGTCACTTGAATCTTCACAAGATAAGCAACACAACTTACATTTGGTACGCGATACCTTCCACACGTCAGCCGTCCGAGCCAGTGTATAGCCGGTCAGTCCCAAGGTTCGTTTCTCTTTTGAATGCACCGGTTGCCAAGTTGATGTGCTGCTTGCGCATAACCTGTTCTTTCAGTTCTCAGCACGTTAGATGCTTGGGCCACTTACGCCTTTGACAGACTGCGATTGTAGTGGTGTCACCTTGATCCTTCCAATAAATTATTCTGCACGGAGCAACTGTTACACCTAATGATCGTCTAGAAAAGAACCATTCCCTCCTGACCGAAATCAACTGTCAGTCTCGTATCAGGGTCCCACAGATTGCAAGTGCACTTGTAACATGCCACAAGCTATGTCTCAACACATAGTGCGCTTGGCATCTTGACTTACGGCTCCAAAACAGGATCGATAAAGCCACGCCGTTCAACACAAGCGCTTGGGCAAGAAAGAGGACGGACGCTTGACCAAACACTACTCTCCATGCTAGACTCCAGGCAGGTCCAACTATTGCTGCACGGAAATGAGACAACAGGTTGGGTTACATGCTGAAGTCCTGTCCTTACATGGCAATCTATCTGAGAAGCTCGACTTTGAAGTGCCGAATCTTATCAAAGTAAGAAAAAGGGGAGCCAGATCTCCAGATCTTCCCATGTGTAAAGTTAAGGAGCCTTCATGAAATACGGAATATAGGAAGTCTGCATCCAAGACTTTCATTAGAAGCTGATCAGGCTGAGTACTCTGAGCCAAGTGTGGGTGAGAGTGGGACATAGAACAGTTCAGATATCAGGGTTGTTTGGAGCACAAAGTTCTGCTAACCTGCTAAAGTTGCGAAGAGGCGATCAAAGGAGCGCCATGTTGGGGATGCTGGGCAGAGGCTGTCAGAGAAGAGGCTGCAAATGGTGACAGCGCCAAAGAGCAGAGTGCGCATGTGGCACTGGACGTAGAGAAAGTAGTACACGGCAGGCCATAAATAGCACAAACTGCAGACACCAGAGAAAGGGGTTCACGCACAAGTAACGCCCATGATGGCAACCCATATGTCGTTGCTCCGTGAGCTTAACAGTCTGGCACAGTTTGGCGAGCACAAAAAGCTAACAGCTGGCGCTTTCTCATGCCAGTGGGAATCTGATCAGGCAGACTGCCTGTCGGGATCAGCAGGGTAACATGTCGTGCTTCCAGGGCACAAGCTTTTTGCAACAAACAAAGTATGCTTCCGAGTTGCTTTAGACGGTTGGGATCCAAGATCCACAAAACAATCGCTTGGTGTTTGCAGCTTCGTTTGCAATGGCCAAAGACTGTCACAGACAAACCTCATTGATTACGCTCATGACCCCAACAGCATTGTGAATGTCATATGTGAATCTGTCTCTGCATCAATACAACAACAGCCAGGGCAGCTTCTTCTCACCTGGAAAGTGCTACCAGGCAGGAGAACTGCACCTGGATGCCGCTAGCCGCTTCTCCTGATAAGATGAGCTGGACCTGCCGTCGGACCAGGGCCCACAAGAAGGCGCCAAAGTAGCGCCGCCGCTGAACAAGCGTGAGCCTGCTGCGAGCCTCCATCAGGGGAACTCACTGAACCAGTTCAGCCAAGCTGCAGCCTCAGCTCTGTTCTTTGCCCTTCCTTTTTGAAGATGTCATTTGCAATGCGGAGTCTGTGTCTCCTGCCATCTTAGCCCTCCGCACACCAAAGGCCGCTGTTTTGACAGTGCAATAAGGATGTGACTGAGCCGTCATTGAGCTGCCATCGGCCTCCATACTTCAGCATCATTTTGCAGAGTCCCATCTGTGGCCTACTCGTCTGCAAATGGAACGGCTCAAACACATCCTGACGAATGCAGCGCCATGCCGGGCGACGCCAGTTGACAGAACCCTAATTTCAACAGACGCCCAGCTCTAGCCTTAGGTAGGTAGATTCTTGGGTTGGGGGCGAAGGCATTTTCAAAATTCAGACCGCTCATGTTGATTTTGCACTCACTTTCGCCCCGAAGTTTCACCCCGGTCATTGTCGAATGTACCGGTAGGCTCGGTCGGGGGGGTCCTCTTAAGGATGGTGAGAACCGGAGATTCGGACGAACCCACGCAGCCTCTCTCCCCAGTGGCAAAGTTAGTGGCCGGGTGCATTCATAGTTGTGCCCGGTACGCTTTTATACCTACAAAATACGCATAAGAAACTCAAAAGACTTGCCATGGAGGATGGCCCATAATTATAATACCGTAATCGCTTTGGTGGACCTTTAACTTTAAGAGTTAGGCATTGGTCCTGGACCAGGACAAGGGCGTAGGAGCTGGAACGAGCATAGCATTTCTTCTGCTGCATGTCCGTCCTTGTTTCAAAGAACAAGTTGTTGAAGTGTATTCCTCGAGCTACAGTATTTAGCCTCCAGGTAAGAGGAGGTATTAGGCAAACAAATTTACCCAGAACATTACAGGACCAATCGTGGGTAGAGGTTATCATTACTCGCAATCACAGAGGTACTTGCGATGCCCCGCCATCAGAAAGGCTTCCGGGGGGGCGGGCGGGGAAGCCGCGGCGGAGGGCACCGAGGAAGGGGTGCTGGAGGGCTGCAGTTTGCTCCTGCGGGGCTGATGCCTGATTTTATAGTGGAAGCACAGCGTACAGGTGGGGTCTTCGACGCCTTTGCAGTGCAAATTGTTCTCTTGCAATTGGGTTTACATGCAAGGCAAAGAATGCAAGGGTTTTCGGTGGTTTTAAGCTCCATCTAACCTCCAAGATTCCAAAACGTCAATTGGACACAGTATCCTGGAAGAACAAACGTGACACATTGCTTAAGGTGTCATGCAGATCATGTCATATGGTGGCATGGCCGCTGGATTGCATGTACAGTCTTGAGGATTCTTGAAGGACTCTCTTGTTCAAATAATTTTCTTTACAATCTTTCTGATCGTGAGAGCTTTGAAGGTCATTTGCAATGCTGACCTCGAAGGATGGCATTCTGACCATCGCTCTTCCTGGCGTGGCACCTTGTTTTCTTCCCGCATCAAACACCGAATGCTGAAACCCTGCAGGTCATGAAGAAACTTACTGCTGTTGCTGGTGCCGCTTACTGGTTGCTGCTCTTTTATTGATATAACCAGTGGTGAAATTGAGTCTTTAAGCAACGTCTCGGGCTTTGAACCAAAACTCAGACGCCCTGTCTCCTTGTCTGCAGAGTCGGGTGCTCCAAGTACTCCAACTGCTGCACCTCGTGGCCGCGATTGCAGGGGGGGGCGCCGGGGCAGAGGAGGGCCAGCCTTCCAGTTGCGGGATCAGCCTGTTGCCCCCCCTGGGAAGGGGCACTTTTCTGCAGTGGGCTTTCAGTATGCCCCCCACGCACGCTCATCAGGTCAATTGCCTGATGTCGAGGGCGAAGAGCCCGACTATAAAAGCATGGGGTTCAGACCCCTTTCAGCAAACGCACCAGAGGCGGAAAGGTCTGCGGAGGGGGAGGGGTCTGATGAGGATGCTTATGCTGCGGAAGGCTACGAACCCATTGGGAAGGATCCGCTGCCTTCGGGGGACTCTGAGAAAAGCGCGCCACAGACCTGGCGACCCTCGAGTGCGAAGTGGGCGGGCTTCGTCAGCGGGGGACAGCTAGAGGAGCAAACCGAGCCCACAAGCCGCAGTCCAGCCCCCTTCACCAACTTCGCATCCTCCGGTGGGCGCGGCCTGGGCTTCACCAGTGACGTTGAGATGGAAGACGAGGGTCTTGTTGAACAAGGGGTCACCCGGCCCGAGGAAGGCGAGCACCTGCTGGATGACGAGGGTGAGGGAATGCAGGGCCTGGGGTACGAGCCGCTCGCTAGCGACACCAATAGGGGCCAGCGGGACGAGAGAGCGGCAGAGGAAGAGTCAGCCAAGGAACAGCGGAGAGGCGGTTCGCTCGTGTTCAGCGAGTCATCGGACCAGTTGGAGGAGACGGGGGCCTCCGACTCAGGGACGGAGCGTCTTCTGGACAGCAATACTGCACTCGCGTATACGCCCTTGCCGCCGTCACTGGATGCTGACCTGGATCTGAATGGTGGGGTGAGCACTGGGCTGCCTGACGGGCCCCTGTATGAGAGGGCATATGGCAGCCTCTTATTAGGCGAGGATGCGGAGGGGCGGGACGGGTTGGAGCCGCGACCTCTCACTGCGGGTAGTGCAGGGGGCATGTTAGGGCCGTCTTCTGGGCCCAAGGTCGAGGAGAAGATGGATGAATTCAGCTATTGGCAGTCGCTGCGGTCACAAAAGGGCGAGCAGCCGCAAATCCGAGGGACGAACGGGAAGCCAAACGCGCCCGCACGTGGAAGCGTGCTGGGACGAATGGTGGGGGGCAAGAAGCCGCTTAAAAGCGCGGAGCTGACGGTAGAGGAGCGGGAACAACTGAGCCAGTACGCATTGCTTGAACCTGTTCAGCATGTGTCCCTGGGGTTGACCGGGGGGGATGCTACGGTTGGGAGGAAAGCAGGGGGCCTGCCGGTCACACGGTCGAAGAAGCGGCGGATGCGGCGCAGCTTTAAGCTGGCAGTGACGGCGCGGCGCGGGAGGGGCCGGCGGAGCGAGACCGTGCTGGAAGACTTGATGGCGGGGTACAGTGAGGAGGAGGAAGAGGAGGAAGAACTAGAGGGGGGAAGAAACGAGGGCCACCTGGTGATTGGGGGGCTCAATGTGTATACCGAGGATCTGCCCCAGCACGGGAGCTGGCGGGGGCGGGGCCTGCGCAGGAAGGTGGTCCGGAAGAATGGCCAGGAGCCGGACGAGGGCTGGGAGGAAGCAGGTGAGGTTTCAAGGGGGGGGAGTCACGACAAGGCTGCCGTGTTGAGGGTTTGACGTGCTCTGCACAGCGACGTGTCCACTTATGTCTTTGCCCGGCAGCTTGATTGTCGCCTCGATCCTGGAATCCCTAGCATATCCACACGGCTAAGTTCTTTTAGATTGATATACTGCAAGATACTCGACAAATACAGCATGTAACCTCCACTTTATGATTGTGCATCTTTTTCTCACTTTCCTCATACCCGCTCTTTCGACCGCATCTCTCCTATTCCCCTTTCCGTTACACTCAACCTTCTCCTGCCACACTTCTTGGCAGACAGCGGAAGCGACGTTGGGGCTGACACTGCTGAGGACTACTTCGACAACGTGGACTCCGACGGGAGCGGCAGTCCGCGGAAGCGCGCGCGGCCCGTGCTGATTGGGGGCCAGCCGGTGGGGGAGGGCGTAGAGTACCTGCCCATGTTCGACGAGCAAGGGCGCACCATCCTGGAGAGCGGGAGCGACGAGAGCGAGGAGGAAGAGGACGACGCGTGGCTCAACCTGGCGCAGCTGCAGCACAAGATGGTGCTGCACAGCCAGGACGAGGGCGGGCAACCAGGTACGGCGGAAGGGAGGAACGGTGGGAGGGGTACCTGCATGGCTCGTTTCTCCTGGAGACACTGCTTGTCGGGAATCAAGCGAAAGCTAGGCGCAATTACAATTACAATCACGATTACTGATAGAAGACTCTGTTTGATTATCAGGAACATGCAGTTGATACAGCACGAAGTAAAATTTGCGGATTAAAGGTGGTCGCCTCGAGGTTTGACCCTTTCCAATCCGGTTGGGACTGCCTTTGGTCAGGGGTCTCACTTCAGCGTGATGCTGCATTTCGAGAAATTGGAGAGGACTTGTCGAAGCGCATTCATCAAACGTGTAAGGACGGCACTGAAAAATAAGCCGCTTCAGGCGCTTGAGAAGCCAGCGGGCTGTGCTCGGTTTGAGACCGTCCAGTATGAGTGGACCCCACTTTAGCATGACTAACGTAAGTAGTCTTTGTTTTTTGAATGCTGTGGACTGCTTTCACTCGTTTAACTAAACTGGGACAGGTTCCTGGCTACGTTTGACGAGTGCTCGACTTGTTCAGGGCATCGGAATGGAATCTCAAGGGAAAGCTTTTTTTCGGCTGGTTAAAAGCTCTGTTTTCTTCTGCTCCAGGTGACTCCGACTCGGACGCCTCCAGTAGCAGCGGCAGTGGCAGCGATGAGGACCGCCCCTGGGTGCTCGCCGAAGCCGGCAGCGCTGACAGCGACCCCGAGGTCCCGAGCGCCACTCTGAGGTCGCCGCAAATGGCCGGTACGTCCTGGCCGGGGGCAGGCCCCGTGCTGCCAGGGCGCCCCCCCACGCTGAAGCAGCGGCTGAAGGCTGCGAGGAAGAAGGAGCGGCGGGAGCAGCGAGAAGCGGATGCGCTGCTCGAGGAAGAGGAGGAACGGGCCCTCGGCCAGGAGTACCCCGTGCAGGTGAGGCCGCGCAAGTGGCCTGCTGCTGGTTTGGTCGAAGTGCAGTGCTTTCTTTGGTCATGAGCGGGTCTTGCAACTGTCAGCGACGTTTGCGAGAGCGACTTTCTGTGTATCTTTTCTGTCCTGCCCTTTGCGCTGCACCTGCTAGCTCTGCGGCAGTTATTCCGTTTCCACCTACGCCTTTTCGTTTCCAGCTACGCCGTCTTGTCAACCTGTGCTGCTCGATGTTTCATCCAAACGCTGCACCCAACTGCGCCTTGTTTCACCAGTCTTGTGTCACGGTTATCGCGTGTTGGCTGCAAGCATGCCTGACGCTCCTCCGGGGTGATTGTGCAGGGGCGGGGGGGTCGCAAGAAGGCGGACAAGAAGGGGCGGCTGGCCCCCGGAGAGAAGCAGGCACTGCGCAAGGAGGGCATTGAGAGGAAGCGCGCGCAGCGAGCCGCCGGGAAGGGCCTCGACCTGAACGCCGTCGACCAGGTGAGGTCGTCGGAGGGAATGGACGCCGGCAGTTCGAGGGATGAATAGGCGACTTTTGGCCCTTGATCGCTTCCGTTGAAAGTAAGGGAACCCTTAAAAGCAGCGGGATGTACGGCGCTGAGAGCACAAAGTGTTCGCTGGCGTATTGTCCGGTTCAATGCTTCTGCCTCACATTCCTCATTTGCCATACGAGAGCCGTAAAACTTCCATCCAGACCGTAATGAGATAGTCAAGCTCCTCACATTTCCAAGTCTTCTACGCCTCATCGCTGGATGACGAGACGGTATTGCTCCCTCTGTTTCTCGCAGGCCCTCGCCGCCCTCGTTGCGAGCGGCGGCGACATGCACGCGTTCTCTCCCATGGACCCGCGGTGCCGCAAGCTGGTGCACCAGCTGGCCGCCGTGTACGGCCTCAAGAGCGGCAGCCAGGGCAGCGGCAAGAAGCGCTTCACCGTCGTGCAGCGCACGCGCCACACTGCGCCGCCGCAAGGGGAGGCCGTGCTCAAGAGATTGCAGGTCAGTTCGCCGAGCGACCTGCTGGGAAGGTACAGGAGAACAGAACTGCGCAGGAACAAAGCAATTACTCGTGTGCAGTAGTATGCCGGTGGCGGTGGTGTTTGAGCTCTTGCCGACACGTGTCTGAGCTGTTGACTCAACCGGTTGCCCCTAAGAGCTGGTTATCAGAATGCTTCTTGACCTTGACTTTCTCTCAACGCTTGCCGTCGATCGAGGCACTCTGGGCAAAACACTGTATGCACAGAAGCTGATCAGCGGGCCCTACTTCTGTCTCAGCTGCTGCACCGGGCCACCGTGTCCACTGCCGCGGAGGAGTACATTCCGCTGCCGCAGGGCCCCGGCGGCGAGGAGCGGCGCCTGCGCTCCAAGGCGCGCCGCGCCGGCATGCAGGCGCAGCAAGGTGGAGCTGCTAGCAGCAAGAAGAAGAAGAGCCGCAAACGCGGGCAGGCCTGGCAGGACTGGGACGAGGAAGACGACACCCCCCGCCGCGGAAAACACGTCAGCGGGGGGCGCAACCAGGGGGGGGGCCGTCGCGGGCGCGGGCGGGGCCGGGGCGGCGGCGCGTCGTACGCTTCTCAGCCGATGGACTTCGTCGCGAGCGGCGTCATCCGCGCGGATGCCGTTCTGGCGGAGACGGTGGTGGCGGAGAGCGCGTCGCGCGAGCGGGTGGAGCGCGGGGGCGCGACGGTGGTGAGCGAACACTTTGGGCGGTTCGAGCAGCACACGACGGGCTTCGGGTCGCGCATGCTGGCACGTATGGGCTTCGAGCCGGGCCAGGGGCTGGGCCGCCAAGGGGAGGGCATTGCGGAGCCGGTGCAGGCCGAGGTGCGGCCGCGGGCACTGGGGCTGGGGGCGCAAGCGGACCCGGTCAAGGGGAGGAGGAAGGACCGGGCCGTCTGAGAGCGGCCGTGTGGGCAGGGGGGAAGATCCAGCTGGTAGACGTATCACGTCGTTGTGAAGCCCGTGGGCGGAGTACAAGGTATGGAGCAGCATGGACGGAGTACACTGGTATGAGAAGTTTGTTGCACGTTATACATATAGTCGCACGCGGTCTTTGCAGACTTCTTGATGCAAGGTGAGCGGTCTAAACTCCGCTAGGTTTTAGACGGAGGTGGCAGGTTCGTACGTCCCGTACGGTCTGTCTGCCAGCACAACATAGGCGAGAACATTGATCTGCTAGCCCTTGGATCTGGCAATGCACACAGTCTGATGGATGGCGACACAACGTGTTTTGGTACGTGGCCAAGCATCAGCGCGTGCATCATCATGCAATTTTTATATACAGAACCTCTCGACCTTCACTAGTCAAGAGATAGACTTAGCAAAGGCCGTTAGCGGCGGCTAAGCTAGCACATCATTACACGTACACAGACTTCGAGCCTAGCTCGCAGTGCCCACACACGGTAAATGTGACAAGGCTGGATACCAATACTCGTATATCTGAGATTATATAGAACTGATGCGTATTCCATGCGCATGTCTTGCAAATCATAGGATCTCTTTTCTAGGTTTTCATTTGCGGGCGGGCAAGTCCGATGGCGTGCAAGTAACCTAGTTGCATTTAATTGCGCGGCATGCCAGAGTGACCATGCCGCCATGCGCAGTGACCAGGGTTGGCCCGGCCGGCAACGTAACTGTCGGAGTAAGTGAATTGCATATCTATAGCTAGTGCCCTAACTCGCTGCCGCCCCGCGATATGCATGTTCAGCTCAGGCTTCTGGGCCGCGCGCGGCAGTGGACTCATGCAGGCGCGTCGCGGCCGCAGCTAGCTAGCCGGGGCGCGGCCGAGCTATGCATATGATGCACTAGCTTTGGCCGCGGGGACATATATACCAGGCTAGCATTCATGCAGTCTGATAGCTCGCCGAGCCGGTCACGCGCACGCATACCTATGGTCATGCCAGCTCATAAGCTATAAGTCGATCAGCGCCGCGCGGCCGCAATAATGGCCCATACATATGATTGAGCATGCGCGGCGGTGCGAACGTATGGTACGGTCTGCAATTCTTAGTCTTAATTGTATAGCCGGGCTTATGATCGTACGTTGAATTTGTGAACTTGGGAGGAAGCCCGGCCAGCCTCGGTTCAATAGGCCGCGCCGACATGATCTTATGTATGAGCCGTCGCCCAGCTGATCGAGCTGATTCGACGCTGCATAGCGATGCAAGCTAGCTTGCCCCTTGATAAGCTTCAGGTGTCCTCTAGCTATAAAAATCGTCATACTGGTCGCAAACTTACGCCGGGGCAGCATGGGTCGGAATGCACCATATTGAATTACGGAACTGCTCGAAGTGGTTTCAAGGCAAGACAACTCATCTGGCAATCCACCAAGATGGTCAATGTTGCAGAAGGACCATAACTTAAGCTAGGCAAAAAGAGGACGAAGTCGACCTAGCTACTCAATCAAGTTTAATCTATGAACTGTCTATGAATGTCGAACTAGCTGCAGCTTCCAACGATTATTGGCGCCGGCAGTCCTCCCATCAAGCCGTTTTCGCTGACGTCCTACTTAATACACTTGTTTGCCAGTCGGACATACGGGCGGGAGTTGCGCCCACTTTATTGTTTCGGAGTCGTCACGGTGTCGGCCGAGCAAGCATGCGGAAGAACGCCCAAAATAGTGGCACAACTCTCAGCCGAGTAGCATGATATTACAACAGGCTGCCCCTTTGACTGCGTCTGATGCTCGAAGGGAAAGCTTGGCCTATCTGGTGCGGGTCTAGCGGGGTCAGGCGCCCCGTTCTGCGGCCTACCATCTGCAACAGCTTGTACACGCGCAGGACTGCCCGCCTGGCGCGGGGGTTAGCTCGGCTCTGTGGGGTTAGCGGTGTCAGCGATGGACGTGGAGCGCAGCTACGGGAACAGCTGCACGCAGCACAGAGAGTCGATCAGGCACAGAATGAACGAGTCACGCCGCAGGCAGAAATTGCGAATGAAACCTTTATCACGGTCGAAGGAACTTCTTGTGCTAAGCCGTCAACCGTACGATGGGGCCCCCAACTGAGGAGCCTCATCTTTAAAGACGTGACCTGCGACTGCCCGTGGGTGCACCCTAGGTTGAGCAGGCGACCGCACGAAGCGAAGGCCAAAAACCACTTGCGCTGGACCGAAGCCCCTGAGTCACAGACTAGCAAGCTCCGTGCGAAGGTGCAAGCGGGTAACGGGCCAAATCGTAGAGGGGAGACCGGGAGCGAGCGCGATGTTCCTTACCGCTCTGCCCAGCCGGTCGTGATCCAGGCCCAACCCGGGTTGGAGCTCGCTGCACGCACACAGGCCAGCGTCGGGTCAGCGGAACGAGCGCAGAACAATCCGTCACGGTCTGATGCAACATCACGATAGCTCGTCTTTTGAGTATCAGGTGCGTCCCCCGAAGATTGCTCACAGAAGGAAGACGAATGATCTGAGACCATTGCAAGCAGAGAAGTCATGCAGTTACATCATTTGGAAAGAGACATCTGGCGGAAGCGCCACCTGCCTAACCAGACCACAAACGCGGTCGCAGGAATAGCAACGACCAACTAAATATAGAAGAAACTCAGACCGACCGTACCCTTCAAAAAGACCCCACGAACACGTATGCAACTTTCGCGGCGATTGAAGCTACACAATGGAGATGCGCGCATGCTTGCCAGCACAGCGTATCCGAGCACGGCACCAGTGAAAAAGCGGCTGACCTCTGCAGGTAGTACGACTCCCCGTTGTGCAGCGCGTCGAAGGTGACCCCCAGGTTGTCCGTGAGCACCTGCACCCCGCGCGAGTCGTACAGCACCATGCCCTCCCCGAAGCTGGCGCGCACGTCCAGCGGGCCCGCAGGGACGTCGTACGGCCGCCCGTTGATCATCACCTTCAACGACGTCTCTGCTGCAGGTCAAACGTCAACAAAAGATTAGATCCGGGAAAAAGCACTCCTACTGCTCTTGGAGGCAGGCCGATTATCCCTGTCGGCTTGGCTGCAACGGCCAATGGCTAAAGTTTGACGCTCCAGAACAGTTGGTCAGACATTTTGATCAAAGTGGGCAAAACGTTTTCTAAAACAATCTCGTGGCAGCCTTGAACGACGGCTTTGCTGCAGGCGGAGGTGAACAACTCTCAACTCTCTTTGATTCTGATAGAAAGTGACTGTAGTAGCACTCCCTTATTCGTGGAAGCACGGAAAGAGGGTGTCTCGTTCAGAAGTTCCGCAAGCTGCACCATCCGAGCTAAGGTGATAGATCAAGTCAGCAAGTCAAAGCTAGAATCGATCCTCAAATCAGAGTGCGCAACTTGTTAAATCTTGGGCTGTACAGTGCAGCTTTCGCCGCACTTAGGCACCGAGCATCGACACCCGTGGGCTTCCATGTTTTGCTCCCCTCACCCTGCGGCTGGCTGTACGCGCTCTCCCCTGTGAGTGCGCCATAAGGCAGGTCCAGCCCCCCCCCCATGTTGCTGCCGCCCTGACCCCCCTGGAAGAAGGACGCCCCATCCTGCGCAGCCCCCAGCAGGCCCAGCGTGTTGGCCAGGCTTTGCGCTGCACTACCCCCCCCCTGGCCAGCGTTCTCCGCTGCGGCGTAAAGGAGCATGGCTGCCGCGTCTTGGATGCTGGAGTCGGCAAAGAGCTGCGTGCGGGGGGCAGGGATGTCGTGAGCAAGGGCACCGCTGCGCCAGCCCAATGGGGTCTGCACGAGGGGGAAGAAAGGCCGTAAGGCGGGCGGCCAAATGTCAACTGTAAAAGCAGAACTATATGACGATTTGAAATCAAGAATGTAACTTCTGAGGAGTTGGTTGGAGGAGTTGGTGTGAACAGGCATACAGTGGAGTTGCAGAAAAGCCCTTGATGTGACCAAGCAACACAACTTGAGAAGTTGGCTCAGACTCGAATAAAAAGCTTGGATCTGGGGTGCCCACAGAACTTCCATCTAAACGATTAGACGTGATCCAAAGAGAAGCACACCGCGCATTCTTTTTAGAGGCAAACTTAGAATGACGTGGTCAAAGAACATCTCAATAGGTAACGGAACATGTCAATTGGCCTTTGGCAGGGGCTCATTTACCCCCAGGAGCCAGCCTTATTGCTCTGCAGTAAAGGACTCCTTTGACAAAGAAGAACAAAGACGTCGCAGAGCAGATCTGGGGAAAAAGCGTGGTTCATCAGGCTTGGATACGGAAGGACAACATAGAGATCGTCTTTGGGTCAGATCTCACTTACCAGCAGCTGCAGCAGACGAAATGGAAGTGGGGCAAGAAAAGGACAGGGAAAAGGGACAACGAAGAAAGAGGGGAAGAGAAAAGGGCAAAGCAGCAGACGCAAGCCCCCCACCTGAAGCTGCTGCGCAGGCGCGGGGCGCTGCTCAAACCCAGACGACACAACCCCCCCCTCGCTCATGCGGTCAACATCGAAGGACGACGTGATGTTGAGGCTGCCGCTCGAGTGCGCCCCGTCCTCTCGCGTCCGCTTGGGGTTCCGGTCGTCGATCCCGCTCTCCGCCTCGGTGGCCGCCACCTTGCGCTTGCTGCGCGCCTTCTTGTTCTGGAACCAGTTGTACACGTTAGACTCCGTCACTGGCCCGTGCCGACCCAGCTCCGTTACTAGTTCCTTGATGCGCGCCTTGCTCGGGGTGCCCCCCCCCAGCTCCTGAAACACTCGGTCCAGCGCCGCTTTCTGCGCCTCTGCGGGGGCCCACCGGTGCTTTCCCCCCCGGTTGATCATCGCGGATGCGTCCTGGTAGTAGGCATCCATCCCTTGTAGGGGCCCTGCCGAATTGGATATGTGGGTTAGACACAGTTTGCTGAGCAGGGCAGGAAGGGAAGTGTAGACTGAAAATCCGTGAGAGGGCTCTTCACCAAAAGAGGGCACTAGGAGGACATAACAAGCCTATGGCGATGCTGCAAAGAACACCACTAGCTCTAAGGAGGTTGAACTTTTTCTGCAGATAGAGAAATGCCAACGAATGGGGGGCAAGTGTGAAATGTTGAGTCCTGCAACAAAGATGCTGAAGGGGACTTGGCACCTGCAAGCAAGGCCAGGTTGCAGATGTGCACAATGATCTTGCACTTTGGTACAGCTTGCAACTTGGTTGTTCAAACAGGACTGTCAATTCATCAACCCAGCTCGTGTCGACTTCAAAATTGGTAACATATCATGCAGCCTCACCTTGGGTCCCGCTCATTTTCGCACGGTGCAAGGCCATCAAGTTGTCGCATATCCCGCAATACACCGCCACCTGTCGGCGCAGGGTCTCAATCTGCTCGGGCGTCATCTCCTGTCCGGGGGGGGGGCGGTTTTCCTGGCCCACGCCCTCCCCCTGCTGCCCATTTCCCCCTTTCTCCATCACCAGTGGGCTCTGCGCCGACGCGCCCTCATTCACCTCTCCCCCCCCCTCCAACGTGTGCTCTGTGACGGAGCTCTGCTGGCGCACCGCACCCTCTAGCACCCCCCGCGGGGTATCGATCCGCTGCAGCTTCTGGAGGCAACCATTCGGGTCCAGCGGACTGGGGGGGATGCTCACGGGATGGAGCCTAGCTAACGTGTCGCTCACAGCCTCCAGCGCCAGCATCTTACTGCCCGCACCATGGGGGGGGGCACCGGCGGGGGAGCATTCGGGCCAGCCCGGCCAATTGTCACTGAGATGCAAGCTGGGGCCTACTCTAAAGTACCCTCTTTTTTTGCTCAGCGGACAGCCCCCAGTCAATGCTGTGCTGAAGATGGAGGCTGCTGGTGGTATTCTCAGAGACAGCTGTTCTCAGGGCGTTTAGTAAGCCTGCATGCGACAATGAGGGCGGGTCAGTGGGGCCAAGGCAACGTGCACAGCATGAGGCACGCACCAGATCTGGTTGCCTCCTATCTTGGGACTGTCAATGGAGGGTGATTCCTTAAACCGAGATTTTGTGAATGCTGATGGGCAAAGGTGGGCAACAAGCGACGATGCAGCAACTCTTTTGAACAGGCCACCCAGCCTGTAGGGCACCTGTGCTGGGTAAGCATGGGGGTCAAAATTGGCTGATGATTGGCTGCATCACTTAAGCAAGGGGACTCGAATTAAACGGCAAAGCTCATGCAAAATGAGGTGTCTCCCCTTTTTGTCAAATCGTGGCCCTTTTACTAGCACCTTTCACCAGAATAATGGGGCAGGAGAGGGCAGGGGGTATTTGCTTGTCACATCGCGGCCGAACTCGCGAATTGTGTAGAATCCCACCAGATTGTGAAATGACCACCTGTGATCCTGCCATTACTACCAATTATTCTCTGGCATTATCCCCTCAATTGAGTTGACTGGCACTCGGGTTCCTTCAACAGCTGAATCCGAGAAGCAGATGCTTCCTGTGACCAGCAGCTGACCAAGTGTTAGGCTTCAACCCCGGAACAAGAGTGAGAGGCTCCATAATTATTAGTAAGCAGCCCGGCCAGGTAAAAGTTGTTCGACTCTGTGTTGGTAATATTCAGAAACGAGCAAGGGACGGGTTTGGCCAGCGAAGGCTCCGAAACACGTAACCGCCACAAAAGCAAATGGACCAAATGGTGCTGAAACCAAGTCAAAGTCAAGGTCACAGCAAATGTAGACAGAGATTACACTGTCCAGAGCTTGACTGCCACTGACATCAATGCACATGGCATCCAGAATCCACGAAGCCCGTGTCCACCCAAAGCGCGAAGGAAAAGCACAAGGGGCTTTTTGCTGCCACATGCTAGGGGATTGTGGGCCCAAGCAGCCCAACTGTGCAAAGAAGCGTGACTTTCCTGCTGCTTTGCCCACCTGACAAGTGCTACAGAAGTTCCTCCGTACTTTACCCGTTCCAAGAGTGCTATAGGAGCCCGCCACAAGACAGCATTTGGACAGCATTTTACCATCCTGACTAAAACCCTGCATTTGCCGTACCTCCAGTTCTGAACTGCTTGTAAGACAGCCACATGCAACGCATAGCTCCAGATTGGAAGGCGTTTCTCAGAGTTCAACAAGAAATCGGCCCTACAACAGAGAAGCTCCCAACTTTGACACTGATTTTGAAATCATGGCGGAATGGTCAACGAAGCCCACAATGGTCAAATGAAGGGGTGACGCGGGGAAGCATGTCATCATTACCTGTTCCACTTGCATTCCACCTGTGGCCACCCCGTGAAGGCCAAAACAGGCGTTGATGAGGGTGCAGTTGAACCCTCTAGCTTCGGTCGTGCAAAATCCTCTCCCTAAAACGTAATGCCGGCTGTCTTCTCTTTCATAGCTGACTGTTAGCCGACAGCTTTGGGCTTCGCTCAAAAACGCCCCAACCCTGCATCACCCTAGACAAAGCTCACACCAGCTAGCTCTCTTAGTCCTAGGCCCAGCTACTTGCAGGATCCTGTCTGCACAGCTCAGCTACGCACTGGTCACAGCTCAAAGCTCCTTCCTCGTCAAAGTGTTGGAGTCTACCCGCCAACTTGAAGTTTAGGCCACTTGCTTCCCCCCCCCACCTTTTGCCCCACTCAGCACGGTTGGCGGCGCGCCGTGTGGCATGGGCATATTGACGGAGAGAAGGCCAGGAGGCATGCAGGGTGCAGAGGAGGTTGCCGCAACAAACGATGCGCTTGACTCCTCACGAAGGTTTCATGAGTGCCGCATTCATGACTGCCGCCATGACTCGCAAGTTGCATGAGGAGCTGGGACGACGGTTGTCACGACTTCGGCATTTCCGTGCCGGATTGCTACGCACTTTCCGACAAACCAGAGATGTAAATCGGAACCTTGGTCGCCCTGACAACGACAAATTAATGCGAGCAGCGGACTCCTCGGACCGGAACAATAGTTCTGGCGGATATCGTATTATCGAATTGGCCAGTGATGTGCAAGATGTTCCGGTCACCATCAGACAAGCGAGCGGAACCCCGAGGGGCTCAGAAGAGGCGACACGAAAGGCAGGCCTCGCTTCTCCACTTTCTTCAGTGCAGTGAGCACGGGCAAGCATGCTTCCTGGTACCAAGTGGCCACAAATGCTGGATCAAACGTCGCCGTGCACAGTGCTGAGTGCACAGTGCACACTACCGTGAAACGGATGCGCGTCCGGCGGAAATGGAGCATCCCCACTATAGTCGTGGTGTTAAAAATGCCTGTATCGGAAAGGGACGGAAAGGACCTTGGGAGTTAGACCGGTGCCTACTACAGGTGCGCGGTACGCTACCCACCCTTGACCAGAACTTCTAGGTTAGGTTCGAAGCGTTCGGTCGACGACTCGGCCTGAACCAGGTATCGGTTTATGGTTTCGACGTGTCCGTATGTCTAACCCGCTTTCGAGATTTGGACTCTGGAGTACCGTACCGGATTGACACGCGCTAATACCCCAAGCTCGTTCGATCGACGGGCCCCGGGGTAGGTAGTTGGGACCAGTTCCTGACACCACTTTAGAAAAGGCAGCCCATATTTGGTAAGAAAGAGCTCATCATTTGCAGACGGTCGTGATTATAGCTAGCAAACCTGCTACCGGAGTTCGACGTTCGGAACACCGGGTGCAGGTTGTTCCTGTTGACATCGGACTCTGCCAGCTGGATTCTCTGGGCTCAATCTGCAGAGGCATGTCATCACACGTGTGATGATGGATTGTCGTCAGCCGAGCCTTAAGTATGCACGTACGGGCCATAATCGGTGCGCAAAAGCAAAGCAAAAGCAAGAAAAGCCCTGGCTCCGACCTAGCTCCGAGTCTCCGGCCAACCCACCTGGTGGCCGGAACTTAAAATTTCCAATTCCCGGGTCTGGAGTCCGGACTCCGACCGCCGAGCGCTAGCAGGCAACGGGCAAACAATTCAATGAACCCGTCGGCAAAACAGGCCATACCTAATATGGATACCGGTAGACCGCCCGTGATCGAGAATGGCGCCCGGTTGATGCCTTAATATTGGAAACGATCCAAAACAATCACCGTACATGATTGACTGCGATTGTTTGACGTCATCATACATTCAACATATTTCCAATATAATTGAGAAGATCGAGGCGGATTTATAAGCTGCACGGTAGTACCACAGGTACATACCGTGTAAGATACCAGTACTACTTTAACGGCCGTTATCCCGGTCAACCGGCCACTGTAATATTCGAGCCTCGGCTGGCCAGAGCCGGCCCAGAGGCCTCGGCGTCCGACAGGAGTCAGGACTTGCGTACGTACACGGTACAGTACCGGAACTTGGATCGAAGAAACACTGATTGTTACCAGTACCTATTTCAAAGTTCGTATTTTTGGAATTCCAATGATTTTGGGGTCAGCAATCGTACGGTCCGTATCGAAACAAGGTGACGTCAAGGATCTCAATGTACGTATGCCGTATACGACTTGGTACGTCAGGAATCAGGATCGGACCGTCGATGCAATGGCCGCGAGTGTTCGCAACGGTTGAGATATACTCTTGGGAAAAGAAGGTAAATGTATTGGATTCCGATCGACGGCTCTGAGCTTTCGAAAATGCAGCAAATCCGAATCTCGCACCGTCGGGCGCCGTATTCATTGAAGGCTACCGGTATACCTAGGACCTAGGACCTAGGACCTACATATCTAACGTAATTTTCGTCGAAGCGGCGAAAATGGAAATGGTATCCAGCCCGACCAGGCTCAGCAAGGGCCATTGATCCGATTCACCGGTACGTATGATGTATCTACAGAGGCCCAGCGAAGCTTGCATACCTGAGCATACAGTACTACCGTATGTTCAGCCTGCAACGCGGACTACGGTAATCTTAGTTAGATCGATCCGTCATGCATGCACTGGCCCGACAACTATAGTATGATGCCATGATCTGGTCGGAGAATGAATGGCTAGAGTCAAGAGTCGGACACTCGCCGTCGAGACTCGTTATAGTCATCTAGCATGAGCATGCTTCTTGCTTCAATCTGATACTTCGGCTGCTATCAATGAGAGACCGCAGCAAATCTACATGGCTCAAGCGGATTCATGGCGGCTATAGCGAGCAACGCGCTGAAGGCATAGGCTCTGCACATGCGCGTCCGAAACGTTGCTCAAACTACTAAAAAGTGGCGGAGCTTTGCACATAGCCCCCGAAAGCCAAAGACTGCTCAGGCGGTCGAGCCCAGTTGATGTATAATGGTTCACTACAACTCGGCTAAGATTTACGAAGTTCACATCGAATAAGACCTCATGCGTGCCATCCGCATCTGGACGACGTGGCATCCTTTCGATCGTTAAGTTACTGTCAGCCACTCGAAAGGCGTTTGAATCAACGAAAACAGCTTTTACGAACGACTCCGCCGTACATGAGGCGAGGGTTGACCCGTTTATATGTTGTCAAGAAGCAGCGGTGGCAGAAGCAAGGCCCCACTTTCACACGTGATCTGACGGCGAATAGCTGCGTCCACGAGCGGATTCCCAAGAGTTGCCTGCGCATGATCAAGATATGAGAGGCTTGTCAATCTGCACGAGAACCATTCTCCTATTATTTCTTGAATACGGGCAGCTAAGTTTCAGAAACCCACCCAATGATCGTATTCATAGGAACATGCAGAAAGGTGACCGCTTGGAAACCATATCATCAACGACGTGCGGGAACAGTGGCTCTTCAGCACACACGCATTGGTGGAAGCACCTCGTTGGTGTCGAGCTTATCTCCACGAGCCTCCAGCTTTTGGCCTTTTGACTTCGCACTTGCCTTGAAGGAGCAACCTCTAAGAAACGTTGCAAGCAGCGATTGGCAGCACTTGGAAAGAAGGATCAACAGGACTGTGCGATATAAAAGGCTAGCAAGCCAACGGAGTCGACGGTGGGTTACTTCCTCGGGCAGTCGTGGGGGTTAATGAAGATCAGATGCATCAGGCGAAACAGTAGGTATATTCCCGAAGTCGCAAAGTCTCGCCTTCCGGAAACGTCCAACCCGATCGGCCGCTTGTTTGTAGTCTGCGGATCAGGAGTACTTTACGGAACATTGGTACCTGCTTCCTCGAGCGACGCACTCAAAGACCAGGGGATCCGTCGGCCTTTTCATTGAGTCGTTGCTGAACCTTCACCGATGCGAGCGGGGTTGCAACGCACACAAACGCACCCCAACACAACCCATTCGCCATTCTCCGAACCCTGCATCTCAAACCAGAACCCCTCACCTGCAACGCGTCCTCCTTGAACCGCCACTGCGACGGCCACGGCCCCCCCGGCTCCGTCGTCAGCTTCCGCAGCCACGTGGCCCTCTCCCCGGGCACCGCGGGCCGTGTCACCGACTCCGCGTCCGGAAGCAGACACGTGCCCCGGAGACTTTCCCCGAGCGCCGCCACGGGATCGAACCCGGGCGCGTTCCGGTGCCAAAACAGCAGCTGCGCCAGGATGTATTCCCCGGGGTACGTTTTGGTGAAGGATACCACACAGGGCCGGGCCGCGCCGTCCGCCGACGCTCCTGCTGCCACGTGCGCACTTTCTCGCCCCGTCGACGGACCCGTGTGGGCTTCTTCCGAGTCTACCCCGTCGCTACTCGAAGCTCCAGCCGTTTTCTTTCTAAGCTCATCTGACACGCGGCTTCGAGCCGCCACCCCCGCAAAATCCTGCGCCCGCATCGTCGCCCCGTTTCCTTCCCGAGTCCCGGGTAGCCCGCTTTCCGGTGCATCCCGGTTGGTTGCGTCCCTGTCTGGATGGCGAGAAGCCGCAGCGGAAACCGAGGGTTTCGAAATGCTAGAAAATGGCTCAGCGTTTTGTGCCGCAGTGCTAAGCGGGGCACCTTCCGAAAGAACACTGTCCCCCTGCTCCGACTGCCGTAGTTCCGATCCAGTAAGCCGTCCCGAGGCCTCTGGTTGCGGCAATTGGGGAATTGGGCCAGCTTGCGAGAGGGGTGCGCCGCTGACGTCACCTACGGGGATGCTGACGGGGGCAGAGGTGACGGGATCGTAGCGGTGCGCTTGGATGAAGGTCTCGGTGCTGCAGGGGGGAGTAAGTTCAGAGTTTTAGAGAGCGGGCTGCACGATATCCCCGGCAATAGGCGCTTGGATTGGGCAAGTAAAATGGACACAACGGACGCTTCCCCCCAGTAAGAATAGGCTGGGGGTCGTCCTAGTGCCGAAGCCAAGGCGCGTGAAAGTACGGTGGAGGATCCGGTAGCAACCCGCCAAGCTACCGCATTCTCCACCTGCACAAAGTCGCGATCCCCGTCGCTTTGGGATCTAAGCACGACTACCGTCTTCTCAATAATCCCAATCATCCAGACAGTGGCCCAGCGTCGAGGTTTCTGAATCTTTCGCATGCTGCAAAAGGCCCCTTAGCGTCTGAATGCAGGGCCTTTGCCAATTACCAGACTTACATTGTGCTGTGGAACCGCCGTCCAAAAGAAGAGGGACGAAATGCGAGAGGCGTGCAATACTGTTGGAGCTTGCCAGCTTGACACAGGCGGTCAAGGGCGTGGAAAAGGAGCGTCATAGCACCGCCGAAAGTGCAAGCTTACCTTGTCAAGAAGCGGAGCAGATCGCGCGCGGCGACGCATACGTCCGACTCGAAGGCGCTGATCTGAAGATAGGAGAAGTGCAAGCCAAGACGTCAAGCATTTTCAGTACCCTATGAGAGCCAATTTGAGACGGAAGGCGCAAACACAGTGGGCAATCAGTCCAGACGGACCGTAGTCAGTAGTAAGTACGTTAAGTTAGACTGACTGATAGTTCCATCTACCCAAAAACATCCATCCTTCTCACCGAAGCAATTAGATAGAAAGCGCGGTTGAACTGATCCCTGCAATATTGGTGTGATTTCAGCGATAAATAATCTTAATGTATCTCAAAGAAATCCAAAATTGATGTCTGATCCCGGGTACCCGCCTGACTGTCGGCGACGTGACTCCCGAGTGGCTCCACGATGTCCTTTCCGTAAACGGCGCAAATTTACAATCCTCACGCAAGATCTTAAGCTCGGGGTCTCAAATTTAAATACACGTGAAATGCAACATTTGATGTGTTGACGTACGAGTGTAGGACGTGTGTATGACGTCGCTTTGAAATGTGTATGGCCTGAGTGACGTGTGACGTGTGTGACGTATATGTGACGTGTATGTGACGTGTTTGACCTGTGACCTGTGTGACCTGTGACGTCGCAATTTGGTGCGCAAAGGAGGACCTTTTGGATCGGTGCTGACGGTGCTGATGATTAGAAACAGAGATCAGGGAAGTCACGTACTCAGGAATGATACCTCAATCTTAGTACCCGCCTGACTGCCACTACGAAACTCCGAGCGGCTTCAAGGTGTCCTTTCCATCTAAAGCGCGCTATCAAAGATTCTCACGCAAGATCTTCAGCTCGGAATTTTGGTACATTGATGTGACTTGTGAAGTATGTGACGTACGGTTTTTCGATGCGTGTGTGACGTTGCATCGAGACGTGTTTGGTGGTGTGACGCGAGGGACGGGGAAATAAGAGTGACGTGTGCGGGTGTGTGACATATGTGACGAGTGCATCTTTGTGACGTGTATGTGACGTAAGTGACGGGTGACGTTGCACTTCTATTCTTGAAAAAGTGACCTTTTTACTATGGCGGATGGTGCTGCTGAAGTGCAACTCACATCAGCTGCTAGCTGGTTCAGTGCTGCCTTGATGACATCAGCGGGGGACTCCCCTGTCGACGTGGAGGGCGTCCGCAAGGCGCGGTGGAGCGCGGCACAGCCCGGAGTGGGGTGCTGGATCAGCTGCAAGCGCAAGACTGATGACGTCACAACAGTGTACACTCTCTCGACACTACCTTTTGCTTCTGCGAGGCTCCTCGAGCGGGTTTCAATGCGAAAAACGTCAACCAAGGGGAACAAGAAAGTGGAAAGACTGACGAATCAACATCTCCTAGTCTAACATCTACAAAACAGTCTCTACGTGCACGAGCCGTAATGTTAGCATCCTAAATAGCACAATAGACGCGACAGCACAAGAGTCCTGCGAATCAGCTCTCCGAAAACCTCCGCCCCCACACCGCCCGTCCTTCCGCTCAGATGGCGCATCACCGAAGTGCCCCGTGAGAAGAGCAAACGAGTCCCAACCACGCCCCGCCCATACCTTGAGCCTCTCCTTGCCCCGTGCGGTGCAGTCGGGGCAGAGCACCGGGGCCAGCCGGCCGACGAGGCAGCGCCCCACGGAGCGGCGGCCCGTCCACAGGTACTCGCACACCTCGCCCGCGTTGAGCGCGCGCAGGGGGGGCCGCTCGCGGACGTCCGGCGGCTGGCCCGCCAGGCAGTGCTGGACGCGGTCCAACGTGATGTACAGGTGCTGGGGGAAGGAGGGCAAGCAGTTGGTTTATTTGGGTCCGGTTTTGGAGACGCGCGACATTTGTGATACGAGAGCCGGTCCGACGAGCAGGGCGCTCGCAAAGAGGTTGGGGGTCTCATCAGCGGGCGGGTTGCTTGCACAGTTGCCAACCTGGCCAGCAATGGGTGTAATTGACCAGTTACACCGAAACTCTACACTGTGCTCACAATAGCGCTTGCTATACCTTCTTGAGAGCCTCAAATACGTAGATTAGATCTTTTGGGCTCGGAATGGCGGCCTTTGAGCACTTTAATACCAGTATTCCGATTGGACAGCCTCGTTGCAAGAGTACAGCCTGAACTCATCGAAGTTTTGTCACGTTCTCACTCAAAGACTGCGCTTCCCACTCAATCTTCAGGCCGAAATGGTGCCAAAATCAGCCGCCAGACTCGAAACACTCCCTGCAGAAGCAAGCTTCTCAGCGTCGGTCGTAGACGAACTGTCTTTGCGGCCGTACCTGCAGGCGCAGCGGCAGGAGGTGCTTCGCTTCCGCGGCGGCCACGCTTTTGCTGTAGCCGTGCTCCGGGCCCTGCAACGCGCGCGCCACCAGCTCCTGCTCGCGCTCGATGTAGCCCAGCGCGAGCGCCGCCCACTGGCGAAGCCCACACAAGCAGCGGTCAAACACGGGACCGGAAGACAATAAATCGTGTGACAGCTTCAGAAAGAGGACGTTGTCTGTCTACGCGGAAGGGATCGCTGACATGGATCATCGGCTGCGGCATGCCTAAATCCAAGGTCTACGACAGAATGACTGATATTCTTTCGAAAGCTGAAGTCTTCTTTGTATGCTTAGGTGATCTATGCTTGAAGGTGGGTCCGTGTCTGCCTGTCATGGGCCCCTGTGCACTCCCGAAGCATTTCAGCACGGACATAGGGAGGACGTGGACTCCCGGCCAACCCTCGTAAGGTCCCCTTTGACTATGACCCCCAGGGGATCGACGGTTGACTTTGACAGGAAGAGCTCTCTAGATCGTCAATGTGCAAGTTTATAGCCGAGGAGTCCTCAAAACTGACCATCCGGGAGGCCCCGTTCTCCTTCCCTCCATACTAACAGATTGCGGTCGGGAACTGGATTGGCTTAACATGCCATCGGAGATGCGCGGCTCCTTTTACCAGCTTCGAAAGGTGGTGAACGAAAAGAACACTAGGTGGTAAAGAAGAGTCTGCAAGTGATCGAGCGCACCTTTCGGAGCCACGCCGGTGCGTGACCGTCCCCTTTGTCCGGCAGCATTGGCCCAAAGCCGTGGCCGACTATCAACTCCTCTTCCGCCGCCGTCAGGTCCTCAGAGCTCTGCAGAAAGTGACGTCATGCTGACGTAAGCGAGCGGTTCTGATTTTTGGCATCACTGAACCGTTTAGAAACATTCTACGTGTCACTGTGAGGTGCTTCCGCGCATCTTGACTTCGTCGAGCAATCCTGATCGAAATGCTACACGCTCTCTGCCCAGAATCAGGACAAAGGTGCACCAACTCAATTGGCCACAGCATTGCAGCTCGCCATATTCTGACTAGTGTCAGGGAGCCAGCGCTATAACCAGAGATTGTCAGACACGTCACCCAAAAGGGTGCGCGGTGACTGCCAGGCGCCTAAGCCAATTAGTCACAACTGAGACTCCTCGACAGAGAGCCTCGAACATAAACCAACGCCTGCTTGGAAACGTGACGTCAGTCACATTCGCCAATATCTCCTTTTCGTCACATAACCTACCGCTCGAAGCAGCACCGCGAGCCGGTCGGGCAACGAGTGCGTTTCGTTGAGGACAGCGGTGGCGGGGCCTCGTCCCAGGTGCACGAAACACGAGCCCCGGCAAGCAGGCATGCCGCACAAGCACACCTGCACCAAACAGGGCCTCGGATCGCTTACGCCGTTGGATTGGCTGCTTCTGTAGTCCGCTGCTACTTGCTCCGCTTCTTCAAAATTGTAGTGCCATGGGTATTGTGACAGTATACTTCTCCACAAACAATAAGCTCCAACGTGTAACTGTACATTCAGATCCGCATGGAAACGGGGCGGCAACTTGGTCATACCGGGGCCCGAGAGAGTCACTCATACGAAACATGTATTTTTTGACCGACGGAAAACGACCACTATCTCCTATTCGCAGCCGCGCTGCCAGTTACTTCTTTCGATGCACGAGCCAGTCCTGAAGTAGTTGCTGGTAACGTCTCCTTTTGGGCGCTTACGTTCCGCGTGACGTCGTCGTCGGAGTCCGTGTAGCACGTGTAATTGAGCGTCAGCTCCTGGCCTTGCTCCACCCTCTGAGCGGTCTGAATGTCGACAGTCGGGCGCCCCTGCACGCGCCGAATGACGGGCTGACACGTTGCCTGACATGAGTGGAGCAGCTGGGTGGGCGGCGCGCCCTCCTGCAACACACGGGATGAAAGAACGATCAAAGAGAAAGAACAGTAAGCTAACGTGGCACTGAGAACCCCGTAATGGACGTTGCAGAATTACTTTGGGGTTCGGAGTGGGTCCGGGGGGTGGAGCACGGGTACTCCACTGGGTTTGGCTTGTAGCATTCTGAAATCGGTAAAGAGAGCGAAGGCTTAGTATCTTGGCTTGACGTATATCTTCCTTGAGAAAGATGGATAAAAGGACGACGCAGCCAAACACCCCGGCATTTCCTCATTCCCCATATATCGTCTTCTTCCGAGGTTGCTCCGCCATCCGCCTGGGAGAAACCGGGGACCTAATCCAGTCGAAGCGAACGCTGGAAATTTGCTCTAGACACGGCTCCGCATCGAACGTGTGTGAAGGCTGATAGCCAGTCTCAGCCCAGCGACTCACCCTGTTCCGAACGTCCACGAAGAAGACCTCGTAGCCTTCCTTGCTCGTCGCCGCTTGCTCCACGAGCAGAAAGTCCACCCGGTTCGGAGGTTTCAACTCAGCCTCTTTGGACTGCTTCCGTAGCCCCTCCTGCAACTCGAACCTGTACAGATGCAAACCGAACTCCTAAGTCATTCTTGTGTCAAATTCCACGAGCAACTGCGGACCTCTGCTTTTTTCAGGCCTCTTGAGGACGGTATGACTACTGTGTAGGCCTCCTTCTATTTAGTTACCCATGTATTCTTCCAGGAGTCTGCAATACACGTGCTGATCGTGCTTGTGGGAGCACAGCAGGCTGACGCTCCTGTCCAGCTGTGTCTCTGTCAAGATCTGTTCAAATCACTCAAATCCTTCTGCAATCGCACGTGACACTCACTTGAGTTCAATCATCGTCACGAATCTGAAGAAACTCGTCACCACTTACCATTGATATGGTCTTAGAATTGTGCTTGGGGGATACGAGGCCACGCAAGTGCCGGCATCGAGTCCCCCTGCCCGCTGGCAAACGAGGGACGTGCCCTGCGGAACACGCGATACAAAAATCGGATACGAGCGATACGAGCGAGCTTATACACTGTTTAGCAAGACCTGACGGAGCCAAAGCGTATGCGGTTCAGACTTAAAAGGAAGAATGCTTTTGGCATGAGTGAGGCGAAAATGAAGCTAGATTCAATGAAAGTCATTGCTTTGCAACTTTTGCTTTTGAGGTTCTGAAAGGAGTGAAATGCATCTGGTGTAGAGGAACGGGAAAGTCTCAAGTCGCATGTGTCCCGCGACCTTTCCGTTCCTCAGATCACGGCTGGACGACAAGGGGATGGGCAACCCTGGCGGCTAATTTGGGCACCAACATTTTTAGATAAAGTTATATCGCTGCATGTATCGAGCTGCTTTCACCATAGTTATGGCTATAAGCAGTACCCTCGCTCGCTGTCAAACACATTTCTCCAGCTCGATGCCGCTCCCAACGCCCGCACCCATACATTGACAACGACGCCTTAACCTTAGAGGAGCGCTCCCAAACCTCATTCCCGCACCCGCGCACGTCGGCTCACCTTGGGGTGCACTCTAAACCACAGCGGCCCCGTTTCCATCATCTTGTGCGCGAGCTCCGTGACTGCCTCCACCAGGGAAGCGTCCCGGCTGCGCCCCGCCGCAAGGCCCAGCGCCTTGAGCGACTCGAAAATGTCCCACCCTTGGGGACCCTGCCGAAACAGGGCAGTGTGCGTCAGGATGGGGCTGCTATGAGGTGAGAGTGGAGTCAGAAGGCAAGGTCGCCACTACTCGAACTCATCCAGGAACGCAGAACCGCGTACGCTTTAAGGCGGGTGATTGAAGTATTGATGTAAAACCTAGCAATTTCTGGTGCGCGTTGGAGCGGCAGCATAACAGCTAGCTCTGACCAGACCATAGGGTGTTTGGCAGAAAGTAGAGAACGGACTCGAGGTGAGCTACGGACAAGCGACGAGAACATGTCACTTCAGATGCGCCCGTCGCTCGTTGAGCAGGCCCAAGGACGTATCATCATCGTCAAGCTACGATGTGCCGCTTCTTCTCCACGTCCTCTGATCGACCGACAAAAAGCGGAACGCCATCTCGTGGACCCCTCCAGACATATCGCTTCGCTCGAACCGTGATAAGATCCAGCATAAGGAAGGCCTCGCATTGCTGGCTCTGCTGTTAAAGGGAAGTCGATCAGCAGAACATTGAAGATTTTCTAGTAACACCTCACCCGGTCGTTGAGCGCCGGGAGCAGCTTTTGGGTGACGAAGTCCCCGACGGTCTTGGCCCGGCTCTTGACGCCCCCTCCCTCGCGCGCGGCGTCCTTGGGCAGAGCGTCTAAGATGCCGCGCCGGGTGAACGGGTCTACGCCCCACCCGTCGACCGCACCCACGTCGACGTCGAAGGCCTGCACAGGGCGCAGGGAGAAGAGGTTCGATGACTCCGCTGACCACATCAAGAAGGATTGCATCCCTTGACGTTTCAACCAGGGAAAGACTTCCAAGAGTTGTATACAAGACCCAAGCATCAACTACTTGTTTTTGCGGCCAAAGTCGTATCTAGAGTCGCCTTGATGGCATTAGTCAAACCATTTTCCGAAGCAGATTTTACCGGATTCCGCCCATTCTCCCTTGCAAGACTTGACTAAAAGAACGTAAAGGGTTTTGAATCTATAGGGCAGGGCTTTCCTTCTACACCTGATAAGTACACCAACTGCTTCTTGAAACATACGAGCGAAATGATGCTCGTATGGAATGGCAAGTTGGTTTCGGATCTGGCACCGAAGGGCACATCAGCAAGGTCAAAGCAGGCTATTTTCGACTCTACAGGGAAAAAGGGAAGAATAATCCTTGACTTTTCCATCTTGAAATCCTCAATCTCTCCTCTTCTTTCGTGTTAGAGAGAAGCCATCAAGACACGCAATCCTAGAAGGACTTCGATTGCGATGCATAACCTGGACAAAAGAGGACAGAAAACCGCATCCCATTAACTTGATGATGATGCACGGACAATATCTGAATAATAAGGCACGGGTGAGGGATAAGGTACTTGCCAAAGATGGCCCGAGCCCGCCTGCTTCCGCCCCTCCGCTCGGCTGATCCGTTCTCGTGTCGATCAGAGCCGGAATTGTGCTGCACGAGTTAAAGAAAGACGCACGGCGTCAGCAAGTGACGAAGGAGGCAAAGTTGGCCCTACTTAGCAAAACGCTGCAAATTTGTTTCAAACATCCCAGTGTCGAAAGCGTCTGATAGGAGTTCCAGAATGAGCTTGACAAGCCTCAGTGTCCAGCTTGCGATTCAACATCGTGCATGCTCCTGAACCAGAGATAACAACGACACGCGCTCGCCACTTTGAAGTTTCGGGTGTAACTCGTAGTATCGTTCTGGAATGAAGTCCGCCACAGAGTAACGCAGGAAGTGTTTGTTTCTCTCACCTGCGGGGCCACGGTTCTCGCCGCCAGGGGCCAGCTGTCATCGGCTCTTTGTTTGTGTATGCACTGCGCATCACCATTGCCCCGTCTCTGAGCACCCGGCCGCTGTTCACCCCGTCCGCTATACTTCGAAGGTCCGCAGAGCCGTGCCGAATCAGGATCTCGGCGGCGCCCACAAAACGCGCCGGGCTGGTGTGCAGGCTGGACGGCGCATAGCAGCCCCTGCAAAACACAAGAGAGCAGCTTAGACGTTCCAGCCCTCGACTAAACGCCCTTGGCGGAGAGGAGGAAAGTGTGATCTGAAAAGCGAGAATGGAGGAGAGGACGAAGCAGAGCGCCATTAGGAAAGGCCGCTGGTGCACCGTGCTGATAATGAAAGCACAGCAAAGCCTTACTCAGCACAGAGGGGCTAACAGGGGCGGCGGCCCCCGTCACATTTCGAGCTGGAGACGGGCTGCTAACGTCGATAGCAGGCAGCTACTAAAGCCGACGGCTTCTATGAGCGTCGATTGTGGGAATGCGAGAGAAAAGCCCTGGGAACCTTTCTTCTGTCAAGAACGTGTTTGTAGCTGTTTCCAGCTCGAACATTTTAGAGGTGAATCTGCCATAAGTGCGCCAGGAACCAAGAACGCGCAGGGACAGTCGCACTGTGCGGGCTCACTTTTTCAGGTCGTTGATGCGGACCACGGCTGCTGCGTTGCAAGCTCGGGAGAAGTCCGCCAGGAGGGTCTCCAAGTCGGCGTACCGCTCCTCGCCTAAGAGGTCGCAGAGCGGGCCAAAGTCCTACAACCGAGTGGACAATCAATCAGTCTGTGTGAATCTTAACCCGAGATCAAGATGCGAAGCTCAGCGGGGTTTGTGGGCTCCGTCCTCCACGCCGATCTAGTCCTGTAGCCTCAGTATTGCGAATCACAGCGGAAGGGCGAAGAGTGTGAGTCTGCATCTGTTCTAACCTGCTTAACGAATTTCGAGTAACACCGCTGAATAAGCTGAAGCAGAAGGCATCCGTGAAAGACGACAAGTCCTTCATAAATTGCACAGAAGCATCATCTGTTTAACCGCTGCAAAAGCAGGCAGTGTTCTGCCATTTTGACCGATCCAACGACCTGTCAAAGGCAGAAGACTGAACAGGCGCAAGACTCACAGGGTCCAGGAATCGGCATGCCGCCACTGCCTCCTGCGAACTCCCGAAGCAGCCCGCGTCTGCCCGTCCCCGCAACGACGACCATGCTTGGAGGAGCAACGCGAGCTCTGCCTGAACCCCCCGCCACTGTTTCAACTCCTCCAGGGGGGTAGGAACCACTGCTATCTCAGCAGGGGGGGCAGGGGTCGGGATGGGCTCTGGTTCTGCCGGGGGTGGTGGTTTCTCCAACTCTCCCCGGGGAAGGACCTCCCAGCCAGGATTGAGGAGCAGCCAGCTTGCCAGGTTCCGCAAGCGGGGGCCGTCCTCACCGACCAACCGTTTTCCAGTGACCGGCTCCCAAACCGGCACCCGTTCTAGTTGCTCCTCCCCAGTTCCGGCCCAGGGCTCAAAGGAGGCGTCTTTCCTCGAATTCAAAGCGGCCATGAGGACAACTGCCGCAGCCTTGGCGTTGGGCCCCCCCTGAACGGCGGCGTTGTCTGCGCCGGCTGCCTTGATGCAGCGCGGGTGTGCTGACTCAGCGCCGCAGTCGAACCGGCGGAGCGCCTGGCATACGGGGCACTGCGCGTCCTCCGGGCTCTCTGGCGACTTGAGCTCCAGGGGAGATTTCGGAAGCGGCGTTCTCGCAACCGGTGTCTTGACTTTCGGGGGCGCGGCGGCCGCTTTGCTTGCCTTCGCTTTGATCAGCTTGAGGCTCTTCAGCTTTCTAATGTTCTTGCCTGAGTGCGGGTCCTTCTGAGCTAGAGCTGCCGGACCCTTGAACGTGATCTTGAGCTTCTTCTTCGGCTTTGGGAGGCTGTCGCTCTTCTTCTCGCCCTCCGACGCCACCCTTGGCGTGTCCAAATCATGCCAACCCACCGCCACGTCGTCATCAAAGTACATGCGGTTGCGCTTCCGCTTCCTCTTCGTCCGGCCTTCTGTTACCTCTGCTGTTGAAGCCCCACCGCTCCCCACGTTGACACCTTGAGCTGGAGTGTCTCTGAATCCTGCGTGCAGCTCCGAGGTTGGTGTCATGCTGATCTCAAGCATGGCCGCAGCTGCCGCGTCCTCTGCAGGGGATGCTTTCTCGCCAAATCCACCTGGGAATTCCGGAAGGTCTTCCATCTGCAGCTCTAGAAGCCGGTCAGGAATCTGCACCTTGAGCCTCCCCATCCGCCCCAGTGGAGACAAGCTGACCGCAGCATCCATCATCTCGTGATCCCCATTCGCAATCTCTGGAAAGGATTCTGATTTCCTGAACCTGCTGAACTCCCCGCTCCCAAGGCTGCCCCTCCGCAGCAGCGGAATGCGCGGCGTGCCAAGAGACATGCTGGCAACCACCAGCGCCTCCACTGCGCCATCCAAGGGAGCTGCGTCTGCTGAGCTGCCGTGCTCGTGATCCACCAAGGAGCCTGATTGCTCTGCTTTGGCATCCTGCATTACAGTGTCCACCCCGTTCTCAGCTCCTCTCTCCCACTCTCTATCCACCTCTCTTTCCTGCTCCCTTTCCCGTTCTCTTTCCCGTTCTTTTTCCTCCTCTGCCTCCTGCTCTTTCTCTCTTGCGCTTTCAAGTTCCCTCTCCCTCTCCCTCTCTTTCTGCATCTCTTTCTCCCTCTCCATCTCCTGTTCTCTCTCCTGGTCCAATTCCCTTTCCCGCTCCCTCGCTCGCTCTCTTTCCCTCTCCTCCTTTTCTTCCTTCTCCCGCGCCTTTCTCAGAATCGCAAGCCGCGCTCTTTCAGCTGCTCTCTGCTTCTCCTCTGCGTCTTCCTTCAGCTTGCGCGCCTTTGCTTTCAGCACCTCTGCCTTCTCCTTCAGCGCGGCCGCCCTATCCTTGGCTGCGACCACGTTGGCAGCTCCACCCGTCCCAGTTCCAGACAGGTGAACGACACTGCCTTCGCTCTCAGTTCTAGATTGAAGATCACTTGCTGCTGCAACCACCACCTCCGGAATCCCACTTTGCAGACTTGCCATAGCTGCTTGCCTCTCATCAAATCTGGGAGCTGCTTCAGCTCCTGTGCTTGCCCCACTGTCTGCATCAATCACTGTGAACGGAAATGCAGCTCCTCTGGGCTGCTGCTGTTCCATGATTCGTCTGCTGCTTATTTGGACAAAAACTGGAGGGAAAATAGCGAGTATGCAAAAGCAGCATGACACTCCTTCAACCCTAATTCTCTAATCTGCTCAATCTGCAGTCAATCAGACGCCATCACGTCCATCGGGCGCATCGTGCAAGCTTCCCAACCAGCTCAGAAGGGTTTCTTTGCTTGCACTGAGTGCATTCGTCCTGTTCATGCCAGGGCCCGCTTCGAATGCAGACCTGTCAGACTCAGAGTCAGAGTCACGACTCAGAGCTGTGATTTTGCAGAGCCAAAGCTTGTTCCATAAAAATATGGTGGTAATTGCCAGCCGGGAGAAGGCCAGCTGCGTACCGGTCACTCTGCGGTCCAACCGAGGTTCAGATCTACGTCGTACAATACTCTGTAGGCTAACCCCACAGGACTTGCGCAGCCAAAAGAAAGCCGGTTCAGTTCACCCGGTCTTTTAGAGTCATGACCGACCGGAGAACGGGTCAGTTTTACACCTGAATGGTTGATGCTGACTTGCCCCTCTTACTATTAGGGTTTTCCAACCCTAGGCCCAAACAAGTAGCTTGGAGCATGGCTGCAGCCGGCATGCACTTCCCTGCTGTGATATCGGATGTAAACAGGGGCAGCAATGGCGCTCAGGCAGCGCCCGACTGGCACCAAGGAGCCTCAGGAACAGGAGAAAAGCGAGGCCCCCTCAGATGTTTTGAAGCAGGCACGGGTCCGCAACAAAGATGCACCGGAGGCTGCGTCACAGCTATCCGCCGTGCTGCTTCTCCTGATGTTCACATCAGCGATTGTGGGGGTGGTGCATCATGCGGTGTACAGAGTTCCAAAGCCGATGTCGGAAAGGGCGCCAGCTCATATGTTTTCTGAGGGACGCGCGCTGCAACATGTGGAGGCACTGGCAGGGGATATCGGCATTCGACTGGTGAGACAACTGCAGTGGTGGACGTGCGTGGTGATTGGAGGCTGGAATCTTGAAGATGATCTCGCCATTCTAGATCAAATTGTAATGCTGTTACAAATGAATAAAGAAGGGGGAAATTATCGGGGGTCCAACTTGCCCTGCCAAATTGAGCACCACCACTGCCTTCCCTTAGGCAAGGAGCCGTGGATTGTTCAACCCGCTTTCCTTTTTGTTCCCTGTGTTTCACATCGATGTGTTTGCTCAAGCCAACTTGGATAGTCAATGAACCTCAATTGACATGCCAATCGAACCAACGTGGGAATTCTACAGTAAAATGCTATAAGTAAAATATTTGTATCTTACCAACTTTGTTACTCCATACAGGTGGGATCGGACAATCACATGCGAGCGGCAGCGTATATTCTGGAAGAGTTGGACAAAATTGCAAGCATAGCGGGAGATCACTTGCGCGTTGAGATTGATGAGCAGCATATAAGTGGGACATTCTGGATGAACATCCTGACGCACAACATGGTATGTGCCCCACAACAACCACACAACCTGTGTTGCGCTTTGAACTGACCTTTTAAAGGCATTTTTTTCTGCCAAGTCTGACCAAGCGTTTCTTGCCCCCGTTTCTTGCCCCTGTTTTGACCTAGCGGACTGGGTCATAGACCATCATTACTGGCAAACTTCTATTGTGTGACTTGCCAAAGTGGGTCACTTGCAGGCAATGGAGTACGAAAACGTCACCAATATCGTGCTGAGGTAAGCCCACACAAGCAGTGCAATTAATCTGCCAGATTGAGAGAAAGGAGGTCAAGTCTGCAAGGGACCAGCCCATGGATACTCTCTAATGAGCAACCAAAGTGGCGTCAAGGCTATTGCAACTTGCATCGGCAGCCCATGTGTGATCCCTAGCTCCCCCCCTGGTTACAAGTAACTGCTGGTGAAAACTGTGACGATGGGGCACTGTGCAGGATCTCGGGGGCGAACAGCAACCTGGAAAGCAAGGCCGTTCTTATGAACGCTCACTTTGACTCTGCCGTGGGGTCGCCAGGCGCCTCAGATTGCGCGCAGTGCGTTGGTGAGTCGGTCGATCTTGGACAAGGTCTTGTCCGTCCAAAATTGCATGTTCATTCTGTGTTGTCCGAGAGAGATGTCCTCAGTCCGCTAATGTTGACACAAGATTGATGTACAAGCCTTTCTTCGGTCGAAAAGCGGCAATCGTCATTCTGTTCTCCCTTTCCCTCAATGACCACACTTTGCCACCAAAACCTCCCTTGTTCTTGAAAAGCGGCAGCCGTCCGTTTCGTTTCTCCTTATCTTAAATGACTCGACTTTGCCACTAACCCAATGTCAGACTTTTCCCGCAGCCGTCGGCCTCGAGATCGCTCGCTTGTTCGCCGCCTCCCCCGAGGCCCCCCCTGCCCCGCTCATCTTCCTGTTCAATGGTGCGGAGGAGACCTTCAGCATGGGCGCACACGGTTTCCTCTCCGGTCACAAGTGGAGCGACTCGATCGGGGCGGTGATAAACATCGAGTCGACCGGGCCGGGCGGTCCCGACTTGTTGTTCCAAGCAGCGGGAAAGGAGCTGTGGCCAGTGCGGGTGTACTCGGAGGTGGTGCCGTACCCTAGGGCAAGCGTGATCGCGCAGGTGAAACAAAGTTTTACTACAAGACTCTGGTGGTCACTTCTGGCACTGTGTTTGCAGATCATGCTTTCTGCCCCGACTTCTTCGACAGCCTCCTTACCTCTATACGGCTGAGGATCCCAATGATGTGTGACATGACGAGTTGAGGCGCACGAGAATATGCATGATCATGGTTGTGTTCTTAAGCGTAGAAGGTGTTGGCTGATGAGTTTATCATCTTGCAGAGGAGGCTCCTGAACAGTCGTGTGGGCGATCTTAAGTTTTCTTTAGATTCGCATGCATTTCCAATGAACCAGTGTAAAATTCGCCTATCACAGTTGGGTTTTGGACGCCCTTGTGAAACGGAACGCTCTTCAAGACGTTCTTTGAATTTCAGCCAATTTTCAAAAGAGCGACGGATGCCAACGGTGCCCTCAAACGCTCGACTCACCTTGTGCGGAGTCCTCTCCTTAATCCATTTCTCTCGTTTTGCAGGACACGTTTGACATGCATGTCCTCCCAGGGGACACCGACTTTCGCGTGTTTGCCCAGGACTTTGGGAATATTCCCGGCGTCGATGTGCTGTCCTTGCTGGACTCGTATGCGTATCACACCACTCTGGATACGCCCGACCGCATCAGGTATTAAGATTCATTCTAAGAAGCTTTTCAATTCTGGCCCACCATTTGTTCTGTGCGATCGCTCGTACATTCGACCCCCATGCAGAGTCCCTCAGCTTGTTCGTCTGTGAGTGCGAAGAGTGACACCTCAAAGACGCTGATATCGATCGGTTTCGTTCCTCCTCTGCACGTTTCAACGTCACTCGTGAATCTAAAAGTGGGAGTCAAAGTTCGCAATAGTGGACGGCTCACTATTGATCTCGCGCGATGAGGAACCAGGAACGTTGACTCTTTAAGCATTGGACTGAAGTCCCTTTCGAGTACCTTCTGTTCAAAGTCTGTCCCAACGCGCTCTTGTGGATCTTTCTCATCCAACTCCCAGTTTGTTTGTTGCCGCTACAGTTGTTGACTCTCTGCGAAAGCGCCCTTATCCATCAACACCGTGGAGTACTTCCTTGCGAAGCGTCTAGACACCTACTCCAAATGCTCTGAAAACCATCAAGCCCGTTGAACAGTAACTAGGACGGGTGGAGTTTTGTATCGCTTAGAGTGGGGACGGGTGCAGGGTCGTAAAGCTTTGGTATAGGGTTTTGTTGGAGTCAAAAGCTCCCGTTCGCTGGCTTTACCGTTCACTGATTGAAACTGACGAAACACTTTCGGGCCTTGGCTGCAGGCGCGGCACCGTCCAAGCAATGGGGGAGAACCTGTACGCGCTGACAAAAGGCCTCAGCGTGGCGCCTGAGCTGAACGACCCGCTGTCAGCCCTGCCCAAACAGCAGGCCGTCTTCTGGGACTTCCTGGGGTATATCCAGGTGCGCCGTTTCCATGCGGGCAGTGCAGTCGTCACTTGAGTGGGTCAATGTCAGACCGGCAGTGCAGCCGTCATTCTAGTGTGTGGACTTTTTGTGTGGGTGGAGCTGTGTCAAATTGCTGCCTACATTTTGCGACGTGTCTACCTGCCACGAGGCAGTTGCCCTACTTTCGTTTAGTCAGTGCGTGCTTAAGTATCCTGCGTCCTCCTTTCGTTCTTACGAGTCGCTCGATTGCCCCTCATTCAAAACAGCAACCGCAGGAGATTGGCGCCTTTTTGTGTTCCAAAAGCTCCATGTAGTTTCTGCAATCCATCTTTACTCATATGCATAACCTTTCTGAAAGATGCCTTATTCCTCGTCCAGGTGTACTACCCCCGCTGGAACGCCCTCATCTTTCACCTCACGCCGCTTGCCGTTTTGGCCGTGGTTCCCCTCTTTACTTCCGACCACGCATCGGGACTGCGGGGCATGCCCCGGCGCTTCAACGCAATCGTGTCAGGGATTCTCCAAACCGGCGCTGCCTGGGTGCTTGCCGTCATTTTCGCGGTCGGTGTGGCAGTTCTTAGAGTTGCCGTCTCAGGGAAGCCCATCACTTGGTGAGACGCTTGTTTACATTTGACGACTCAAACTCGGGTTTGAGGCTGCCTTTGGAACCTATGAGAGACCCTGCTACGCACTGGATAGCGGAGCGGCCGGAACTTATGAAAGTCTGCAACCAGATGCCTGTGATAGGGCGAGCTCTGACAAACGGTGGCTGTCGAAGCCCGACTGTACGGATTCTGTGACCTGTCATGACATTGGCCTCTCTGTTTCAATGGGCCGAAAGTTGCTTGTCCATTGCCGTCAATGTCTTCGAAGTTGCCGCTCGTCTGCAAAGAAACGTACGGGCGTTACGTCGTCTCGCGCCGTCAACAACATTTTGCCTACGACTACAACGACCTTAACTCCTGTGCAGGCTAGCGCAGCCGTCGGTTGCGGCTCTGATGTACATCCCGCCGGCGCTGCTCGGCATTTTGTTGGTCCAAAGTCTCCGCTCCTGTTCGCCTGCCAAAACCTCCAGCCAGCAGCGCGCCCTGGACTTCACCGGTCATTGGGGCTCCGCCGTCGGCTTCAACGCTCTCCTGAGCGCGGTGCGTCGCTTGCTGCGTTGACTGCAGTGCTCTCTATGAACATGCAACATGGCTCTTTCGTTTTGTCTATCGACTTTCAAGGACAAGGAGGGTGACGGCTGCTTTTTAATCCAGCTGGGAATTGCAGATAAAACTTGAAGTTGCCCAGATGAAGCATAGAAACTGCTCCAAAGGCAATGCGTTCTAAACAAGGTTGATAGCCCAATGTCGAAAAACAAACGATGGTCTCTCATTCGAAGATTTGCTTTCTCGATTCCCTTTCCAGCACGAGCTTTGGGCGCTACTCCCCTGCACAAAGAAAGAAAGCAGCCTTCTCATTTCTTGCGACCCCCGTCAGTTGATCTTACTTGTGTTGCCACGTGTCAGGTGCTCATCTACCTGGGCGTGGGCGGCAGCTACATATTCATGTTCTGGGCAATGGTTCTTCTGCCGGGCTTTCAAATCGCGACCGAGGCGGGCGGCTTCCAAACCCTCCCTGGGCTCGCAGTCTACCTCACTATCGCGGCTATTCCCATGGCGCAGTGTTTCTACATCGCGCTTACCATAGCCACTTTTACCGCCCAGAAGATCGGCGCCAGCGGCAACTGGCCAGACCCGATCGGTGAGCTGAACCGCCTTCGCGGCTCTCTTTTGAGCAGAATAAATTTATCCCTGCATCTCATCCCTGCTTCTGTCTGCCAGGGCATAAGAAGACCCGTTTTGCTTGCCGACATGCATCTTTCAGAGTTGGCCCTTCTGTTCCCTGCTTCGGAGCTATTGTATCACGTCCTGCTTAGAAACAGGGGCGCTCTGCATTATTGAACAGCATTACCGCATATCTTTAAGTACTTCCTAACACTGAGTATCCCTTAATCTCACCACTCACCGCCCATTACGGCCCCCGATCGAGGTTAGCGCACTTCCAAGCATCTGCGCTAGTTCTGGGCTGTTAGTGACGCCCCTCTCGCCATCCCTCCAGGCTCGTACGTGGGTGACGTGGCGATTGCCATCATCTTTTCGCTGTTCACCGCAATCATAGCCGCGCCCCTCGCGCCCGTCCTTCGGCGTTGGCTCGCCACGTGGCGCGTCATGCGGGCCTTGGTAGTTATGACCTTGATCGGGACCATCGTTGGAAGCTTCTTGTTCCCGTACACGACTACGGAGCTGAAGCGCCTGGCCGTGCAGCATACGATATGGACGCAGGGTAAGCGATGCGGTCTCGGGATTGGCGCTTCAGAATGGACTGTTATTCTACCAAATTCAAGTTCAATTAGACGCTGAAAAGCTGAGTTGGCAGCGAGATGCGACCATGCAAGCTGCACCTTCTAGAGTACGGCACTCTGCTTAAAGTCCCTGGTTGAGTCTGTGCAGGTCCTCGCGTTTGCTGCTCTTTCCTTTCGGGTACTCAGTCACTGTCTCTTTTGAACGACTGCTCTGTCACCATTACTCCGTCCTTTTGGAGGCACTGGCCGACTGAGTGTGAAAAGCTACCCTGACTGTTTGATGCCTTCAACTGACGTCTGTTCCTCGGGTGTTCGTCCCAGGCAAGAAGGACGTGATCGGTCGCGAGTTCTCGCTGCTCACCTTCGACCCCCTCGCTCCGACCTTCATCTTCGACCAGTCGCCCGCTCTGCGCGAGCACTTCAATGTCACGGGGGACGAGGCCTTCCACAAGACGCTTCCAAACACGTGGCTGGTGCGTTGACTCTCTCTTTCGCCTTGCTTTAGCCCTTCATTTTTCGCGACTCTGGTTCCGTTAGACTTTTGCTTGTCCCATCGGTATCGGCTTACAGGTGTCCGAAGAAGTCAGTCGTGGCCGTTGTTAACATGATGAAAGTATTGCAGGTGTCAGTACTGATAGTCCTTTCCTTACCGCAAAGCTGGAACCAATCATGTATGTTTGACGTCTGCTTTTTCTGTGTCAGGAATTAACGGGCTTCCTTTGCCAAACTTCATCTTCATACAATCCCGTGGGTACACGTGGCCGCGAATCCTGACCATCTTAGTTACGCTTGCCGGGTGGCCTTTTCATGCCGGCAACAAGCTTCGCACTTTTTTAAGCCGTCCGATGTCTGCTCGTTGAGCCGTGAGCCGTCCATTCCTGCAGGGGCTCTTCCCCCTCTCGGAGATGGTGCATCGGGACGTGTCTCTGCCGGAACAGTCGGTCGACTTGCCAGCGGTGGCGCAGCGGAAGCCGTTCCCGCGCCTCAAGCTCATTGCGAATGAGGCGCTGGAGAACGACCGGAGACGAATACTCGTCGAGATCAATAACGGGTGAGTTGCAAGACGACAGTTGCGCAGTGCTGAGCTTTTGTTTGTTCGGGTGACAGACCGGCAGAGTTAGCAGCAAATTCTCTCGGAATACTTTTTCATTTCTCTCCGCCCAGCTCACTGGTGCAACTTGCATCTGGGGGACTACGGGCCATTCGATGGCCATATCTCTGTCATTGAGCGGACAAGATTAAGCCGAGCTGCCCAGACTGGAAGTCGGGTTAGGGGGTCAACTTTGTGCGGCAGCAAAAGGCGACGCTTCCAAGCGGTGTCTCCCTCAAGTGTACCGTCATCGTGTAACTCTCCGCGATCCCTTCTCGAACTCGGTCACGTTTTTAACTGCATTTCTCGACGGAGTGAACAAGAACGAGATTTGCGTTTGGGTTAGAGGTCAGCATTTGCAGTGCTGCCAAGCAAGCTGTCTCCACTCAAGCCATCTGGTTCAGTCAGCGGTCCAGACAAGTGGACGCTCATATGAGTTTTTATTGTGCTGACACGTGTCCCGTTCTGCACCTGTAGGGCGTTGGGCCACGCGTGGCGGACGATCAACGTGACGGGGCCGGTTGTGGGTTGGTCTCTGGGAAACTTCCAGCTGCCGGCCCCCGAGCAGCGACCGGGCGGGCCGGTCTCGTATATTGCAAGACACGCAGGGGGGCCGGGCACGGAAAAATGGCGGTTCTGGATAGAGGTGAGGACGAGAGGGCTGGTCCTTGTATGTAGGAGGGCTCTCTTCCAAGATGTGCTCTCGCGAACTCGTCTGCCCAGCTTTTCTTGAAGAGCTGGGTTCCCTTCGGTGCGTCACTGTCTGGGGCCGATAACACATGGAGCCTATTGCGAGCACGTCGCCTCTCGTTTGTCCTACGTCAAGTTGTCTGCTCTTCTACGAACCTGTGCCGAAGAGAGCATGCACGGCTAACTCATGGCCAACTCCTTGCAGGCGGAAGGCACGAAGAAGGTTCGAATAGACCTTGCGGTGCTTAAGTTTGACTCCAGTTCTGAGCTCGAGAAGATTAAAAGCAGCCTGCCTGCGTGGGTCGACTTCATCGGTCTTACAAGCTACATATCAACATGGAAGGTCTAGAATTTTTCGTCCGTATACATTCACAGGAAACCAGAAGACAAAGAGGCGTTCTGATGATGTCGTTCTCGCTCCATTGAGGCACTGATTAAGAAACGAGGAGCTTGCTGGGGCCCCTTCTGCTGTGGCCACCCGGCATGCTGAAAGAATGCCGGTTTCCAACGTGATTTAGGAGAATCCATGCAGAGCAATTTAGCTCTGACTGACCGTCACGTGACGTCACCATGTCCATAAAATGAATTTACTGTATGGGAAATATCTGCCGGCCACTTAGTGACTCATGCTAAAACTTGTATATTGCATGTCATGATCATTCATCTGGCACCTATACTTCAGCGCGCACTGCAGAACTTCAAGTCCGGCAAGTTGTCATTGTTGGCCGGCCGCGTTCATTTCCATGCATGCCTATGTCATTGATGGTCATGCAAGTTCAAGTAACTTATCTTATCGGAATAGTGCATGTGAAGCCCCGGTACGACGGCGCATGGCTCGTTCTCTCCGGCCGCGGCCGGGACGGCCAGGCTTGGCACACTGACATGCATGCCCTGATATGCATGTGCAATTCGTAGTGAACAGTACATGTAGGGACGATCGAAATCTGAGGAGTTAGATGGTCCAATCCGCCAGCCGCATGGATCTACGCATCATTGCACGGACAAACATATCGCAGTTGATGAAGAGTGACTCCGCCTCTTGAATCAGGGAACCACGTCATGGCATGTCGACGCACATCATGTGTCCTGTGCAATATCCGGTGCATCATGTCAAGGCTGGTCGGCGGGCTGTTCAGGACCAACTTGCTTCGAGGGCTGTGCCGGCAATGCAATGAAAATCTGCAAGCATCAGTGCAGCTCATAAGCTGATTTCCGTGACCAAATGCACGAAGCCTCTAAACAGACAGCCATTGTGTAAGGCATGAGAGCCAGTTGCACCATACCCAGACCCTTTTGATTGCGAGAGTCGACACTTGAGCCTTGATGCTATCACAAGCTGTTCAGTTCCACTTCTCGAGGAGCCGGTCTGTAGATTACAAAGCTGCTGTCGTTCGCAAACGACCCAGGATTGAAGCACACGACGTTCTCGTAAACAAACTCCTTTTGTTCGGCTCGGTCCGCCAGCACCAACTGCACAAAGAGAAGATAGGTTCCTCTTTCGGAATCTAAAAGCTTCGAGGTCGTATCAGAAAAGGCGGAGTGCAAAAGATTAGGGTTAGCCGTTGGCCGTGCAAATCTGCACCGATGCACCAACTAAATCACGAGCGACATTGCGCGAGGCTTTGGGCGTCGATCCGAAATGTTGAACGATCAGAACCCCTTTTTACAAAGACAATGGCCACGTGGCACACTCACGACGTCCGGCAGGGGGTAGAGCCGCAGCGCGTGGTCGTACTCCCAAAAGATGGGCTGTACTTGGAGCGGCAGGGGGCACAGGTGGCTTTGCTGGAGCACCGTCACCGCTAGCTGTACCAAAGACAGGAAACAGTCTGGACTGTATAAACACCGGCTTTTCCTACCCCGGAAAAGGACTGGCACGTTAAAGTCAGTTCCCGCCATGTCTGCGTGCAAAGAGCTCCACCCTTAAAGACTCAAAGAGAAGCTGGTCTCCGCCCTCGAAAGTTCATCCACTCTAGCAACTGCTCTTCAGCGATGATAGTCATATGATTGTTGACGCCGGTTGAGACACAAATCGACCCCGTCGCTTTTATCGCTAAGATAGGAAGCAGGTATCCATTTTAGGAAGGCAGAGCTTGGCGGTGTCCTCCCTCGATCCAAATGATCGGCAAAAGCAGGGCTTTCCAGCAACGAGCGCGTTCGTGACTGCATGTTTCCCTTCGCACCCAATCAGAGGAGACGAAAAGTTGGCCAGAGGCACGGGGCGTCTCCAAGCGTCTAGTCCACCCTCATCGCTAAGGTACAATACATATACAGGCCCCGACGAACAGCCCGGTTGGTCCTGTGTCCATACCTGCTGGAACGGGTCTGTCGTTTCTTTCTCGGAGGGGGGGACCACGCACGCTCGCCGCATCTTGTGCAGCAGGTCCTCTCGGAAGATGACGATCTCCTGGGTGTAGAACCGTATCCTGCGGAAACGGAAGCAGCGCTTAGGGAAACGTGCGAGTTGCCTTTTGCAGAGGGAGAAGATTCAAGATCAGCGTCGCCCCCTTGGAAAGTGGGTTCAAGCGACAAAGCTTTTGGAGATCGAAAGGACGTTTCCGGAGAAAGCACTCAGCGTGGCCGTCGGAAACGTGCGGCTGTGTCTCAAAGTTGCTCACTCTGATGTGACTCTCGTTGTGACTAGTTGGGACTCTTCTGGAGCGAAGGCTTCTATGGCTATTCGGATCGCTGGCAGCTATCCATATGACTTGCACAGCGGCTTATAAGCTATGCAAATCTCAACTCTCGACTGGACTGGACAGCGGAAAGCACGACATTTGCTTGGAGTTGCTCGATCGCGAACCTCTGAGCGACGAGTGTTTTATGCTGCCTTCAAGCATTGATCATCATGGGTCTTCAAGGCTGGAAGTGAAATTGCATCGTCAGATGCAGACTGACCTGCACGGGTTGCTGGCAAAGACGGCGTTTGGAAGCAGGGAGCTGATCTCGTTGGTGAAGAACTTGGGAAGGGGCGGCCGCGGGACCACGTTGGCGGGCCCTGCACCACAAGACGAGATTGAACTGAAGAAAGATAATAGTAAGGCGAGATAATAATAGGGTGTCCGCATGGGGACGGGTAGGGTTAGTTTGGTGCTTAGGGTAAGTATGGGTGTGGAGCGAATTTCTTTTTGGGTTAGGGATATAGCGTTACAATAGTCTGAGCTTAGCATTATCTTGGCTTAATATGATCTTCCTTGAGAGTTTTCAGGACGAGTGCCTTACAACCTGAGGTTCTATGAATGCCGGTTGCGTCCTTTACCAAGCGTTTGCTGGCTCGAGATAATCATGACGTCAGATCAAACGTGTGAGGTTCGAACATCGTAACAGCGTGATTTTTGAAGAACGGATTAGTTACACTTTTGATCTGAATAAGCGCTTCTTCTCCTTGACTCAGAGCTTGCTTTAACGAAGGGAGTAGACTTGTTCGTTGGACCCTTCTCCTCCGATTGCGACTTAGCGAAGCCACATAAAGTGAGTTGAAAAGGATCAAAAAGAGCCAGGCTGCCGAAAAGTAGCTCTTCTTTCCACCGTCGCGCCCCACTTCTCACCAGGATCTCCAGGGCCAGGCACGAAGACAAATTGCGTCGCATCTCTGACGTCAGCGAACGCCGCTATCGTCGTCGCAAGCTTTTTGAATTGGGCTCTGCAGCAAAGAGAGAAGCGGCTCAGACCGAACGAAGTGCGCAGCAGCGAAAGCTGGTGAACGTAATCATCTCGAAGTAGCGAACAGTAGGCCTAGTAAACGGAACGTCTTTGGGTGCAAGAAAAACTGCACACCAGAGGTTTACGAGCTTTGCACCCGAACTCCACTACTTACTACCCCACCCACCCCAGGCACTAACCACTGGGCTTATGGGTTCTCTGATTTGTTGGAACAAGATTACTGAGCCGTGACCGGTTGCCCCTCGCTTGAGCGGATCACCCCATCCTTCTTGTTCTGAAGCTGACATTATGCGAGCAAGCGGCTCCAGCTCTCGAACGTGGGACTTCGAAAAGGTGTGTCCGGTCTGCAACAAAGTCGGCGGCCCGCTCTCACCTCATATGTGCGTAGTCGTGATTAGCGAGGTTGCACGGGCGAGACCAGAAGTTGCCGATCAAGACAAAGAGGGAGGGGACGAAGTTGCTCTCCTGGCAGGTGGCCAGCGTGCTCTCGAGCCGCCGGAACGTCTGCATGCCGCGCAGCATATCCATATAAGTCAGCAGACTGTTCCAGCCACCGTGACTCTGACAGGGAGTTACCATTTTTCCTGCTAGTAGGCTTCAAGACGGTCCTCGTCGCCTTCGAGAAAACTGTCACTCACTCTTGTTCGTGGGCAGAACAGATCAGTCATAGATCCCCTTCGCAATGCACAAATTAAAAGTTTGAAGCAGTCAGCTCAACTGGTCACAAAGCGAAATCTCGAGATCCTTGAAAGTTCGACGCACCTCATCGTCGTCCAGATGCAGGTCGGAGAAGAACATGAACGAGTGCTCCGTCGCCGCCTCCTCCTGTTCCCGCAAACTCTCCTGCAAACGATACCAGTATCAGCAACGGGACTCAATCTTAGGCGCATTGCGTCCAGCGTACACACTATGGAGACTGAAGGGAATAGATGGACGAGCGCCTTGATATACTGAGTCCGTCTCTTTGAGACTGCTTCCAGTGAAGTGTTTGAGGATCCGAAAGGCGCTAAGCAACTCAACAGGAAATCCGAAATTTTACATCTAAGAGCAGGTATGCTTAGGTGTAACCAAGATCTGATCATGCTTGATTTGGAGAGACTACCTTCGTATGCACGCGCCTACTTCTCCGACCCTCTTCAGACGGGACTCTGCTCCTGTGTGACGCAGCTGCAGGCTATGCTGCGAAATGGTACTCACATACTTCTCTAACGGGATCACACCCGCGCCAAAGAAGTCCAGCCCACCCGTCAACCGGTATGTCGTTTCTCGGTCCTCAACTGGGGGGCACCCCATGTTCGAAACCTGCAAGAGACCTAGCTCGAGCATGTTCGCCACCTGCCCAAGCAGGCGCTACGGCCCCTCTTGAGAGACCATCTTCTCGACCTTTTTGCGACACGGCATCTCTGAGGATGACGAGGTCGAAGTTCATAGGGGATGTTATGCAGCATCACAAAGCAGCTCCTCTTAGAAAACGTGCCAAATCGTCCAAGAGACGTTTTGAAATTGCAAAGTAGATTCGCAACATGCCTCCATGTGGCCAGCGTCAATCAAAAATTCTTCATGAAAGGGTTTTTTGCAGGGCACACAGCAACGTACGAGCAGCTTCCGCGAATCGAACTTCCTTTGAGATGGAGAATAGTCCCACCTGCAATTCCCCCGTTGGCAGAACCTGCCCTTCCACCACCACAAAGCTGTTCTCTGTAAACAGCCCCGTCGTCACATTCTCCTTCGTGACTTGCGAGAGGTCAAGTAGAATTTGCGTGGTTGAGTCTTCCAAAAAGAAGCGGCCGTCCTCCAGCTGGGAGATGAAGCCCAGCACGTACTTTGTGCCGGTGCTGCCGACCAGGGACTGCAGCGGGGTCAGCTGCAAGAACAAGTAGACACACTGTTTGTCATTTGGCTGTTATGATCCTTTGTCTGAAAGGTTTGCTGCAAGGGATGATTTAGCTGTTTGGTCTCCTTTGTGATTCTGACTGCTAGTGAGCAGGACCTACTGATAATTTGCCTGTCCAATTACGGACAAGCAGGCCATGCAACAGAACTCAAATTACTGTGTTGCAAAATATATAGAAGCTCATCTAAAGCAAATGCGCAACCTGGGGCCAACGCCTAATCTGGAAGCCCAACCGAGTCACCGGTTGGACAGAAGCCTGCTTGGGGTGGCGGAATAGTGCTCACAGCCCCTTGCAGTTCTTCAACAAAGTCAAGACAGTACTCACCTCCGCCGTTTGCGTGTCTTCCGCACGTTTGAGCCCCAATGCCGGCTTTGTGAACGCTTCCTGTCGGAGAACCCTTTGCTGCAGCAACGTGAAGCGATCTCGATACAGCGCTGTCTTTGACTTAGCATCAGCGTGGATTGACAGCTTGGCTGTGGACTGATGGAATGCTTTTCGGACCTGGTCGTAGTCAAACTTTGGCATTTGGAATGCCTCTACGAAGGTGAAGGCGTCTTCCCCTGAGTCACCGCCAGTGGCTAGAGTGCTCAGAACCTCGTCGATCACTTCCTTGCTCAGGATGCTGCTGCTCACTGCAACAAAGTTGAATCTGGTTCTAGAAAGTACTTCCATAAGAGAGGGGTTCCGACATGTCATAAGTTTCTCCGGGCAGTCTGCCTTGCATCAAGCGCCAGCTGCCCAGCACGTGTTGTGCCAAATGCAGCCCCGTCAATCAATTTTGGGCAAGAAGAGCTTTTGCACCTGACTATGCACCAAAAATCGAATGCTTTGGTATCCGAAGCATCTGGCAGGTGCGAGCTTCACACTCAAACAGTCTCAACATTTTTCCATGGCTTCAGTTGGGCAAGACTTCTCCAAAAACTCACCAAAAGTCGATATTGGACAGACTCTGCACTCACATGTCTTTCTGTCCAGCTCAGCGAAGATCTCCTGCAGTATCTCATGCTCCTCGTGCATTGAGTTCACAACAAAGTCCGCCACCGCCTTCACAGCATCCATCTTCAACCCCAAGCCCCGAGACTTGAATTCCTTTTGCACTCTGCGGCAGGCAGCCATGTCAATAGGCCCCATCGCTGCAAGCGGTGTCCAGGATCCTACTCTCTAAGAGCTACCCAGGCAGGCCACAGGCTGACGAAATTACAGCTATCCAACTGTCTGGCAACTCAACACAAGCATCCTATAGGACGTCTGAGCAACCTCCACCGTCGGCTTTAGTCTTTAGAGCTCCAGGAGCTTCTTTGAAGAATGGTGATTACATAAAACTTCAACCAGGCAGAAAATGCACGTGACAATGACATGGTCGTCCGTGATCTTCTTGTGCTTCATACCTTTTGGCGCGAGAGCAGGCATACTTGGACCGTCGATGGTCGACAATCAGGGTCAGCATGGACGGTGCAAAACGCGGTGTAAGATCGACGGTAGAGGGTTTTCTTATGGACGGTTACCGTTTCTGTTCGCGGAACAGTACATGGTTTTACCATGATAGCCTGACTCATGATGGGGGTTTCGCTGCATGAAGATCAACTTGAAACTTTCAAAGCAATCATTCCTGATCAATTGAAGTAGGTTACTCTTATGATTTGTGGGGCGCTGTTTCAGTGTTTGTTCCCTCAGCAAGGCGGAGTAATGTGCTGCTCATGAATCCTATGATCCAGATGGCGGAAAGCATTGCTGCAAGCTCCGGAGCTTTGAGATACTTGGCGTTCTCGCGAGGAATGCACTTTCTTCCTGTCAAGTCTCCAAGCACACACGCGATTGCATCGGGGTTCACGCAAAGTTCACAAAGCATGTCGCTTGCTGCCAGAACCGGATTGCCAAGCATGAGGTTTCACAGAATCACACTACCAAAGGGCGATAAGTTGTTGCTCAGCTCACGGCAGAGCAAAAGGGGGCACTCGGACCGCCTCTCCTTTCCTCTTTTGTCTTGGTCAGCCCCGAAGTCATCTACTTGTGAGCCCTCTTCGGGGTTTAGGCAGGCCTCCTCTTTGGCCCACCACCTCTGTAACCACCCCATCAACCACTTAGTTGACCACCCGCTTAACCCACTTTTTCACCACGCCACCAACCGTAAAATCAATCTCTCAACCAAAAGTCTTTTCAGAGCAACTACCACCCCTTGCCGGTGGGACGCAGTCCGTTCGTTTGGTGCCAGATCCACACTCACTTCTGCAATAGCTGACACAGTAGAGGAATCTAGTCAATCTGAGACTGATCAAAGAAGAACGCAGCAGGCTCGGCCCGATGTTGAAAAGGCATCTTCTGCGTACATTCACATCCCGTTCTGTAAGCGCCGGTGCCACTACTGCGACTTCCCCATTCAGGTGGTCGGCAGCCGGCCAGAGAACGAGGCTGTCGCGGAGGGTATGGTGAGCTTTGATTGGAAGGATCAGTGTTGATAAAGCAAGGGTGGATAGAAACTTCTTCATTCTTTGCTCATCTGGAGGGCGAGGCTGCTGTGTCCTCTTGATCCGGAGGTCCAGCGAGGAACATCTCTAATAGGAACAGCATTGGATATATTGGTGGAATGATGAATGTAGTAGAATGGCGGTCGTTCTGAGTTCTGAAGTTCTGACATTCTGAAGTTCCCACCAGAAAGTATTCACTCGCGCTGTCCCCCGCTTTGCAACAGGAGTTCTAGATCAGTCGACCAGTTCAAATCTCACCACCTGATATCCCTGAAGTACTCTGGCAATTTCACCCTGCTTTTCAAAGACATAGGTTTCCTCCTAGGTGCAAGTCCTCAAGCGCCATGCATCATCCTTCTGAGCTCTGATTGCAGTAGTCAAGTTTTATCCAAGTTTGAATATCCTCCACCTACAGGAGCGATACGTCGACACAGTATGCCAAGAGATTGATGTAACAAGGGCCGCAGCGGACCCCGCTTCTTTCGAGCCCCTGCGCACGGTCTTCTTCGGAGGGGGCACTCCGTCTCTTCTCCCTCCCAGGCTCTTGGACCGCCTCCTAAAAAAGCTGGAGCACAATTTTGGAATCCAGTCGGATGCAGAGATTTCTGTAGAGATGGACCCAGGCACGTTTGATGACGATAAGCTACGGGCGTTCATGTCGACTGGTGTGAACAGGCTTAGCATGGGCGTGCAGGTAAGGAAGATTTTGAAACAAAGTCTCCAGGAATTTCCGGGTCATTATGTTGTTTTGGCACTTGGCTGATGCTTCTTTACATCCCTGCTCAAACGGTATGTGCCCAGCGGCGTCGAAAAGAGATTATTCAAATTTCGTATAGGCCTTTCTCTCTTTTCCATCATGAAACGAAGTCGAACAGAGAAGCCAGGTGTTTTGACTGTGCTTACGCTGTAAGAAGGTAAGAGGGCGAAGATTTTCTCTGTAAGGCAGGTATACAGGATAGTCAGGGTCGCGGACGGAAAAGCCTACGCCCTACTTGTTAGTGTCATGTCAACTGTCCTTTCTCTTAGCACCCCTCCAATACCAGGAGGAGAGGTCCCCCAAAACTTATTACCCGTCTGAGTCATCGACTTTCTGCGTCGCTTGCATAAACAACATCTGCATTTATGATATCTAAGATTTTCTTGTTTATGAACGGCTTCCTTCTGTGCACAGGGTTTCCAAGACGACCTCCTCCGACAGTGCGGCCGTTCGCACGGCCTCGCCGACGTTCACTCCGCTATAGAAACGGTCCACCGGTCGGGCCTTTCCAACTGGAGCCTCGACCTCATTTCTAGTCTGCCGCATCAAACCCCCGAGCTATGGCAACACTCCCTTGACCAAGCGGTCCAAGCCTCCCCCAGTCACGTCTCTGTCTACGACCTTCAGATTGAAGAGGGGACAGCTTTTGGTCGGTGGTTCAAACCGGGGGAAGGGCCGCTTCCCGGGGATGACGTGGCAGCGGGGATGTATAGGCAGGCGGTGGCGACGCTGACGGCGGCGGGGTATGGGCACTACGAGGTAAGGCGAGGCTAGTTTTGAAAGGGGTTAGGGAGGGGTTATAGATGCCAGGGAGTTTTTGACGGAGATGAGTCTTTCACGATCTGATGGACGGTGGTGCGAATGGAAGATGCAACAGAGCCTTTTGGATCCTCTTACCTGACGAGCATACTCAACTACCTGTGAAGTGCGGAATTCAAATGCCAGTTTTGGGGACGTTTTTGCTTCTTTTCCCGAAACTTAAACTTGAATTGGCACTTGAGGCAATCAGCTTCGCCTAGAAGACCTTTTTACAGCTGTTTTCCGTCCAGGGCTTTCTGAGGCACTCGCCGGACTCTCAAACGCGAATCTCTGCAACCATTGTGGGTCTCCTTTCAGCAACGTGGCACACATGGGGCACTGATATCAGGGGTCCCATTCTCGATCGTTTGCTCCTATTTTACCCCTGCTTCTTTATTTCTGACCTGCAATTTCGACCCGTTCAGATCAGTAACTACGCGAAGGCGGGTTACGAGTGCCGCCACAACTGCGTGTATTGGAACGGAGCGCCCTACTTTGCGTTCGGCCTGGGGGCCGCGAGTTACATCAACCGTCAAAGGTTCTCACGTCCGCGAAAGATGGCCGAATATCCGAAATGGGTGCAACAATATGCGGTGAGTGCCTAAGGAATGAGCTCTTTTGTCTTTAGCTCGGCAAGATTCCGATCTTGAGACTAAAAATTTCCAGACGGTGAAGGTGGTAATAAGAATCACACGGACGGATTAGTATCGGGTCAATCTAAAATTATCAATGAATCAGCTCGAAGAATGTGCTTGACACCTTGGCTGCAGGCTGCTTATCTAACGCTTGCACGGCAGCAGAATGCGGCACGGAAGTCGGAAACACGCTGATAAGCTTGCAGGGAAACCCGTGCGTAATTCTTACAACATTCTGAGAATCTCCTTATCTTGGTCGATTTCTGACCTTCTTGCGTCAGAGAGACAACTCTGGAGCTTTTAGTGGCCCCGTGCTTCGCGCCTCCTCGTCCGTTCTCGACCATTTTCCCGCCGGCGTAGTTTGGACCATCAGACCATTATTTCTTCAGGCTTCCCGGGGAGTCATCGACTGGCCGGAGGATGGCCCCGAGGAGCGACTGCTGGACCGGCTGATGCTGCGGCTACGGCTCGCTGAGGTCAGCAATACGCGTTTCTGCGGGATTGTCCGCATTTTCCCAAGGTTCAACATCTGGCCTCTTCAATGCTTCATCTGCACGGTATCAAAGTGAAGCCTATAGCAGAGTCGTGGAAGACAAGTTAACCGCTCGGGCTTCAATGAGATACTTACTGCAATCCAGCAAGCTACTGCTAAGAGAACCCCGCTCAGTCGTGCCTCCCCTTCAAGAAGCGGAAAAATTCCAGGGCCGTGTCTGAAGAAAGACGTGCCTAAATCAGCCCGAGTGTCGCAACGCCTTCTACATGGAGCTTTGGAACTTTAAGCACTCGTTTTCGCAAGGGAACGGTGCGCCGAGTGCGCACGAGCTTACGCCCATTGCTCTACTGAAATCAACTAGCAAGAAGGAAAAGTGATCTTCGTTGTATTGTTACAGGGGGTTGATTTGAAAGCCTTAAAGGACGAATTTGGGGAGGAAGCCGCACAGGCCGTCTGTAAGGTAAGGTTTGACGTCGAGCGGAAAGACTAGTCGAGAATCGACAGAGTGGCAGCTCACCGTTGGTTCGAGTCGCACGTCTTGATCATGTTGGAAACCGGGGAACAAGACTGCTCTTGTAGACCACGTAGGCGATTCGGATTGACATGAGGACCACCTTTTTGTGTTCGACACCGAGCGTTAATAAATCTCTAAGGTCGTCGAAAGGGAGCGTCGGCATGACTGCGTCCTCTCAGGGTAGGCATAGGGCTCGTGGATTTCTTCGTCTCTGTGCTTCGGGTATCGACTGTTGTCAGATGGCCAGTGCTGAGACTACGCTGTGTTAATGTCGTTCGCAAGACGTCAGAAGGCAATTGTTTCGAGCTGAAAGACGCAATTTCGATTGGAAGCGCTAATCCGTGCGGATAACCAAAGTTTTTTCACGGCTAAGACTCGGTTTCGACGCAAGCGCACATTGCTGATGGTGCAGATTTAGATTGAGCAACCTTTGATTGTGCGTGCATGTTTTTGGGTGCAGGGTTTGGCGCCATTCGTTGCAAGCGGGCACGTTATTCCCTCTGAGCCGGCTGCTAGCAACGGACCTAGAGGAAAGGAGAACGGGGTCACCTTATCGTTGCATTCAACGGTCAGGCTGAGCGATCCAGAGGGCTTTCTTCTTTCAAACGAGATTCTTTCAACACTATTTGCTCAATTGCCTAATGAATCCTAGCAACAAAAGCGTTTATCCTTGCAATTTCTGAATTTCGACCCGGCAAGAGCCGAAATCACGCTGTTTGCGAAAGACAGGACATGATTGACAATCTGCCGTACAGGCTGCCAGGTATGTAGCGGCTCTGAAAGGCGACCTACCGCCTACCGCATGTAAGTACAAACAGATGCACTCACTTGGAGGTTTATATCGATTCAATGCTTGGTTGTATACAAACCATGCATGGATGCAGTGTACGTTACCTAGCAGCCATGCAATATTCCAAGGTGTAAAGAGAGTGGCGGCGGCATGCATCGCGCAGCTTGCCAACCGAGGCCAGCGGCCGCCTGGCATCAGTGAACATGATCGACATTTTGCCGTACTAACGTGCGCTTCGTTGTATAATAGGGCCATGCAGGCCCGGCGACCATGCATGGTTGAACGGCCGCGTCGATCATCGATCTCACAATCAAGCAACCGTTGAACGAGGCTCAGTTACATTGTCGCGCGAATGATCATACACCTACTGCAATTAAGCATGAAGAGTCAGGCCACCAGCGCGTCAGGCTGGATATGACGTTCATATCAGCCATGCATGGAACCTTCTGAAATTCGGTGCACGGGACTGAGGCTCCAGTGCATGTTTGCAAGACGTGATATCAATTATATGAAGGTGGCCACGTACTGCAGCTCGATCCTACTGGAAGTGAGCCACCAACTTACTATAGATGACGCGCGCGCCCAACCTCTAGGTTGACACGTCAGGTCAGAAGAACTTCGAGTCCTTTGGACCGGAAAGCTGCACATATACTAGATTAAGCAATGGTTGCCCTTATCCCTCGACATGTCTATCCGACATGCTCCAAACCCCAGTTTTCTATGTACAGAATCGACGTCCTTCCGATAGTATCTGCAACAATCTCATTATACAGGGTCCTCTAGCGTAGCATTAACGAGGTCGTTTATCCTTGGGTAGGAGACCTTCTCGTCGAGCTGATTCTGTGCCCACACGAGCATCTTGAGCAGGCTGGGTAACCGGGGATCTGAAAAGAAGAGACGTGCTTTATATGCACTCAACACTTCTCCCTTGCCTGCCTATCAAATCAAAGAATCAAGATGGTCATGCAGACTGGGACAGGTGGGGAGATGCAGGCTTCGAGCAAAACTCGTTTTCACTGGTGTCTTTTAGTTGGAGGTCCTCCAAGCTTGCTGGCAATTCTTAACAGCCTTGAAACAGAACAACCGGAGGAAGTGTTGGGGAGGAAACAACGCACCTTTCTCGTGGCTCTGACTCGTCAGGATCGCAGCATTCAGCTCGCTGGCTGTCTTTTGCCGTTGACTGATGTCTAGCAGGTCCGATACTGGGCTGTTTGCGGTGTCCTCAAACGCTAGCAGCGCAACTGTCCGCTCAAGCTCCTCCAGAAATTGGTGCTGCAAAGAAGAGGAGACGGTCGATACTCGAGCTCAGATCTTTATCATCGAGCACCATCAGAGACTTGGAGAAGCTTCCAAGAATTAAGGCGAAGGGTTGGCAATCTGGAGAGAGGATGATCATACATCCGGCAAACATGAGTGCCTTAGCATCTCAAGCGTGAAAGTTGAGATGTTGAGGGGCAGCCCTGATCTTATGCCAAACTTTCGGAGCAAGACACTTACATTTTCCTCTCCCCGTGGAGCAAGCTCTTCCTGTGCAAACTCTAGAGCTTCTTCCACCTTTCCACTCCGTATCAACTCAATCAGCCGCTGTTGTTGAAGGTGGAAGAAGAGCTGGGGATTGGTGTCCAGTATCTGCAGAAAGGAACATTTGTTTTCGTGTAAATCACATGTGGATTCTTACCCCCCGTAAGTCCTGATATATACGGGCCAGCCAAAACAAGACTTGCAGATCATGAAAGAGTGACCCGAAATCGGTTCCCGTTTCTGTGCGTGACCACCAGCGCATTGCTGCCGCTTTTCTGAAAAGGCATGATCCATCAATTGGCATGTCTTTCCACTCTGTATGTTGAGGCAGCGCGCTTCCAGATAATTAGCCAGAGAAGTTCAACAAGATCAGCTTCCGCTTCAGCGCATTTGGAATTGCAAATAAGGGCTTCAAGACCGTTTTTTAACTGGATACATCGTTGTCGTCAGTGATATGCACACATCGCCGACACCAAAGCTTCAAGCAACCACAGACATGGGAAAGAAGATCGCACCTCGGGATTCAGATCGTTGACCTTTTCAAGGGCATCCTCCACATTCCCACTCTGAACCGCCTTCCGTACAGTCATCCGGTCCGTGATAGTGCTCAGGTCAATCTCCGCTGCAGGTTGAAAGGTGGCGAACATCACTGACGAGGCCTTAATCAAGCCTACGTTTGGCTTCTGACCTGAGATGAATGTTTTGCCCTTCCAAAAAGTACACATATAGCAGGTGATTGATAGCAGGATACCTGCTGTGTGCGCCCTGATGGCAGGCTATCGTGACCTCAAGAGCTGAATGGCAGGCATCGCTAAGTGGTCTAAAATGCTTAGCCAGACTTCATGAGAGCCTGCTGAGGCAAATACGTCCAAAGTTCGGACATTCACTGCGACCTGGCTCACAACGGTTGCGACTGAAGACATGCAATTCCCCTTCTGCCAACATTGCTCCAGAGAACATGGCATCAAAGTGAAAGAGTGTCGCTCACGTTTTACGCCGGACTCGAGCTGAAACTTCTCCGCAGCGTCTACATAACCCTCGGTGACAAGGTAGTTCATGACCAACTTGTTCATGTCCTCCTTCCTGATCTTCACATCGCTCAGCCTCTTCTCCCAATCTTCTCTACCAATGACCTTCTTCGACGATGACTGCAGGGAATAATAAAGTAGGTGGAGATTATGGTTGCAAAACGACATATATCACATCAGCTGCAATGAAGGACACCCAGTCGACACCCAGTCGAGTTAGGAAAGTATGAGTTTTCCTGAAGTCTACAACTTTCCCTGGCGTTCTTCACTTTCTAATGAGCCGGTTGGCTGCTAAAATTCAATGCACTAGTACGCCACCTGAAGTGAAACATTCTACATAGGCAAGGACAGCACAAAGGGCCATAGTTATATGATCAGCACAATTGCACAAGTGACTCCACTTCACATGCTAGAACGGACTAAAGAAACTGATGAGCTGCATAAGGTTGGTGCAGCAGTGAGTGCGTCCAGACAATTGCATCCAGCATGTGCTACTCCTTTTATTTTGAATATTTCATGATGAACTATAAAAACAATGAGACAGATGCTCACCTCCCCCTTTCCCATCCTGTTGAGATGAGCGGCACAGCCGCGACCAATGCGAATTGGGCAATTGCTATAGTATCTCTGTGCGCTTTCTTTGCTCCTTGCCCCTCAAGAATAAACCGCTCCTTCACCGTCAGTTGCTGTATCTTTCGGGGGTGGCCCAAATTCCCCAGATCCTCAGTGTTCGTGGCGAAACCTAATTGATTTCGCCAATTAGGTTTGCGCATTAGTTTGCGCATATTCGCGCAAAGGGAGGAGTTTGCGCAGGCTGGCGAAATTAAGCGCGGCCGCGCGGTCGCGCGTAGGCGCGCGGCGCGGAAACACCTGTGTCAATGACATTTTGGGCCCAGGAGCAGTTACTCTTGATCTTGTATGACCAGTCTGCCTTGAAGGCAGCTAAATAGTTGAGTTAGCGTCAGACCAATACCGATTTCGGCACCAAGTTATAGGCTGAGGCGCCCGAAATTGCATAAGCATACAGATAATTTCGCCAATTTCGCCAATTAGGGTGAATTTGCGCTTCAGCAATTAGTGTTTGCGCATTTCCGAAAACAATTTCGCCACGATCACTGCAGATCCTACAGCAAGCGTCCTACAGCAACAACAGGCTTGAGTTTGAACTTGGAAGTTGAAGTTGAAGCCTGCAGTGCATCAGGACAATCATCAGGACAATCATCCGGACAACACGTGCATCTTCCGTGTGCGGACGCTCTTCGGACTGGAGGTTTGCGAAGCTGTTCCGAAGTCGAAGTGGGCGTCCGCAATGAACGGCCGGCCGCGTGGGCGCCTGTGCGCTTGAAGCGGCCGCCAGCGACGCGCTAGCTCCTGCCGGAACCACAAAGAAAGCAAAGAAAATCAGATCGCAGCTTCGTACCTTGTGAGAAGCTTTTTACGCTTTCAAGGCGAGCTTTCTGCATGCTGCTGCTATGGCTGACGCGGGGGCTGACGAGATCACAGTGTGCCACAAAAGCTGGGTTGGTACAGATTATCTAGTAAGGAGCCGAGGATCCTCACGTATCAAGTTCAAGCATTAAAACGAAGGGAGAGAAACAGAAAAACTAGCCGTTCGCTGCTGCCGGACTGGTACGTCGTCCATATAAGGTGGTCAGCTCTCTTAGAATGGAAAGTGCGACTCTATTGCAGCAAGTGACCGCTTTGAAAAGTGAGTTGGATGCGGTAAGTGAATCCGGATTTCCTGCTGAAGGCTAAGCAACATGCATCAGATGGTTTGATTTGGGGCAATCAGCTGCACCTTGTTTGAAAGAGGAATCTCAGCAAGGAACGCTGAGAAGCAATGCTTGAAATTCAGTCTCAATCAGACAGTGCGTTGGGCTTCTTCTGAATGTTATGCTCATTCTTTTCTCCATTGCAGGTGGACGCAAGTATAACGTACGAAATTGGAAAGACTCGAGAGATCGAGTCCTCAATCGTCCTCTGTGAGGACGAAGTGCGAAGCTGGGAAGATGAGGAGCAAAGTTTGCTCAGAGAGCATTGCACCTTTGCAACACAAGCAGAAGACTTTGAGAACCTGAAACGTAAGGAACACTCAGCAATCACACTTTCTGAGCTTCGGACACCCAACCTGCGATCAATATTCAGGGAAACCAGAATGATGTGCATTTTCGATCAGATTCACTCTCTTGAATTTTCTGAGGATGTGAGACGAAGCTGATTCTCTGACAATGTTTCGGTTGTTTCCTCGACAAGAACCAGATGAGCAGCAAACAGGTTATTCTTTGATGGTAATTTTGGAATGGCGTGGAATATTTTTGTTGCAGAAGCTCTAAAGAAGGAGAAAAACAGACTAGACGAAGAGATTCTGCTGGCAAAGCGTATCAAAGACGAGAAGCAAGAGCTTTTAGAAAAACAGAGGTGAGTAAGTTGACGCCGCATGCAAACAGACTCCTATCAGCAAAGCACATCAGTTTCTTATGTTTTGATTGTCGTCGAAGCAGACCTGCAAGGAGATTGATTGGATATGTAGCGACAGAAGTCCGTGAAAAGTTGTGTTCATTTTTTGTCATCCGTCCTGTGCAGGCAGGAATTCATTGACTTTTGCAAGTCTTTTCATAAAGCCCAGCTAAAGGTTGATCTAGCTAAAGAGCGGAAGGGCTTCGAGCAAGCCTGCAACCAGTTGCAGAAAAGCATCGACAAGGTTTCCGCAGAGACTGAGCTCCAAAAAGAGCAAGATGCAAATCGAGTGAGGACGAAGAAATCGGCTGTAACTCGTTTGCGGGACAAAAGAGAAGGTAAGATCTTTGGCAACTGTCCTTAATTTCCACACCAGGTTCTGCAGGTCCTATCCGATCAATGACAAATTCGAGTGACAAGTTCATGTCACGGATGGATTCTTGTAGTTCACAGAACTCAACTAGAAGAACAGCATGAAGAAGGTCAATTGCAGACGCATCGTGTCTCTTCAGGTCTGAACCTTAACGTGAAGACTGCCGAACGGACATTAGCTGCAGCCAAAGTCAGGGCCGAGCGCATTGCCAAAGAAACCGTAGCACATGAGCGTGACCAGACTCTCAGAAGGTAACACCTGAAACAACTGCAATGGTGTACTCGGAAGATTTTCGAAGCATTGTGCTGTGTTTAGTAAGTTTGCCTATGACCTGCAAACCGAAGGATGACGTGAACGCCCTGCGGTGCACTGCTGAAGCGTGTTGTCCTGGTCAAGGCGCTCCAGCAAAACTTCAGATTGTTCTGCTTATTTCACAGGTTGGTGGCTGAACTTGATGCGGTAGAGGACGAGATAGCGACCCTCAGCGATTGCACTGCGGGCCTCGAAGCGCAGCTACCAAAGATAACGAGTGAGCCTTCCAGGGTTGTATCTCACTTGATTTCACGTCCTTTTAAATATGCTGAATTGTTGCAAGGTCTCGATCCAAGCAAGACCGCTGGCCGTAGCAGTAATGGCATGAAATCTTGCAGGGATTATTTTGAGATTCATTAAGCATGTTGGCTTTGGTTGCAGACGAGAACTGGATGTTGGACAACAGAATCAAGCAGAAGCGGGCCCAGTGCAATCGGTTGGAGCAGCGCGCCAAAGTCCACGAGTGGGTGCTGCATTGCCTAGCATGGTGGTTGGAATGTCGTTGGCAATCTCAAAACAACTTTTCTCCCTCGATCTGGTGGAGACGCTTACCTGATACTGGTCGGGTTCTTGGAGAATGGAATCTTGCAGAAAAGCGCTGTCAGGACCAGACGCGACCCGATTTTCTTCTGCAGGATCACTCAGATCTCGGCATGCTTTGAGGCGAGCTTGAACGAAGAAGCCGACGACTACTCTCGTCCGGGACGAGAACTTCCTCAGGTAAGTGTCCCTACAATACATCCGCGAGTCGCTCCACAAGTTGCGAGCGAGGTCGTGGCTGTGTAGTTTCAAGAAAGCGGTTCTAAGTATAAACGTTGCTCTCACAAGAGATTCCTCCTGCTCCCTTGAGTTGCCTGCTTTTCCATAGCTCTCCCCCGTTGCCTCTCCTGGTTAAGGCCACCACTTAACCAGAACCTCAAATCACCTCCGTTCCCAGCAGAGTGACCGGGGAACCGCACCGCCCCACCCTGCGGCGCTTCTCCCAGGCCGCCAGCGAATGGACATCCGGACACATCACTGGACTCCGAAAGGCCCATACAGGAAAAGCGCGCTGCCTCTCGCGAGCCCCCCGGCCAAGCCTTCGCCTGCGGAACGCATGCCGCGAGCCGCTGCCGCGTTCGGGAGGGGTGGCTTGCCCCTCAGGCGCAGTCACGAGCGGGAGACGGATGAACAACACGTACGTGTGCTGCTTACGTAAATGCTTACGAAAGAAGTCAAGCTCCTGTTTCAAACTTTTTGCGTGCTTGGCAAGTTTGGGGAAAGGAGCAGAGTCTCCTTTACTAGCGTGTTAGCGACAAAGGGTTCGCGCTTTGGCGCTTAAAGTGCAAATCGGCTGCGCCTGGCTCATTAGGCCAAATGCTGATCACTCCTTTGTCAAAGAATTGTTGCCCGGTATGTATCAAGAGTTTTCTCAGGCTCGATACATACACTTTTTTTGCAGCAGTCGTCCAAGGTCAGCCAAGCTTACGAAGCACCGGCGACAGGAGAGTGCGGTGAAGATCCATTGCCAACGTTCACGCGGTTTGGTGTAAGGAAAAACAGGCCCCAAATGAAACCGCTCTTCGATTACGATGATAGTAAGTTCATGAGACCATACACAGGCAGCGCCAAGATCACGGAGCTGGAAGATTCGCAAGCGCAGTCAGACGAGAACGCTGAGCTCTTGAACTACCAGTGGAGTAAGAAACGAACTCAATGAAGTAGGACCGAAGTGCGAGAGCTTCGCGGCGTCGAATCGGCCGTGGTGAAACAGTGGCACGAAGTTATTATGAGTCTTTCCAAAGCATTTTGAAGGTCGAAAATTGCATTTACCGACTTGAAATTGTTCGGACATGCATCGAACTGTATCAAGGATCTGAACCGCTCAACAGTCAGGCTTGGGTTCCCTGTGGTACATGATCGACGGGTGCGGACTCGATTCGCTCCCGTGCTCGTCAGCATGCATGATCCTGCAGTTGGCAAGCCTGTTGTGGGCCTGTCAAGGGGCTGTAATGACTCTCCTCTGAATGGTCCGTTACTTTGTAGGTCACTCGTTTGGTTTTACTTTCAGATACACAAGCTCGAAAACTTATTTAGGCTGCATATGATATCAATGCTAAGTACTCTACATGGATACCGCGGACGCGCCGACATTAAGAATCATGTGCACTCCAGACTCAGGACAGAGAGCCCGAACTTGCGTCCCATCGGCTTGTGTTCTTGACATGATGATATATTACGGAAGGTGCATCATTAAAATGGCTGCTGCAGTTATGCACTGTGGTGCTTTCTCATGCTGTGCGGCCCGGCTCGTACAGTCACCGTCATGCCATGTTTTGTCGGCCAAGGCGGCAGGATTGCATGAGTCCGGATTCCGACTTTCATGTTTGGCAATCGCGGCCGCGTGCGGCCTCCTTGCAAACGACAATTCGCGGGCGCTTGCAGGGCCTAGCTCTCTTGCTTGATTTGGCAGATAGGTGTGCCAATGAAGGCTGGTAAATTACTGTAGGAGAGTCAGCTACCTGCATTCACATCCGAGCCGCTCATCATGCACACCAGACTGCTATTCTGGAAAAGTACTGCCCACAGTCTCCGAGTCACATCCCAGGTTATCAACCCATGATAGGTGCCAATGGTCCATGAACTCAACTTCGGTGACTCTTGAAGAACCCTGGCCTGCTATCAATCTCAAAAATAAGGACTTCGCAACATGTGTCGCTATTATATAGACAAGTAATATAAATGTTTTTATTCGTAGTGCAATTAGAATTCTCTTGATTTGTCGTTTGTACGTACTAAGTTCAAGTTGACATTTGATTAAATGTGCGTCTTCAGCTTGAGGAGCTGAAGGCTTTACAACGCACTTCAAGTTTGCTTTTGACCCAATTTCGCTGCCGCTTGCTAAACCAGCAGTCTGCCACTTATGCAGTGGCGCAATCACGGTTCTTCCGTCACGGGTTTGCTTCCTCGTCATGCCCCTGGAATACCAGATTGATTGTCAGACTCGCACTCTGCTGATTGAAAGCCTTGCGAACCCTTTTGAGCCACATCCACAACATTTGATCACCACACCTAAGCCGTTAATCTCAGCAGAAGCATCATGCACGCTTGTCTAACAACGCCCCGAACAATTTTGGAATGTCAGACTTGGCATCCCCACACGTCAACACAAAGCCCGACACCCAAACGCCCTTGATCTTTGGGTCCAACCAACAAACCAATGCAACGCTGCACAAGATTCGAGCAGCAAATGTAACCGGAAACGGGTCCCAACTAAACTGGCAGTGCGGGTCGAAAGGACGGGCCAAAACTCGACGTAATGTGTCGAGACGAGGTTTCTCTTACCAACCCACATACCTGCCCTTCGGAGACTGAGTTCTGCTTCACAAGCTCCTGGAATTGGCGCATTGTCTGCTTGTCCTGCCTCCGCCGCCGAAGTACAACCACAACGCCAAGACCGAGGGCAACGAGCGCTATCCCGCCCGCCACCACGAACAGTATGACGTACCACTGCGTCAGCATTGAACAGCGTCAGCAGCAGCGTTGTCCGAGGTCTGAATCGTGCTGCTGACGTGATGCAATCTGCCTGAGCGTAGGGTCTCGTTGGGGACGGGAACCGCTCGGGAAAGCCAGGCAGCTGTTCGAAGCACAACCAGCAAGATATTGGCGTTCTCACATGGACGATAAGGATCGGAAGAAGGTTCGAACAGTACAGAGGCGCTATCCAAACCTCGGTCCGGGATTACAAGGTTCAAAGACGTTTCGAGCAAAATGCAAAAGCTGGCAGAGTTGATCAAACAACAGAAATCATGCGGTTCCTGCCTAACCTTTGTGCCACCGCCACCCGTATCACCCGCAAGGAGGGTCGGCCCTGGGCTGATGACTGACGTCCCGCTTGTGGCAGCAGCTGCCGCCGCGCTGCTCACTGCAAAGAAAAGGAACCAAACGAAATTGCTTCGTATCTGATTTGGGCAGTCCTTTCAAAGCCTGGCTGGATGGTCTGTATACGTACTCGTGGATGTATCTGCGGGAAAGAGAGAAATGATGTATAAAGCAGCGGGGGAATTAGAGGGACTTCAACGTTGGGATAGCTAGTATAGAGCCTAGTCGAAGGCATATGCACTCGCACGAGCTGACTGAAAAGCTCCTTTTGTGCTCCAGAGTCACTCGAGTCAACCATCCAATGGTTCTCAGATAGAGCCTGAATGTTATGCTCATCATAGCAACGCTCTCCATCCGGACATGACAAAAAGCCCTCAGCTCAGCTACAGATTTTTCAAGGATTCAAGCGTGAAAGATTGTGGCGATTATGTCTGTGCTTCGTCGACCCACCTGGCTGCGAGCAATCCGAACCATTAAACCCGAAGGGGCAAACACACTTGAGGGCCTGGCACAGCCCCCCGTTGAAGCACACTGTGGCCCCGCAGGCCGTCCAATGAGCAGCCGCAGGCGCTGGACATCAACGAAGACAGACTCAAGGACCTGGTAATCTCGCACACCTAGTTTCTTGGATTCTCCGCCTTCGCTGGCTCCCTCTTGAGTTGATCATTTTGTCGCACTGATTTTGATTGTTACCGAGCAGCAACGTTACCGAACAGAAACGAGGACCAGCCTAAAAAGGTCTGGATTTTCGACTCGAAGATAAGCTGAAGGAGCTGGCGATTCTCGCAAGTGAACTACTTTTTCGCAAATCCTCTTGTTGTTGTTCTCCCAGAATACCTTCGAATGGTGAAGCAGTCAAGTTACTCTGAGAATCTGCTCCAAACCGGCCTGACCATACCAAATGAAGCTACGACTTCGGAAAGCTTGCGTGCGCGCAAGTTCCTTCTTGCTTAAGCGGAGTCGTTTGAAATGAGCAAGCGGTGCTGTGGCCACCCTTTTCAGATCACTGAACTAAAAACGCACCAGGCTTCCAACCTACGCATTCTCGGAATTGGATTTCATCTTCGCAGCATACTTGTGGAGAAATCTTAACGTCGTCTTGACCGTTGATTTGCAGACGCCTCGGCAGCTGAACAGGCGGAACGCACAATCTCGAAATGTCTGGGGGACAAGCGACCAGGCTGTCATCATCGTCCATCTTGTCAACGTCAACAACTTGACGGCTACGATTCGCCCTTTCCAGCGCAAGAGAGGAGGCCCAAGCTTAAGAGTCCGGTCCTGGTCGATAGCAGCTAACGCCCAAGTGCACTCTCAGACTGGCTTCATTAGGTGACGATCGGACGGCTGTGACAGCGTTTCGGCCATCTCAGAATTGTGCGTTCCGCCTGTGAACGGCCTCGAGAATCTTGCCTACAAGAAGCTGCACGAGATGCTGGACGAGGTACACGGCACCAAGAGCGCATAGGATCGTGCCGCGTGTCCAAATTCACGGCGTTGGGACACAAGTGTTGCTTTGAAAAGTTCAGTGGTTCAATCAGTCTGCCGTGAAGGCAGCAATACTTGGAGCGGCTGTCGGTAGCAATAGCACTTCCAAGGTCCTACTCGTGTTGCGTCGAACGAAATATCCAACCTGACGCGCACACGTGCGCGACCGTGGCTTCTTTGGCTGTTAACTTATTTCAACCGCTGCAGAAGAGTGCAGCAACATGAAAGCAGGCTGTGCGGTTGTGTAAGACAAACCTGAATATTTCATCTGTTGGTTCAGAGAGGACGCGGGTAAGGAGAGCCTCTACAGAGAACGGTATGGACACCTGATAATTGTTTCTCGTAAAGTTATATGGGATCGTGATGGCCTTTTAGTTTCCATGCCAGCGTGTAGTACACTTGGGCGTAAATTTGCCATGCATAGGGACAGGCTGCATCATTAACAGATTTCGATAAAGACGAGACCATCACTCGAACATATCATATTCTACTATGCAACGTACTGCAAGCCGCGCTATATCGTACATGAGAATTGAAGACCAGCGCAGCCATAGTAAAAGTTGCATTCCAATTTCATCGAGAGTCATTGCCCAACGGTTGCGAGAAGGCTTGGCCGAAGTCTCAATGAAGCCATACATTGGAACATCGAACGCATGGCGAGTGTGCATGGCCGGTTTATAATTGTGTCGAGCTTGATCGATATGACAAAAGGACCATATGGAGCTCTTAGCAATGACGTGTTATACCCCACCCTCGTCTCTCATCATTAAGCCTTATGTACATCTAATTCCCAAATTTGAGCAACATGGTGAGTATCAAGCTTGCTGTCACTGAAGCACGTAGATCCCAACTATTATCCTACCCGAACGTTTAGTCAAGTGGCTGAAGACGCTTGCCGCTTACACGCTTCTCTGTGGCCCCCAGAGCGCCAGGCGGCTGCCTGACATTCCTTCCCGCAGTATCTTGCCTGCAATTTCCAAACAAAAAATGCGACATGAGCGCGGATCGTGGAAGAAGCTCTCGTGTTTAGACGACCTCCTCCAGGATCGTGAAACGCTGACGTCAGAGTGCGACGTCAGAGATAAGACCGTTTCCTGCTCGTTGGCCGGCCTGCTCGTTGGCCGACTATTAACCAGTGTAAGAAGGCTCCCCGATAATAGTCGTACGGGCCTTCAATTTAAAGGGCTTTCGAGGCCAACTCCTACTGCCGACGAAACGAAAGCAACACTGCTGCGCGGCTCATCGGATCCGATGATTCCGAGAGCGGCCAACAAGCCGAGCGGCTAACCCGGAACGCTCGGGACGGGGATCAAAGCAAGCCGCCTGATAGGGACGACGTCCGGACGTTACTTTCTGAACAGAGGGAATGCTCGATAATGCAGCTGAGAGTTGCTCCGCTTTTTAGACTGATGCAGGACTGCGAAGCACAATAATGGTCGCGATCGGGCAACTCGAAAAGAGGGCGGCGCCAGATGCCTCGCCTTTGACCGAACAGGAAGCGCGCACGCAGCTCGACATGTCGCCGCAAAACTCTAGACTCCAAACTCGCGCCGCCATATCAAAACAAAGTACTCGGTATTTGACGCCCTTCTCGTCGCAGAACCAAACGGCCCACCTTCCGGCAGTCGCTACAGCGCAGGAGCTTTTTCCCGTCTGACGCCCTCTCCCCACAGTGATCGCACACCTTGGGCGTCCGTACATCACGTGGGGCCGCTTCCGGCGCCTCCACGCCCGATGATGCGGCTTGGTCGGACCCTCCGCTAGAGCTGGCTGCAAACGAGAACCATTGGAATGTTATGAACCATGCTTTTATACCGAGGTCATGTCACCCGCCTCACTAGCAACGTGTATCAACACCTTCCTGAAGCAGGGTCAGCTTTGCAATCATGACCGCGGGTACGGGCGATTGCAAAAGAACCTTCCGAACGGGACGTTAGAATCGGTGTCGTAAAGTGATGTGTGGTAAACCCGGTGTCTGCAGGAAAGCGATTGCCGAAGAGCGCCTGACGTGCGCAAAGTCTGGCTGCACCGACAGAGTAGAAGAAAGGTTCGGGCAGATTTGCAGAGTGCGAACCACGACTTCAGGCTTATACAATCCCTAAGACGTACTTGCCGAAAGTACAGCGGAGACCAGTTCCAAGCTTTCGTTTCTGAGCTTGACCGGTTCCAGCCGGAATCGAGTCTGAAACTGTACATGCGACAACCCAAGCGCTTGAGCTACCGTCAAAGGAGATCGAAAGCACCCCCCAACAAAACGTTACCCCACGACGTAATGAACCCACCCTAGGCTTGAAACTGCACCTTTGAGCGTCTAGGGGCGTCTCTGGCGCCGCGACACAGCCGCCTGAAAAGGGTTCTCGGTCTGAGCAGTTACAACTTACCCTCAAGGGCATTGCACGCGCTCTCGTAAGCAGCGAGCTCCCGCCTGACGTCAGCAACCGTTGGCGTTTCCTTCGTAAGCAGGCGGTTTACAGCTTCTTCGAAGGCGCGCCTTCGAGCGGCCGCGAGGGCTTCTTTTGAGCGGGCCTGTGGTGTGACTTGACGATGCCCTCCTGGAAAGACACGGGAAAAAGAATTTGACCACATCCGTCTTGACGAGAACGACGAGACTAGATTGAGGGACGTGGTTGAGGCAGGCCCCTGGAATCAATAGAGTAGATGTACCTTTCAACGGTGACCTCAAATCAACAGAATCAAGAAATAGGCCCCCTGAGAGCATGCGACAATGGGGGCGATCCTTATGATTAGTAACCGAGAGGCACGACCTTTTGAGAACGGACAGGCTAGATGATGTCCGGAAGCAGACTCGGAACAGCAAGGAGAGAATGCCTTCAAGATTTTCCAGACTTCACTGTCTGAATCCAAAAGGTGCTGAAACTAGAAATAGCAGCCCTCTGGATTGTCTGAGAAAAGATTGAATTGCCTCCAGCTCCTGTAACGGGGATTTGAGTCCTCTTAATTGCAAGCCAAGCAAACGGATAAGGTAGTCCCCGAGTACTGCAGATTCTACGAATTGTTCCAGGCCTTCTCTCGTCCAACTGCTACTGCGGTTCTGCATAACCTCTTCAACGCACCATGGAAGCGCTGCTATGACATCTGACATCACAACTAGGCTTTCAAAACTCCCCAAACTTTAGATACCCCGTTCTCAAGTCTCGCACCTGTTTCGTCAAGCCATCGTTGAACCTGATCCGCATTCTCCGCAATGCACCGCCGGCGGGCTTCCTCTCTCGCCCAGGTTTTCTTGATCGAGGCTTTTGCAGCGGCGATGCGGGCATCATTGGAAGCGGGAAGACCCCCCGATCCAACTCAGGTAGTTGCCGTCCATCTGGAAGGCATACGCGTCCATGTTGGCCGCCTGTAAAACAGAATGCAAGATCGTTTTACTTGAAATCCTGCAAGAAAGGCTGCCATGGTTCATTTCGGCAGCACCAGAGTTCAAGTACTGCCCGTGGCCACTTGAAGTATCTGGGACCTAGGTGTCCGGTCTTGTAACGACTGTCAGTAAATCAAAATTTCTTGGAGTTATCGAATGAAGGGCATGCAAAGCAAACTGGACCGGGAGGACTGAGGGACATCGAATAAGCATGACATAGGCAAACCTGTTTGATGACGTAACACAATTATTTGCTTTCAGACTTTATAAGCCGTAGTGCCAGCATAAAACTTTGTTCGCCGTTGCATATGTTGTATCTTTGCTGAACCATGAAAAAGCAAGAGGAAGTTGAGCGCAGAAAGCAAGTTTGTCCTCACCTTCATCACTAAGTTGTCTGCATCTTCCAACCCCACCCTTTTCAGTTCGCTGACAAAAGCAGCGTTCCTCGAGCACCTGGAGCCAATTCTCCCCCTGTAACCTTCTTCTCCCTCCTCAGCTCGAATCATTTCTATGCCAAAGTCGTCTCGACAAAGCAACGCCGCGCAAGCCAATGCATGCTCTTGATGCATTGGGCCCCCCCAAGGCTCGCTTTGTGAGAGGATAGGCGTCAGGCCGTCAACATAGTCTTCGGTACGTTTGTCTCTGATATTGGCAGTGGTTTCTAAAATGACATCCCACAACCAGGGGCACTCAGAGGGGATGTCCCAAGCACCAAACATGTCCTTTGCATAGTTTCGTACATATTCACCTGGGGAAAGAGGGTAAGGAGATTGACGTCACGGAGAGCTTGGAGAGAGCCTTCACAACTCTTTCTGAGAAGCTGCGCATGGCAGGTTGCATATATGAGCTATTCAACATTGCACATTTTTCTACTTTCTTCTACTTTGCATTGGCCTCGCAGCACAACAGAAAGCCTTCCAAGACAGATTCAAAAGGGGAGCTTGGGAGTCAAGGGCGGGGCTTTCTCTGTGAGAGTAAGGAACACCAAGGTTTAACTTGCCGTAACTCAATGTTGAGGGGGTGAATGATACAAACTGAGAAACCAAGCGCAGGGAGGACAGAGAACGAACCAGTCTGGAATGGACCACTTGCCACTGAGATTTTCTCACAGTCTAATTAGTCTGTTGACAGGAAGACAGACAGCATTGTGTGACTTGGAACAATTTTGTAACCCCAGAAGCTAATAGAGCTTCTGCACCACCGGTGCGCTGGAAGTCATGGGCAGAGACCTAGAGAGCTGCAACATCTTGGTAAAGCAGCCATCAGATCAGGCTTTCATGTCCTCACCTTCATCCCATGCCCCCAATAGGAGCAGCAATTCGCGCAGCTGCACGTTTGAGCACAGCGGCAGGAACGGCGTGAGGGCCCTGGAGGCGTGCTTGCAAACTGAACCCCGACTATCATCTTCGTCAAACGCCTCCGCCACCTTCGGCCCGCAGCAGACGATCTCGAATAGCTCATCCAGGACAAGCTTTAGTTTCAGGCACGCGAGCAGCTGTAGATTTTTCAGCTGGTTCCAAATGCCGCCTTCGGGCGTTGGCTTCGGATCTCTCTCGAGTGGCTTGCCACACTGGTTGTGGGAGCTGTCTCTAATTTCACTGAACGCATTGCCGATTGACTGCATCCATCCATGCGGCAGACCCTGGATGTCAAACACGGTTTTGTACTCCTCTAATAAATTCTTTCTGTACTTGGCCTTGGAAGCACGTGCTTGTGCCCTGAGCTCCCGCTTCTTGTCGTCTGCTAGCAACCCAAATGTATCTGTGTCATATGGATCCCTGTGTGCATGAGGAAACTCCCAATTACTGCGCTGAAAGTTTTGGAACGCGTCGTGGCCTGAGAGCACATACTGGAAGTCCTCCCCTCTGCCAAGGTCTAACTGCCCGTCTCTGACAAGTTTGCAGCTCTTGAGGTGTATCAGAAGGGCCTTCCGATCAATAGAACGGTCTGCATCTGAGTGTTCCTCTTGAACAGCGGCACCGTGTCGAGCCTCAAAAAGGTGTTGGAGGGCTCGCCCGCTTGGAATGTTGTAGTTTGAGGGAAATGGAAACATGTTGGACGCAGTCTGTCAACCTATAACGAGCAATTGCCGCCCTGCCCTAGAACAAGGCGTCCTGGAGCCGTTATTCAGTTGAACTCGGACCCAAATACATTTGCAGATGCGCAGAGGCCAGGTGGAGGGAATTTAGAGTCTTGGAAGTCACTGAGCAGCCATCAGCAGAGGGCCGGCTCGGGGCTGCTGCAGCGCAAAGTCGAAGTTTTGGCGGGTGATTCAGCCAATCAGATCAAAGCTTGACAAAGCCGTCCGATGCACGTCCGATGAAGCATCTGAAGGCTTACGACTGCTCAGGCCTCCAATGATATGTGGCGTCGATCGGCACGTTTGGTCATCGGATGGTGGCGAACAGATTGGCTGATGCATCATTGTTCAATCTGAACTCAATCTGAACAGCTTGCCAGGCCGGAAAGCATGACTGCATGTCTGCTGAGTGCGCTCTTCTGCAACTCCAAGTGTCTGACTTAATCAGGTTCTTAGATTAACCTTATGCACATCGATCATCGCCACACATTTGAATCCGGCGCGGCGAACAGCGAAACTTGAATTGGACTTACCTATTCGAAAACTTGGACGATAGACCAACAGTCTATCTTGGTGATTTAGATTAAGCCCACCTTGTGCAAGGCGGCGGATGTTTGTATACACTAATGCTGACCAATCATTTCAATCGGGTTCGATCCGGCGTTGTGGCATTTTTCACGGAAAGTTGGCGGCCAATGACGTCAGTTCGGTTTCCGATCCTTGGAGGCGAAACAACAGGGTTGCAAGGTGATTTCAAGGCGGCAGCATGTCACCAGTCTAATTAACTTCTCGTTCAATTATTGACGCATATGATGCAAATTGCTTTTTCGACATGCAGATTGCATGACTAGATCGAGCAGATCAGCTTAGTGACCTCAAAGCGGACCGTACAATCAAGAGGTGAAGTATCAAGTGTTGGTCCGAGCCTTCTTGCAAGCCTGGATAAAGTACGCCCTTCAAGTTCGTGCCAGCAGTGAGTTCCAAATTTTGACTGCACGTACCAATCCTATAATAGTATTAGGACGATTGCGGACTTGGTTGACGAACTTATGCAACCAATGCTCCAGGTTATCCACAGTCCGAACCCCTACACGAAGGTCACAGTCGACGTAAATACATACTTATACCTATGAGCGTCTGTCGATCAACTCAAAAACGCTTCGAAGAGTGGATCGCATCTACAGTGCATGTTACATTACATGCACTACATTTCAAGAAGTTACATCCGTTACATCTGCTTGTAGGCGGAGCCGCCAGAGGCCAAGACCTCATGCCGAGATCTGCGGAACCACGTGACGCCGCAGATGCACATAAACGCAAGGGTGTATACCCCGTATCCCGTCCAACTCACGTGAGGCGGTTTGTCCTGCACCAAAGAAACATCACGGTTGACACTGTAGGCTAGGGTGGTCATTGAGATTGGTGATAAAGGGACCTGGCTTTTCTTGGTGTCTATATTTTAGGTTCTCCTTCCGTTCTTACCATACACTTTTCCGCTGAAGGCAAGTGAATCTCCGGCCCGCAGACTTCTATGCCACATTGACGGATAGTCCTCAAAGTGCGGCTATGTTGTTGAGTCTGAGCAGAATCAGAAGACCGGGCATGCTCAAAGAAAGAAATCGAAAGTGACACCAGGTCTTAAAACAGAAGCTGGCAGGCTGTGCTACCCGGGTATCATTCACATACCATCTCTAAGCAACCCTGAATGGTATAAAATGATGCCATCTCTAAGCTTGGGGGACACCATGCGGCTACTGTGCTCGAAAGTGATCTATTGAGCAGCCCGGTATCAGGTTTGGGCGGGTTCTAGTAGCGAAGCATCAAGTTAACGACGCAGAGTTGCCGATACCCATATGCAGGCGCACCCTCGAAACATACTTAGCATATTGACTCTAAAATGATCAAAATTGGTGTCAAGATTTCGAGTCACGCACCACCATGGCCGGCTGCCACACCGCCCCGAAGTAGTGCACACCGACCCCAAACGCGGGCAGTAATTGTCCGGCTCCCAGAACCCGCTGTAGCAGTTCCCCCGTACGGAGCGCCGTCGCACAGGACACGGTGCAGAGCGCCAAGAATATGACGTAAGCGAGGAGCGAGACGAACTGGAGCATGACGTAAGCGCCGGGGGAGTAGCGCTGGAAGAGCGCGAGGGGGTCTTTGTAGACGAGGGCGATGAGGGTGAGGACGGCGGAGTGGAGCGCGAGGTAGGCGCAGCACACGAAGATGACCATCTGCACGGAAAAGGGGTTAGGCGGAGGATTAGAGGAATGGGTCAATGGTGGGCACACAGCACACAGGTAACTATCTGCACAGGACATGGGGCACGAAGATGACCACCTGGGCGGGGAAAAAGAGGGGACCGGGTAATTCGTGGGCGCGGCAGACGAAGAAGACCATCTGCGCAGGAAAGGACTTAGGCGGGGGGCAAGGGGAGTGGGTTACTGTCGGGCGCAGTACAAGACGATGACTATCTCGCAGGAAAGGTTAGGGTGAGGGTTAGGGATTGGGTTAATGGTGGGCGCAGCACACGAAGCGGACCATCTGCGCAGGAAGGGTCAGGGGGAGGGTTAGGAAAGTGGGTTAATGGGTGTGCGTGGCTCAAAAAGCTAAGCATTGTGGGGACAGGGAGGAGACAGGTCTTCTGAGGTTCGTTTCACGGTCCAACTTGTGAAACCAAGCGGCGGTCTTATGCCAAACGAGTAAGTAGTCTGATACAAGCAGAAGATATTTCAAACCAGAGATATCACCTGAGTGCGTGAGGCACAGCAGATCAGGATTAGCAACATGGACACTTGAGGATCAGCGATGTTATTGCAATTCCTGCGGGGATGCAAACGGAGACACGGAAAAGAGTCCAGCTGCTAGACATATGCGGAGCTGCTCTAGAACAGAGTACGCAAAGCTCATCCGCTGGTTTCCGCTTCCCTAATGACCTCTTTCCAAAGTACCATCAATCAAGTTCGCTCGTCCCCGTTGACTCACGCAGGCAGTCTGTGTATGCACGGGTTTAGCTGCTAACCCACCTGCAAACTAAAGACGGTCTTGAGCTTCTGGCAGAGAACGACGACGGCCACGCCCGGCACCAGTAGGAGCAGCATCACGATGAACGTGGCAGTAGCTCCGGACGCTTTCGGACCAACGACGCCGTCCAATGTGGTCCGGATCTGAGCGTGGGTGCTGCCGTACGCATTGGACGTCGCCTGCAAAGAAGATCAGATGGCTTAGTTGAGGAGGGGGCATGCGAACTCTCAGAAAAGCGCTGGCGACGGGGAAGCATGTTCGCCGGCTTCGAAGTCACCCGTTCTTAGTGCCCCGTCAGCGGATGCACTCGCGTGGCCGCGCTTCCCCGTAAATCCTTGACGTTCGGTACGAGCAATCCCTGCTTCACTAAACATGAAGTGCGCATTGGTGTTGCATGCCTAGAGGCTGGCACGAATCAGAATCTTTTGTGTTTGTTAGGGAGTCCACTTCTTTTTTGATAGTCAAACTCCACACTTTTAACCTGTGTGCGGCTGCCTTTACGAGAAGAATGCAAGAGCGGGGAAGCAAGTGCCCGTGATTGTCAGAAAGCGGAAGCATCTCGTACTCGGTGAAGCGCGTTGACCGTTGACAAAAACAATATGAAAGAGATGTTATCTAGCATATGCAGGAAAACGAGAGCGAACGTTTTCGACCAGAGGAAGCTTGTGAAGTTTTCGCAAGGGTCAAGTAAAGCACTGAACTGCGAAGGAACAGAAGGAATCAGCAGCGGGATTCTCGCACGCAGAAGACAGCCTAAAATAGCTTTCCTGGACCTTTAGGAGAAGCCAATACTGCATACGAAGAGGCGAAAGGGCAGGAGAAACTAGTGGCGGGGTGGGAGGGCGCCTGGACCTTTCACCAAAAGCGCGGTCGAAAAGGGAAGCGAGAGGGCATAACAAACTAGAGATGGCAGAATCTCCGCTTTGCACCTGGGAGAGCGCCTGGACGTGAGGCACGAGGTGCTCCTGGGCCTGCTTCTGCACAGCTTCCAGATTGAACACGCTGTCCGAAAAGGGGGTGTCGTCCTCGTCAAACGGAGACCAGCTGTCTCCCCCCTTGCTCGCCAAGCCCTCGTCCAGATCCGGGTCACGGGCTAACCCGGTTTCCAAACCTTCTTCGTCAACCTGGGTTTGCCCTTGACCCGAAACGCTTTGGGTGTCAACACCCGACGCATTGAAGCCCACCGGAAGGATACCGTCCGTCGCTTCTTCAGCGGGGTCTTCGACGGGGATCCCCCACCCCGCATGGGGGGTGAGGCGCGTGATGTTTTTCATCAAGCTGGCGGTCTGCGCCTGAACTGTGGCAACTAGGTGTGCCGCGGCCCCAGAAGCGTTCCAGAAGGACGTTGCGTTCCGGGTCGCGTTTAAGGTAGCAATGTCTGCAAGCGGAGATGAGCGGTGTTTCAGAATGGGCCTGAGTATTGGGAGTGGAGAAACAGTTGGTTACGATTGAAGAGACACTGAAGGCTCTGTCGCAATCCATTCTGTGAATTCGGTTGATTGAAGGTGGCCTCAAGGCTGAACACCGCAACTTGTGTCACAGATTCCATGAAAGAGAAAGTTTACGCTCATCAAGTTCTTGGATATTCCCTGAAGTCCGTGACAGATCCTCCCAGCTGCCGGCTCAATGAAAGCAAGATCAGCATTATCTAGACGCTTGGATGACGCAGAGATTACTCGTCGGAAATGTTGATGCGCAAGCTTCGTCCTTGACCAATCAACCAAGTGGCGGATTCAGAAAGATGCAACGGGGCTTATTCACAGCTTTTTGGGAGTAGAGACTTCTTCGCTCCCGCCTGCCGACCACCTTCTTGACCAAATACTACTTCATGCAAATGCTCATGTTTCCAACACAATTTCCTTGTACATCCCTGAGGAAGGATGTCAGGATTTGAACAAGGCAAGGGACGCCAGAACCAGTGTTTACCTGATTCGGGAACCAGCCTGGCAACTTCCGTTGTCACCTTCAGCGCTGACGGTGCATCCACACCCGCGACCGCTTCCACCTCCCCCTCCTCCCAGTCAAGGGTTTGGCCATCCCCCCCTTTGGCCTGCAACTCAGAGTCCCCCGCACGGTTCAAACTGCCCAGCCCCACCCGCTTAACCTTCATGAGCGCCGGCTCCTTATCCAGTTCCTCTCTCTGCTCGTCTGTGTCTCCGAAGCTCTTGCCTTCCAACTGCTCGACCTCCCCGCTATCAAGATTCCCCTTGCCGTCTTCTCTAAAAGCTTCACTTTTGGATCTGTCGACATTCCCGACACTGTCTAGAAACCCCCCACCTGCCCCTTTCCTGGACCCCTTGCCTTCCTCTCCCTCCCTTACTTGAACTTCTCCAACCCGTTCCCTATCAGTCTCCCTCAGGAGCCCTTCTTCCGATTCCTCACGCTCCTCCTTCTCACTTCCCCCGGCTGCCCCCATCAACTCTCCTTCTGGCTCCGCAAGAAGCTCCTCTCGCGCCTCGTTGCTGTTCCCTTTGTCCCCTCCCCCAACCAACCGACCCCAGAACCCAGTCGACCTCGTGGTCGAAACCACTTCCGAATCAGGGTTGTTCGCAGCCCTCGGAGCACCCTCTGTTTTGCCGCCGCTGCCCTCCTCCTGTCCTCCCACCAAGCGGTTCCAAACACTCGTCCGTATGTCGGGCGACGTTGTTTCAGACTCCGTACTTTCATCCGCCTCTTCTGTGCCACTCTCCGGAAGGGCCGCCGCAGAGGATGGACGCTGCGCCCCTGTGAACGAAGTGCTGTTCACAGGAAGCACTGCAACAGATGATGCATTAGCTGCTTCCCTCTTCTGGCTAAACAAATCATTCAGCAGTTTCTCGGCTTCGTCCGCATCTCCCCCCTTGATCGCCCGCGCCACTGACCCCAGGATGACCGCCCTCAGATCTGCCAAGCGCTCCCCTTCCACATCATCCGTCTCCTGGCTATCTTCGACATCAAGATCCGCCGCCGCTCCCTCTGAACCTTCCTCCTCCTCCCCCCCATCAGACTCCTTATCGGCGATCTCCGCCACCAGACTGTCTGCTTCAGTACTGTTGGCGCGACCAGTGACTGCTTCGAGCACAGGGGCCTTAGCCATGACCTTTGTTGAATTGACACTCTTGGGTTTTGCAAACCATTTCCAAGTTGGCCAGCCCTTCCCCTCTTCCTCTTCTTCAGCATTTTCACTTTCGGCTTCTGACTCTTCGTCTTTGGATTCTGACGTTTCAATGTCAGGATTGCTGTCATCAGTCTCGAGGGTTTCCACTGGGGTGTCCAATGTTGCATCCCCACCTTCCAAAAGCAGATTCTCTTTGCCTAGGCGCTCGCTTGACTTTGCCTCACTCTCCGTGCCTGTCTCAACATAAGAGTTCCCCTCTTGTTGCGTTGAAAAATCTTCAGTCTCTTCTAAAGAAGCCTTCTCCCCTCCAAGCTCAGACTCCCCAACTTCTTCAAGAATAAGCTCCTCAGAAGCTCTGTCACCTCCTTCTGTGGCCTCATTTGATTCTGTTGTTTTGCTTGGGCTGAGGAAACCAAACCAGCCAATCTCTTTCTTCCGCGGTTCCTGTACCACGTTGCCCTTTGTGGTGTAACTCGACTCCTCAGCAGCCCCTCCTTTCCTGCCTAAGACACCTGTTACCGCCTGCTCAAGCTTTTCCCCAGACTGCTCCTGGAAAGGGCTTTCTCTATCCACCGTTTTTTCTGTTCTTGGAGCATCAACCAATGCTGTTGTGCCCCAAGCTGCCCCTGAGCGGAAAAAGCCGCTCGCCAGAATGACAAGGATAGCCACCGCTGCCGGAGAGCGCCACATTTTGAATGAAGATCTGCAGGAGAAAGGAACATTGTTTTAGGGCAGAAAAGAATCTTGTTACACCATCTTTTCTTGAACAAGTGAACATCTTTTGAATCATCGCAGACAGTGCCACCTAGGCTGCGTTCTCCAGAGTCTGCCGCCAAGGCTTTCAGGTGCAAGGCGTATGTTTTAGTTTCTTTCCATTCTGGTGACACTGATGCGACAGTCTGATATAACAATTCCTGAAAGACTGAAAGCACAGCCAGCCTGCAGATGTTGCACTAACAAACGCCTCGTTCTGTCTTGCTGTACAATGCTGACAATGTCGAAGGAAGTCTTCAATGATCCCCAAGCTTGACACTGAAGCATGGTGTTCGTCATTTCTAGCAGCTTTTATCACTTGTCAATATGCATTGATGTCTAATAAGCCCCAACAAGCCTAAGATCAGGTAATAGATATGGGTTTCTAGTTCCCCCTTCTTTGCCAATGTTTGTTTCTGCAAACTTTCAATGCGCAGTGCCATGCGATTTAAACCATTTTACCTTGTGAGAAACCGTGTGCAGATCTCATGATGAGGCACTCTGACAATGACTCTGAAAGAACCATGAGATCTATGGACCACATTGTATTGCAAAGTACATGCATAATGTGCCTTCTGCTTTGTGCAATTTGCCCTATGCAATGACCAGGAAAGCTGTACATGCCCAGGGCTCACCTTACAACAATTGCCGTTGCTCAGTGCCCCTGCAGGAAGCTGCAAATGCTGTGGCAGCAGTCCGATGAGTAAGACGCTACAAGCTGGTAGAAACCTGCTCAACTGGCCTGTTCACATCTATCTTCAGCTAGGTCAAGGTGTGAGCAAACGCGCTGGCAAGTGTCAGGACAGGCGCCGAATGTTGACGCGACGGGGCTTAATGCTGCTGCTTGCAAGCTCTTCCGCTTTTTTCCGCCATCACCCCGAGGATCTGGAGGCTGGAGCCTGCCTGTGAAGGACGTGCAATCTGGATGATGGTCCTTGGATGCCTCCCCTTGACGTGCATAATGGCTTCCAAGATTTTAGTGCGAAAGTGAACAGGACCCCCAGCCTCAGGCCTTCAGGTTTTAGGGTTTCCGAAACCCTAAACCTTTGAATCTGGAAAGCCCAGGAAAAAGCTCAAAATTGCAGCAGCTCACGAGAATTCCAACTCGTCTTCTTGCAACTTGTTGTATTGAGCTGTTCTGCGGCCAAGGGATATGGCAACCAGCCACGTCAGAGCTCTTTGGAAAGACCCTGTGCTGTCTCCGTCGGGACAGTTGCCCAGCACCTCGTGCTCGCTGGATCATCACACCAGGAATGTAATACTCAGAAGATGGCCGGCTGAGTCGTGTCCGACGGGATGTTTCGGAAGTGAATATGGGCAGCAGTGGAGGACGAAAACTGGGGTTTTGCCTAAAGGTTGCGGAAGAGGAACTGGAGACTGTGGTTTGAGACGGTGGCGCAACCTGGTGAGTCTGACCTAAATTTGGCTGTTTTGTCAAGCATTCAATCAGGTAGCTCCTGATGGCAGTTCCCCTGGAGCGGAGCTGCAGATGAATTCTGCATTCATTGGTATGATTCACTCTGTGAGGAGTTAAAGTGTGCATACAGCATTGCAAGAAAAGGCCTTCTGCTCTTCTCTTTACAAGCTGTGTGCCTCGCATGGGCGGAATCGAAGCCATTTCAGTCTAGTTGCGATTGACTGGTCAATGCACAAAGTGGAAACTCAAAGACAGGGATACTTTTAAATGAGGTTCTCCGCTCAAGTAAGGCATAAAGTGTTCTGCTGTAGGCTCAATCCCCTCATCTCAACAAACATGAACTTGCAGGCTTCTGCGTCAAGTGACCCCGATTCAGAAAGCACAGGTGACTTTGCCTCAGAGCAACTAGACTGGCGGGACTTTCGAGCGCGGCTGGTGGCGCAGCAGGCATCTGCAGATGAAAATGTGGCCGAGGCAGATGACATTTGGCGCGCGAGAGTCTCTAAGGAGAACCAGGAGCTGCTCGAGAAACAGAATCCAGTCCTTGCGAAAGAGTTGCCATGGGCGCACCCAACCGGGGGTCCAGAAGTCGGGGGGCTGGTCCTGGCAGCTCATGTAAGTTCTGCAATCATAGTTCCCACCTACTAAGAGGACATCTGAGAATGATAGTTCAAGTCCAGTCATTGAATGGTGTTGAACCTTCTGAAGGAGTGGGGCATCTAGCACTGTTGTTGATTCTTCAGTCACGAGCTGAACACCGCGTGTTCGAAAAGAGGCGGAAAGGGAAGTGCAAAAACTTGGCAAAAACTTGCAGAACATCGAATTCACTGTACCAACCTTTGTGGATATCCAGCCAAAATGCAGCCCACCTTGCTGAGCAGGAGCTATCACTTGGGCTGAAGAGTCTAGAGCAGCTCTGTTTGACATCCATGCCTCAGGATATGGTCAGATAGAGCTTACTTATCTGCAGACAAAATTTCGAACTTGCTTTTGTAAGATTGTCGTCAGACCTGGCTGTTCTTCTCTTCCGGATTTTCACCTTAGTGTTCCACAACGCCTGTCATTTGCATAGTGAATTGATTCCTCAACTTCTGCTTGTCCAGTTCCACCTCTCTCTGGACTGAACATGATAATTTTCCTTCTCCTGAACCTCTTGCAGAACTCCCCGCTCGACCAGCAGCGATTCTGGCAGGCTGTCGTCTTCCTGATCGAGCACGGCCCCCGCGGATCGTGGGGGTTACTCCTTAACCGGCCGTCCGGTTACACCATCGGACAGGCCTTACCGCGCATGAATCAGACGCACGGGTCTCGGCTCCTGACGGTCTTCTCAGTGTGCCCCATCTATGTTGGGGGTTTCAAATCAGACGGCCGGAGTTTGTACGTGTTGCACGGGCACTCTTTGCCGGGGGCTGAGGAAATCGCGCCGGGCGTTTTTCTGGGGGGGCTAGACGTAGCGGCGACTGGCGTTCTGGAGGGGAAGTTTCCACCCACGGACTTTAGATTCTTTGTCGGGTGAGTGAGCACGAGTGCAGAGGAAACGTACTGGCTGGCCAAGTCAGCAGGGGGGGCGTGTGGTGAAAGAATGTTTAAAGGTTTTGGAGAAATCTGTTGGTCGGCAAGTTACTACACTGTGAGCATGTAAAAACAAAGCATGAGACCTTCCAGATTAGGAGTCGTACATGTTCATTTCTTCTTCCGGATTATTTTACTGACAAAATCAGACCCCGCACTTCTCCTCATATGGTTCCGTTTTTCACCCACCTTCGGAATGTTGGCACGCCTGCGCTTCAATGCAACGTTCTTTGAAAGGATCATTTTGGAATTGAAAGGGACGACTCCGAACGTTCCTGGCCTTGCATGCAGACGCGTTGAATGGCTGCCTGGCGGCCTGAAGCAGGAATGCACGGCCGAGAGTTGGTACACGGCTGCCTGCAGCAAAAGCCTGGTTCTCAAGCAGTGCATCCAACTGCCGAAACCTCTCTGGTGAGCAACTTACTACAAGATTGTGACCCTCTGTGGAGTTGTGCTCAAGATTCAAAGAAAGGACGCCAGGAGGCCTTCTTTTACCATTGCAATGGGCCCTAAGTCTTCGTTTGTATTTGGATGGTTTCCGAGAAAAATCTAAGACGTCTTTTGACGGGATTCGAACGTAAGAAAGCGGATCGAGGGCGCGGCTGTGAGTAAGATCCAACAACTTTGTGAGTGGGTGGTTGTTCGACTAGCGTTCTTTGTCATGTTTGTGTGCAGGCAGGAGATCCTCGAGCTCATGGGCGGGGAGTTCGCAGAGACGTCTCGACTTGCCTATAACGAGTCCGACTGACTTCGATGAGTTGCGTATACAAAATCTCTGGCCCGCTCCGGAGCGCATTTCATTTGCTCATAATGACAACTCATGCGGGCTTTCTTAACGAGCTGTATTTGAGTTGTCCTGTAGGGGCAAGGGCTGTGGAAGAAAGTTGCTTCTCAGTGACTCTTTTGAGTTGAAAATGTTGCCTGTACAAAGTCGGTAGTTTTAAGTCTGGACAAGTGGTAGTGAGGCCTTCATCTATGTACATACTGCCAGCCTTCTTAAGTTCACCTGAACGCGCATTTTGAAGTTCATGTTCTTGTGGTTTCTTCGGAATTGACAGGTGAGTTGCCCTGCACAGTCGGTCAATTGGCCCTCAATTGGCATGCAGAGAACGTCTCAGGTTGAATGTCTGGTCAGAGGTGCAGAGCGTGACAAACACTTGCCATGTACGCATGCGACTCGCACTAAAGTCGCACTATGTTACACACTTTTTCCATGTGTCAGCATGCTACCATCAGACCGTCTATAAGCGTGAAGCACATGCATTTTTTCTGAAAACATGACGATGGCTGATTGGGCTAACATTTATTGCGACGCGACACCAAAAATATCGCACATGTACGGTATAGCAATGATTCCACACTCTATACGCGCTCGCCTACATAAACGATTCATGCAAAAACAGATTGTTTCGTAAACGATTCATGCAAAAACAGACTGTTTCGAAAAACTCACCTGTAAGCAATACATCCATCTAACAGGGACGGTATACACGGCCAGACATCTTTTAAATGTCATTCATCAAGTTCACTATATAGATGATATGTTACAATGCGCCCATGACCGTCACTAACATGTTGCCGGTGTTGCATTGCTCATGTTTCATATCAGTGCCGATTGTACATGCATGACGGACGCGAGTTGTTATACGTTTGTACTATATCTTAGAACCAATTAAGCTGGGTACGTGCACAGGTCATATGTATTGAGGCGGTTTAGATTAACCACAGTTTGCCACTCGCTCTATGTACTCACGAAGTTATACCGTTGCATAGATGATATTGTTCGGTTGCGCATAACGGTTGCCCCATCAAGCTTAGCATTATTCTCACAAGCTTGCTGGAATGAAGCAACTAGTTTTGCAAGGATTTAAGATCCGACCCTTCCAAACTTGCACTTTTTAGGGTTTTAGGGTTTTAGGGTGTGCTTCACATGAGCACAATTTGCGAAATGACATTGTCCATTTAACTTGAATGTTAACATGTACAAGGAATTATAGAGTCGGTTGAAGTTACACCCTTTCATGGAATAACAGCCTGGGAAACTTTTGGCTTGAAGTCAGATGCCAGATCGGAGTGGAGAAATTGTAGTGATCAATGCAGCATATAATTTTTGCATGAAGGACGTTTTTCCGCGGTCTTGCAACGTTGATTGTCTATTTACATACACCAGATTAGGACCTTTGTCTTTCGGGTCGGATGCGCTTGCCAATGTGGCAAATTTGACAGTTGTCTACAGTCTGCCTTATTCAAAAGCATCAACCCTCAGTTATACTCTATTGAAAATTATCACCATGTGCTGTTATACCTCTATACCTAAGTTGCTCAGTCAGCTAGCTTAGCGAGCTCAGAACAGAGCAGATCCCTTGAGCTGCTCGGTGATGATGAGGGCAATGAACCCGATCATGGCAAAACGACCGTTGATGAGCTCAGCGTTCTGGGTGAAAACGCCCCACGAGGGCTTGGCCTCAACGTCCAAACCATTCTCCTTCAGGCCTTGCACCCTGGGAGCGAAGCTCGAGAAGAGAACTGCAGAAGATAGAGGGAAGACTGCATTAGTTGTTGCTACCGGCAGATGTTGAGCAAAACCAAATACTTACAAGCTAAGAGTTTGCAGGATTTATATAAGCAGAGAACATCAAGATAAGAGGAGAGCAAGCTTGCGAACTGGCGAACCCGATTAATGGCGATGAGCGTACGTTCCATGAGAAACAAATCTATTCGCACTTATTATAAAAGGAACTGTATGCCTGGAAATATACATGTACAATGCTTCCGAATTGAAATCGCGGACAAGAGGACGAGAAAGCGGCTTCACATCCTCAATCTTCAGCAAAACCTGAATAATAGTAGGTGTGATTCCCACCTGTGGACACGGTGAAGGCCAATGCCATGACGTTGAAGGCCCCGCCCCTGGTTGTAATCTGCTGAACAACCGACTCGTGGGTGCTCAACTCAACCACGAAGGCAGAGAGGAAGCCAAGCATGGCAGTCCGGGAGTTGAGAACCTCCTGTAAGAAAGTAAGGACTTGCATCAGATGAATGCAATAGGGCGTGATGCAGAAGCGTGAATGTCAGCATCAGGTATGTAGAGGTGATATACTACATCTGTGCTAGACAAGTTCCCTGATTGAAGGTTCGTCCCATCTTTATGACTGACTGATTGCATTGTAGCTCATTCGAAGGTTGCTACGTATAGATGAGTGATCTGCACACAGTGTCTACGAAAGCTTTCACGATTCCTCAGTGCTTACTGTTTTATCCATATATGTTCATCATCATTGTGGTGATGTCTAGTCACATATTCAGCAAAGGTCTAGTCTCTTTCCATCTCTACCTCAGCTCGGCTTGGGCTTCAACATCAGCAGCATTCCGACGAGGCAAAGTCAGACTTCGTCCTCAAGTTTCTCAGCTCATTGCCACCACATTTACCACAGTTCATCCTCACACTTGTTCTTGTTCTAGCTCTTACCTGTGCCCTGCCCCCCTTGAAGACGTTCGCATCCTGGCCATCACCGTACTTGAACTCCTCGCCCCTGGCCTTCACTCCTGGCAGTGTCTCAAATCCTCCAGTGGGGGCCTTGATCACAGTGCTCTTGAAGCCATCGGCATCAGCCGGTGCAGCCTCAGGGCTCTCAACCTTGGTGGTGTTGGGGGAGTCCTGTAATGATTGTGCAAAACAAAGTTTGTTGACTTGTACTTGCCAGGGTTATCCTGATGGCAATCAAGTAATTAGAACATGGATCTTTCTGCAGTGCGAATGCAAGACAGGATGCAATGTGTGGGTAAAATTTGGAATCTCTTCATCTGACTGCCCAGGAAAGGAAAGCTGGTCACACCCTCGCATTCAGGCATCAAGCAAGGCAGCTTCTATGGCAGATGATGGATCTAAATCAAACTGACTTCCACTCCACTGATTGCAGAAGACCAAACTGTTTGGAACCACTCTGGGACTGTTCTTAGAAATCTATCCACAAGATCAGAACTTCAAGACTGGTACAGCAGCATGAAATGATTCAAGGTTCACAATAGATCAGTCTCCAGTGCACCATGTCAGCTGATTACCACTTCTCTGATCACTCTTTAAGAAGCTGCATCCTTCAGGGATGGATCAAAAAGCTATTGTGAACCTGTGCGCAGCAAATCAGCGTGCCTGAAACCGTTCAGCAGCTTCGGCAAGCCCGCGACACTGGCTGTGCGAGTACTTACCGTGACCTGCTCAGCTCTGGCAGCATATCTCCTGGTCGCCCTGCGCGAGTAGAATGCAGGAGGGGTCACCATGAGCTGGGATGTGGAGGCAGACAAGTGGCTGCTGCTCCTGAGCTGAGCCACCCCGCTGGTGGCGAGGGACTTGTTGATCATCATTGCGGAGGCCATTTTACTTTCTTTGAGCTTTGACGGGAACTGACAGTGATTGACGATAGTTCGTGGGAGTTGCAATTGGAAGCGTCTCTGGGTTTGATGGAGGTGGTGGTCAAGTTTTGATTGATCCTGATGTGTGAGCTTTGATGTGATCTAAGGGAATGGAGCTTCGAGGATTGGTATTTGTATCCTGATTGCAGAGAATACTGATGAGCAGATTCGGCAAGCTGGCCCAGTGGAACGTGCAGAACAGAATGCGGCAAGAGACGGTTGAGCACTGATGGCCATAGCCATACTCGTCCTAGCCTCTAGGCCACAGAGCGGAGGTGAAACGCCATCTGGCTGCTCACTTGTTGGCTGCGAGCATCGCAACGTCGCGCTTCCGCCATGTCGCCAACTGTCGTGGCCCATTCTGAGCGAGGAGATTGAAAAGCAGAGCTCGGATATCTTCTTCGGAATCTTGGGAAAGAGCCATGTGGCAGATGCAGTACCACTTTAGCATCGTCGATGAGATACGATCGACGGTTTTTAGAAAAGAGCTCTCGATGCCCGACACGTAGCGCGAGGAATAGGCGACGTGGAAGAATCTGAGCCGAGACCCCTTGTCTGCGTTTTCTGGAAAAGGGGAAAGCGACAAGTCACTCAGGCGATACGGTAATGGTAAGGCCGAAAATGGTTTTATGGTCACCTCGCGAACTTGGGTGGGAAGACTCCCGGCCCTAGATATCGTTTTCCCATGGGTCCGCGGGACTCTGCAGCAGCATGCAGGCAAGCTGGTGTACGTGACTTTTGTTGTCCAGGCTGTGGAGCAGGAATCCAGGTGGAATTCAGTGGCAGTGGAGCGCCACAAGTGTCCTTGGTAGTGCTTTTGGAGTGCCTGGTCCCCATGCTCATGCTACAACAAGGTTGATTTGATTGGCATTGCATCGACATCCAAAAAGCTCACCATCAAGACAACGATGGAAGCGGTGGCGCACATCGGTGATTTGAAGTTTGGCACGCAATGCCGCTCGGTACATATATCAAATCAAATTGCAAACCTGCAATCTCACAGGATTCGAGCACCAATTCTTGTCCGAGATTTTCAAAGCGCTTTACAGTCTTTGATTGCTCCGCGCTTCGCACCACTCATTAACGAACAATTGAAAGGCGTCCCAAGCAGGAGAAAGGGACAGACATTGCTTTGTGAAGCCCTCTGGGTAAGCATGTCAAAATCTGTTTACGACTTGGTTTAGACGTTCTGTGTGCTCTTATTGAACGGAATCGTTGCTCAAGGATCACGCTGTCCAAACAGTTGCACAACTTCTATCTTGTACAAACTTGAATAAGATTGCAAATGATGGATGGTGTTGAGCAATTGCTTTCAGCTTGGAGATTAGGCCAACTTCTGTGAAAATACTGCTGGGCCAAAAACGTCCCTGTCTCAGAACCAGATGAGGCTCTGTCTTTGAAAGAAACTGCAGCAAAGTGGCACTGTTTATGTAAGTGCGCCATTCTTGCGCAGAAACGTCCCTGGTTTTTGCTTGACTTTTCAAGTATAGCTCGACTTGAAGTTGAGCTACGAAGAGCAGGCAAGGATTTGCCGGGGGCTTACACTGCACGCCTTCCCTGCATAACCAGCAGTTCAGGTCTAAGATTAAAGCCCTTTCTTCATATCTTGATGCGATACAAGTAACAAGCCCCCAGGTGGTTCTTGAAACTCGTGTTAGATTGCAGTAACAATACTTCAAAAGCAGCCATACAGAAAGTTGTCGCAACTTCTTAGGTGACTGCAGGTTGCTGTTTCTGCCCAATTGCTTCCGACAGAAATGGTCCGTATAGAGTTCTACAATTTCGCTGTGAGTGGCAGTAGCTCTGCCAGGCCAGCGGCTTTGCTGAATTGACGCATCTGCCTCCGGTTGAGCAATCGACAACCAATGCCGCCGAACCTCACACAATATCTGTATACCATCTATTTTACTGGTGCACGTTACAACAAGCCAATCGAGTGCCCCTCCTCCTTTTCCAGGGCAGAAACCGGCAACGGCGCCAAGACCCTCGCATCCGGATACCCCCTCAGCCTGACCCCCGTCAAGCCCCCCCACCCCCAAACACAGACGCACAACAGGATTCTCCCTATTCTACCCCCCCTCCAAATAGGCCACGCCAAAATCCTGAAAATTGGGGGCCACCACCGAATGCTCCCCCCCCACCGGATCAGCCATTTGAAGAAGACGGGTACTCAAGCGGGAGAGACTGGAGGGCCAGGCGGGGCCCGCAGCGGGAGGTGACGCGAGAGGAGCTGCTGGAGCAGTCTAGAAGAATCAGGGCGAGGATTAGGCAGGTGCGATATCGTCTCAACTCTTTGCACTTACCACTGCCCGATCACCTGTCATACGAGTGTGGAAGACTTGGGTTTTGAAAGTCGCCCTAAGTTGATGCCAACATTTGCTTGAGCGATCTACACATAGGTAGATGCAGGCTTCACCCTAGGCTGACTTGGTCGTCTTGATTTTGCTACTTGAGTGTGCGGCAGAAATACATCATCACGTCAGAAAAATCAGTCTGAGTCGCTGCAAGACTCCTGTAGGACAGGTACTGAAGTTATTTTAGATCGTCGAATCTGAGAACTTTAGCTTTAGGTCTGTGAAGGCGATCAGCGATCCTATTTGACGTCTGTAGAGACGTGCACTTTGACGGGCTTGAAGGTATATCAGACAAGCAACCGTTCAGTTTCCTCCATGTAGCATTTTTGAACGCGAGAAACACTGATTTACAATTGTGCTGTGTCGCATCTGTTGCATTCACTGCATCAAGGTCAGCCTGCCTCAGAAGAAAGCTGCCTTTTCCATCAGATCATTCTGTCGGGCTCATTCCCCATTGGCCCTCTCGTTCACCTGGGGAGTCACCCTGGCCGGTTTTGTTGCAGCGCAAGGTGAGCGGCTGAGCTCCGCATTAATCCGTACAGCAGTTCGACGAATCGACCTAAACCAAGGCTCCTTCGACTTCACTCCGTACCCAAACTTACAGCAAATAACTCGTTGCAATCCATAATTCATTCCTCCCGTTCTTCTTGTTGCAGATTAAGCGGCAGAGGCGCGCCGCATACTATGGCGAGGTGGGAGAGGGGTTTTCGTTCATCACGGTGAGGGTGCTGACATGTCGCACACTGTTTGCCGCCGTATCTTTTGCTGCCAGAATTGGTGTTCTCGATATTTGGCTCTCTCGCCTTTTCCTCATCCTTGTCTTTGGACTTGTTCAATCCCGTGATATTCAAGGCAATATGTGTTTTGCGAGGGCAGGTTTGCCTTCATGCGCTTAGGTATGGGTGGTCTGACGAGGAAGGGACTTTTTCTTCGCAGAGCGGTCTAAATCCCGAGATGATCAACGGCCGCTGTGCAATGGTGGGCTTTGTGGCGGCCCTGTTCAACGAGCTAACTACCGGGCGAAGCGTGTGGGAGCAGCTCACCTACCAGGGAGGTGAGACCGCCCGGAAAAAACGTTAGGAGTGCCCTTGACCGAGTTGCAGGCCGACGGCATCTTAGAGTTGATCAAGAGTATGTTCCGAGAGTCTGTTCCGGTCGTTGCTGTCGCTCTTTATGGTCTTCGGAACATGTCTGTGAGAACATAGTCAGGGTGGTTAGGAATGCCGTGAGGGAACATTAGGGAACATTCAGGAATCTGCTACGAGACAACCTCTGAGCTGGCTTCCAGAACCGGCACGTTGAAAGCTCGTAACCATCCACTAAGCGCTCCTCAACTGCGATCCAAAGGACCACTTCCGTAGGTGTCGATTGACGGCAATGAGCAATTGTGTGGGCCACCCGTTCTAAACTGGGTAGTGTTTCTGTACGCTCGCACGGCTCTGCACGTACGAAGTCTTCTTTTGTAACGGAGGCTCTCTTTGCAAGTCACTTGCATCTCCCGCTACTTGATTTGTGAGCGCGTTCGGGCCTACGTGGACGAGGATTGAGCTGTTGTGAAGGAACCCCCTTAACTGCGCAAGCTTGATAGGAGAATGGTTCTTCGTCGCGCTGATCCTCTTCAACACAAGTGTGCTCGTCCAAGCTTGCATCTAAACGTTTTCTGAAGGGGTCCCTCAACCAGGAGCTTGAGGGTGTTCAAAACCGTAGTCGTATATCTGAACCGTTAGTCCTCGGTTTTCGTGCTCAGAGCTTGGAAGCCAGGCTCTTGACGTCACCCCAAATTCCTCTTAGGTTCCGATTTCTCTTTAGGCGTCTCCTCCAACGGTCTCCTCAATGCTCTCTCTGCTTGCAGGTCTTCAAGTTATGCTCATACCGCTGACCATCGTGGTCATCATGCTGAGCTCGTATGCACCAGGAGCAAACGAGATGGAGGACGACGGGCTCACACGGCCTAGCAAGCCGTTCGGTCCCTTCAATTCTTTTGCGGAACGAGTAAACGGTCGCTTCGCTATGCTAGGGTTTGTTTCTCTCATTATCATCGAGGCACTTACCGGAGAGGCGCTCTTCAAAATTGGATGGTTGCAATGAGCATTCAGGCCTTTCCTGCACAAATGAAAGCTTTTTGTCCGTCAATCCCCGCCAGCTTTGGCGACGAGCAGTCGTGACAATCAGTAGCAGATTGTGATATTGAGCAATAGTTCCGCATGAGTGTAAAATATTTTGCTCCTCGTTCTAGTCAAAATTCCGCAATTGAGATTAGCAGCATCTGTTCCAGGTTTTTGCTTTTCAACAACTTTTCAGACCCCTCCATTTAGGCGGAATTGCATCTACCACTTCCTGATTGCTTGTCCTGAAGTGTTGCATGATGAGCAGATGTCTAATGCAGTTATCATATATTTGGCGCCCGCCAATTCGTTCTCCTCCAGCCACTTCCACTTTGGTCGAATGCTTGTGAAGCTAAGGAAGTACGAAGCGGAGTCCTGAATGCATTGAATTTGCGATTGCACAATGCATTTCAAGCACTTTAACAATTTCAACTCTGGCTTGTGGGTGCATGAAGTTGATTTTGGAGACCACTATGCTCTGCAAACCACGTCAGTCTGATCGTATGGATAAGTTGGATCCGATGCACATGCATCTTATCGGAAGGATATATAGCTTCGCGCATCCGCGATAATTAATCCATATTTGCAGCGAAGTTCGGTCGATGCTATATAGAATACCATGTGACTTCATCCATGAAAGTACAGTACTACAATCATGATCTTGTTTGAATGCATTCAGCATAATGCAGTTAATCCTACATAAAACCTGCTTGGTTGCAGCGGCGTTATGATGGGTCAGGTAGGGACATGTTATACGCAACTGTCACAGCAGAGAGAGCATGGAGCGTGCATATGAAAAGTGACCTTCTTGGCGACGAGTCTGTGCGACAGGTCCCTATAATATCAATAACAGTAACGATATCAATACAAAGCGATGCGTTGGCCAATGAGCCCCTTGTCTATTAATCTCGGGGAACTCGTCGACTCGGCTCAGCTTGTCTCTTGTGTCTCTATGTGTCTCTAGTTATCAGGAGGAGTGCGGAGCGTATGAGATCCTGGGTTAGGTTCTTTAGTTAAAGTGGACGAGGTTAGGTACCCCAGGATGACCAGCCGGGTTACAAGTGTTATATATAATACCTATGCCACCTCTTGACTAGCCTGGTTAGCTTGAAGCTTGAACAAACCTATTAAAAGCCAATTTGCAGATCGCCAGGTGACCACATCAATCATGACCCTTATCCTTGGCAATTATTAAATCTTACAGAATCTTTTTAGTAAGCCGCATCATCCCGATGATTTTTGCCACATGTCCTCCTCAGATGGTGCCAAATGATGTGCAAAAGTGGCACTGGAGACTAAGGGAGTCCGCAACTTGCGGCAGCTCGAATATTCCTCCTTTTATGCCGGCATCCAATCAATGATTGGTAGCTCAAGGCTCATGTGCTCGGTCACGGTGCTCACTGCTCACTGCTTGCGGATTGTCAACTGAGAACCGTAGAGATGCCGACTTCTCCGAACTCGAGCCTTTCCATGCTCAGGTCTTGACTAGGACCTAAAGGCTAGCTCATACAGTGATACACAGGTGCCTTTGTTCGAAGTGGAAGCGCGTTCTTATTGCAATCCCCACAAGCAAAGTCGAAGCAAGCCTGTCCTTTCAGTATCGGTTCAAGGTTGCCTCCTTCAAGCAGAGCAAGTTACCCACTTCTACTCACTCCGCTCCACAGGCGCCGAGGTACTTGAAGCAACACAACCACCATGGCTCGCTCTTCTTCCTCCAAGTAAGCACTCAATTGATGACAGCGGCATTGCACTAATCGATTGTCAAGCTGCTGTCCATTTGCTCATTTCTCCCAGCACGTTCATCTGCGCAGCCACAGCCTTTTAAAATGGAAAAATGCACATATGATTGCTGGATCATAAATGAGAACTTTGAAGTACTGCCAGCTGCTGTCAGCTCCGTTCCTGCGTTGTTACTGATGGTTCATGCAGTCTAACTTCCACGAAACTTCTTTCTTGACCAGCAAAAGTTTGGGAAAAGCCTTCTCAATTATGGTATACTTCATCTGACTCAGTTCTCTAAGGATAGAAAGTGGTGTGCATAGGTATTACATCACCAGGTCTGAATCTGCTTCTCACCGACAGAAGCCTCAGTGACTTACACGTACAAGCTTCTCCTGACAACACTTGCATACGCTGCCTCAGTGCGCCAGCTCTTCCTTTGCACTTCAGCTGTATTAGTGGACATCAAGCAACTACACTAAGTAAAGCAATCTCTCATTGCTGTCGACTCTTTTCCTCCTCTTCTCTCACGAGCAAAAGCCCTTTCAACCCCTTGTGGAAAGAAGTCCCTTCTTTGGTCTGTGACGGCCTTATTTTCTTGTTTCTTGACAAGCTGAACTGATGTGTGTCCGATGCTTTATGCAGGCTGGCGTCCCTGGTGGCACTGGTCATTTTGGCTTGCTTTTTGGTGGCTGCGGAGGCCTACACTCTCAATGACAACACTAACATCCGCAGATGCGGCGACTCTGACAGTAAGCCAGCTTCATGAATCTGTTTCACAAGTCCTAATTGTGAAGTGTAGGACAGGCTCACTACAGCTGATTGTTAAGAATGAGGCCATCTCGTCATGCCTCCTGTCAGACTTGACCGGCCTTCTGGCTTAAGGCGTTGTTATTCTCCAGCTTGAAAGAAACAGATTATCTTGTCCTTCACGACTTCCTGGACATAATGTCTGTGGTACTTTTCCTAGCAATTCAAAGCTTGGTCACTCATGAAGTTGTTCGCTTTTGTTGTTCGTTTGTAGTTATCTTTCTTTTGCAAAGACACGCTGGCACTCTTAGATTATCAAGGCACAAGTGGAGAAGTTTGATCAGATTGCCCAATCAGTTTTGCGATCACGTTAGACTCTGTGGCTTCTGAACTCTAAGACAGAAGGAGGCAGCTTTCTGATTGACTTGAAATTCCAAAGTACAAACATGTGACTGCATGTAAGCAACTTAAGCAAGAAATGGGTCTCTGGAATTGGGAAGCGTTCTGCACAGTCTCTCCAGCGTTCGGGTCGAATGGTTTGTTCAAAGTTCGCCAGACTATGCTCTTGTTCTGAAGGCTGCAAGTGTGTTCCCATAGCCTGGAATCTTGCGATTTAGATGAGTGACTGGTAGCGCCTGCGCAATGAAAACTTTCTTGATTCCGGTGAAGTGCTGAATGTCCCATCGCTTTTTTGCACTGTTCATCCTTCCCTTCACGTTTACCAATTTGCTACATTGACAGGTTGCTTCATCTTCGTATCCGCAATGATATCAGCTGTTCTTGTCACATGATCTCTCATTCTTTCGTATCTGACCACTTCGCAGCTCGCTCGCTCACTCACTCACCCAAAATTGCTCTACGGTCCTTGTTCTAAGAAAAAGTGGAAGCATTCTCCCCCGTCCCCTCCTGCCGTCCCCTCCTCATACTTACCTCTTAGTTCCTTTTTCTGCAGACTTCTGCAGACCCAGCACTTACTGCGCCAACAACTGCTGCTGCCCCGTCATCAAGACCCTCCCCAGGGGCACCAACTTCAACATCTACTGCTACTCCAACGGTCAGAGCATCAACGGAGACGCCCGCTGGCTGTACGGCAAGGCTGCTGACGGCACTGTCGGCTGGCTCGCCGACTATTACGTCAGCTGCGGAGGGCTCTGCCCGGCTAGCCCCTGCTTGTAAGAGAGCAGCAGTCGTCTTCTGAGTTAACAAGTTCTGAGGCCAGTCTCGTGCATATGGAGGGTTGGAATAACGTCAGTTTTGGTTCCAAGAGTGAAAGGCTATACAGCCAGTTTTGTTTGCGGGTTACATGGCTGACGTCAGGGGTTTGAGGGAGACGTCAGTCTGCTTTTAGCAGAGCAGTCCGTATGGACTCAGCGGGCCAGGAAAAAGCACCACAAAAAGTGCTGCGTTAACAACGGATTAGTGACGGTTTGGGTTTGTACGCCTTTAAGGTATTCTCTTCTTTACCGCGCCGCGCAAGATACAGACGAGTTGTACCTCTAGAAAGCTAGTGACCTCATCGCAGAGAGCGAGTCTATTCAGACTCTGATTGATATGCACGCGCAAACTGAGTTCGAATTTAAAGTGTTATCGAGGATTGGATTTGAATAGACCGACGCTTCTCGAAAGTGTACGTATACAACGTCTATCAAATGAGCCGTAGCACCCTGCATTCCGAATTCACATACGAATCTATGCTCGGCCGCGCCTGATAGAGTAGGATATGATGATGGGCAGCTTTTGCAATGTGTCAAGTTAGCCCAAGCTCCGTCCTACATGTGCAACACAGAATATACGAGGTTACGAGTGGATCAGCGTGCCTGATTGATAATACGCTCGACTCGATCCAGTAAACAGCTAGACACCCATGCAAAATCAGCCCCGGAGTCTTTCTTCAGTGCGGGCCATGAATGAGAGACTTGATATGCTGGCATTGATGCAGCGGCCTGAGCCTCGAAATCCTGGTTCTCAGTGGCCTGCATTATTGGCTGAGCCCCGCCACAAGGAGGTAGGGTACTATACGTATGCATCATGTCATGTTCCTCGAGCTGGCGCCTAGATGCCAATCATCTGATTGTTTCCTTAAGATTGTATTACACATAGTATTTGGTTGAGGATCCACGGACCGTTTCCTCGAATTTGTCCGACTGCCTGGCCAGTGCTGGCTAGCTAAGACAGTCGCCTGAGGCCGCCCTCTTTTTTGAAAGTTGTAATTTGATGACGAGGCCGGGCTTCAAGGCTACTTGTATAAGCGCTTGCTCAGGGCATCCCTGCGAATGATGTTGGCACGACCGCGACCGGGCATGTTCCCAAGTTCCACCCGGCGCACATGCATGCTCACCAAGACGTAAGGCCGGTTGTCGGGTCATATTCAAGCGTCGGGCGTCTCTTCTGGGCGCCAAGCTTAAATCGAGCTTATAGGATCGGATAAACAGCATCGTAATATCATCTGCCAGCGATTCACATAACAGATTCCTGCTAGCTAGAAGCGTATATCCGACTTCGATTGGTGCAGGCATGCCATCTGCAAGCCGGAGATGCAACTTGGACGGCAATGACTTTACTCGGAAAACCGCAATGCGCAGTGTGAACATCGACTTGTCCCACAGCACATGATACAATACCTGGCAGTCATTACCGCGTTCAGGCTAGCAATTGTCGCAAGATACGTCATACCACCTCGTTGCGCGCCAGAACTCGATGCTAGTGTCAAACAGGAACGGGCTGCTCCACGCCTTGCGGCTCTGTGGAACCATCACCAGTAACGACAGTCTCATTCTCGACCGTTACTAAACCGGGCCGCGCTCCCCGAGGGCGCCCAATGTGTTTGGGTGCTACATAGATCACTGGAGCCCGGTGGTTGCCCTTCATCTGCTTGGCGAGGCAAGGATCATCATGTTACGGTCCACGCGCCTCAATCAAAAATCAAAGTGTGACAAACGTTCAGACATACATCGATATGAGCAGATTCAAGGATTCTTCGAATGATGCGAGCAGACTTTCCGGATGGCCTGTCCAATGCAGCAACAAAAAGGCGATTGGGTTGTTGAGTACGTTGAAATGCGTCTGAAAGTTGTGGGTTTAAAGTCAGGCTTGCTCGCCTTGGAATAGTACGCGGCCACGCCGGCTGCGAAGCCGATGTCATCTTGCCCGGCGGACTGCCCCGGGGGCACTCGGAGCAAGACCTGGGCGCGAGTCAAGAAATGCATCCAAGAAAGGATACTGGCCAAATAAACCCAACTAAACGACGGTCAAACATCGGATTAGCAGATGTGCAGATAACCAGGTGTCTCACACAGAAGCAATTGATAGAAGCAAACAAGAGAAGGATGCCGAAGACGCATTGCAGAGAGTTATGCAGCTCTTTCGCAGCAGGGGGGAGGATACGTGACTGCCGGGGACCCCCTGGGCGTGGAACCACAGGTCGTACTGCGTGGCCACTCGGTGCGTCAGCGTGTCGTTCTGCCGGCTGTTCCGGCCGACTAGCACGACGAACCCTGCGGAAACGGAAACGGAACGGATCGGTGACTGAAACAAGATTTATTACTCATTGCGTTCCTGATTACAAGCCCGGAAAAACCCACTTCAAAGAAGATTCACCGATGGCAGCGCCATACGAGGTTGACGAGGCCGTCCGGTGGCTCAAAAGGAAAGCTCATTTGCATTAGTATGCCATTTCGCCCTTGTCTCCGACCGGAGTGACAAAGACCTACCGCTTGGAGAGCTAAGTTTGCGCATGTTGGCCGTCAAATCGGCACTGCCTGGTGCTCTGCTCTTCTTCCGCTTCCCCTTGCCGGAGACAGGGCCTCCCGTCGGCACAGGTTTGACGTAACCCGCTTCGATCAACTCGTCGCGAACCTGCCACGAACAATGGTAACGCACCCCGTTAGGGACACGTGTTTGACGTAACCTGCTTCGATCAAGTCGTCGCGAACCTTGTGGGTTTCGCACCGGGTTAGCGACAGAACAGCTTACGACTTCGAAGGCAAGCCAGAGTACCGGCTTCGGTTCCCACTCTTAGAGCTGCGATTAACCAGAATCCCGCGCTGGCCGAGTAAACGACACTTCGCAACGGAAGTCAGAGCTGAAACCCGTTCTGGTCAGTGCATGGTCAAGCTGTGAGAGAAGTGAATCGGCAGGATGAGCTGCAGATCGTCGAACGCTCAGTCTCCGTCTATTTTCTGAGTAGCTTTGGCAAGCTGCGTGCAATGAAATATTGGACACATAGGCCTAATCCGCTCCAAAAATCCGCGCAGGTGACCATCTCTAGCGCCGTTTTTCAAAGAGCTGAAAAGTCAACCTGAAAATTACAAAAAAGGACCTCAAGAACCTAGAATCCAAATCTCGCAAGTTTACAAAATCATCATCCGGAAAGTCCAAACCGCACAACCTCACCTCTTCAAGCACCCGCAAGTCGTCTTCCCTTTGAAAGCTCTCCAGCTCTTGCAAGGACAAGTCCACCTCCTGAAGGTACCGCAACTCTTCCAGCGCTTCCTCTAAAAGGGGCTCTACCGCAGCACGGGACCGGCGCAGCTTCGAACTGGAAGGTACAGATATGTGATTTCATATCCGAGAGTTGGACATCTCAGGTTACAGGAGTTGGCCTCAACAGCAGTTTTCAGCTCCTCCATGGGCGACTCCATCTTGGCTCGGTACCGGCGCAGCTTCGAACTGGAAAACATGCAAAATCTTTTTTAAAGTCTTGGGGTTTGGGTTTTCCAAAGTGTGGGTCGCTCTACCAAAAGGCCGGAATAAAACCCGTTCCGGTATTCTCTGAATTTTCTGTCCATCTCAAAGCTAAGGGGGGTAGAGAAGCGGAAGCGAATCGGATTGCTCCGAACAGAGGTCTCAAAAGAAGGAGAAGGCCGGTGGAACAGTCTTCAAACCACCTTGGAAACGTATCATGTTGTTTGAAACCTCCGCAAAACAAAATCTCCCGTCTCTTAAAGGATCTCTATTCAATCTGGGAAGCTCAAAGGATCGCAGAAGCAACCTCGACAAGTGCATTTTACGAGCGACACATTACTGTCGTACGGTTTTCGCTAGCCGCAATCCTCGGAAGAAAGACGGACACTTCAAAGGAAGGACAACCATGACTGCTCGCTCCTATTGTACGTGCTGCTGCTAACGAGGAGTTTTTCGATCAGGACGATTAGCGGATCCAACCCACCTCCGTTTATACATCTTCTGCGCCACGGCCAACGCCGGTTTGTCCGGGTCAAGCGCGATAACCACCGGTTCCCCTGTTTCGAAGTCGTTCAGTGTCACTTCCGACGCGCGCGGCGGGCACTCGTGCAGATACGCCATAAGCAGATCCGCTTTTCGGACCACGTCAGCAGCCCCGTCAGCAGAGGCTAGTTGGTCCTGGTACACCTTCGCTTTGCCTTGCAGGCGCTTCAGCGCCGCGCGAACCTGCGGGAGAGTGCTGACGTCACGGAGAGGATCCTGGCGGCACGAAAAAGTGGTGAGATGACGTCCTAGACTAAAGCCGGGTTTCGAAGGCGCTGAGCAAGCATCACATAATCATCGAGTCTGCATGACTGCGCGAAGAATCATTGAGTATTTGAGATGCACAAGCATTCCGATGTCGTCCAGTTTGCGAATTCCAAAGATCTTAAACCGTCCGCGTAGACTCCAGAATGATGCGCAGCTAGATTGCGACAAGGCGAGCCTGATTGCGGTGGGCATATTGCTCCGGGACACCTCAACCCTCGCCGTCGACGTCTGCCGGTTGAGCGTCCCTTGTAAAGTACTTAAGAAGGCCCCGAAATCCGACGTCCCAAAGTTCCTGAATCGTAAAAGGTTGCTCTTCCGACCCCTGTATCGCCTCGCGTCAGACCCATACTCCTGTGTTCAGATGTTCCCAAAGCGTTCGTTTAATACGGTACTCCAAAATACCCTTCAAAATTGAAGTCCCGAGATTTTATGGACATACAACTCTCGACGACCTGCGCTTGCCCAACCTTTGACGTCAGCTGCTGCTTGAGCGCCCCGAATGCGTCTCCGCTGTACAGAGTGCTGTAGTATTCGTCCAGCATGGTGTGAATACCTTCCCCCGAGGGCGCATTCACAGCCTGACCGTGGTGAGTGCCGTTCTGCACCGGCTCTGGAGCGGGGTCGTCTGCTAGAACCGTGTACTTTCCGGTGGCACTGCAAAAACAGAGACGAACCGTGACGTTCAAGATCTTGATGATTTTATGGTCGGGAGCCAGGACAACGGGCCTCGATAATAACATCTGGAAATGGGACTTGGGTTGATCTTGGATGGGTAGACCTGGAAACAAGATCTCAAGCCGCACAAAGTAGATGAACAAATTTGGATTGAAAGAGAGTCAAGCAGGACCGGAATGTGAGACATGACAAAAAACTCCCTTGCGCAGTTGTAGACAATGGATTGCAAGTCCAAATCTCTAAGCAGGTGACAGAGAACTTAAAAACCAAGAAAGACACACAAGTTCTTCACCGCGATGCTGTTCCCGTAAAGTAGACCGCAGCCGGAACCGTAACGACGGGAGGAATCTCTTCAATGGACCGATGCTAGAGGAGCATCTATAAGAGGACGGAGCTATACCACACTTGTTTCTGTGACAAAGCTCTCGCTCACTGGCGAAAACTTCCTTCCGGTGCTTTGTCGGACGCTTACCTGTCGATGCCAGGCCGAAACCGCCGGCCCTCGAGTCGCTCCAACCAATCCTTCCACGCGTCGAAAAAGCGCGACCGATCTTCCGAGGTCAGGTCACAGAAAGGCTGCAGCATAAGGAGATGACCAGCGTTTGTACCAAGGCTGTGGACCGGGATTAACCTGAGCGTAGCAGAGCAGATTTGCACAATAATGTCCTCCTTGTGAGAATCGAGCGCCTGAGCTCTGGGACTCAGTAGAACTAAGAGCCGAAGCAACAGCCAATGGACGTGCGCAGAAACTCTGAGTCAAGAGCTCTCATTCGGATGGTTGCTTCACACACGTCGTCAGAATATGAGGCGCCGGCGGGCTCGTCGGAGTGCCCTTTTTGTCCCGAGATGGCAGAAACGCTGTGCTAGACAAATGCGAGGCAACAAGACACGTGTCTTATGCTCGATAAGTTAAAAAGAGTCGTCCAAAACTTGGGATTGAAGTTAGAGCGGCGCGTCGAAATTCAGGGAAAAGAGGAATCGATGCGCCCGGAATCCGGTGCCCACCTTATTTGGATCGACGCCGGCTTTGCTCACAAGCTCCGCGGCCAGCGTAGGACTCACGCCTCGAAAAGCGCGCACCTGCGGATTAACGGAAGCGTTTCGTTCTCGGCGCCTATTTCCACCGCATGTGCGCGACTCGTGTAAAACCGGGGTTGAAAGAACCGACCTTTCCTGGTGCGATCCCCCTGTCTCGTGTCAGCGACACAAAACGGAGTAAGAAACATGGCCCTGTTGCGTTTAACATTGAACTTGGACATGCCGCTGGCTTTCCTGGAAGGAGTCGAGTTGCTGACGAAGCTAGGTTTTCCTCCCACTGATCCAAGTAATCACCAACAAAAAGCATTGTTTCCCTGACACGCATGATCCCGCGTTAACTCAGAGCTTTCGACCCAGGTGTCAGACTCCGCCATCGCAAAACGTGCTGGTCCTTAGGTAGGGCCAAACCTTGATCAGGATCTAAGAAGTCGACACTCGATATGCACTTAGTTGAGAGCAGCCTTTTTACCAAAGAGCCCTAGTCCACAAATGAAATCGGAGACCATCTGAAAGCTCACGAGGCTTTTACTGGCGGTTGGTTGGTCCACGCGAACCAGAACGTCCGCCCAATCGTCCAGGGTTTGGACGTCGGTTGGACTTAACCCTGACGCTGGGGGTGGGAGCACGTACTGGCTGCCAGTCTGGAGGGTGCGAAGACTGGACATCTTGGAACCAACCTGTGGGGAAACGACGCTGGTTGGTGGTTGGTTTGAGGCAGGTTAACGAGGGGCGTCGAGGGGTTACTCGTAGAAACACGGGAGAGTTCCGACAAGGTTGAGTTGGTCGCTTGAGATGGTTCAAATTGGGAGAGGGTCATGCGGGGAACTGTGTCCCTCACGACTCTGGTGCGGACGTGTGACTGTCAATGTAATGCTCACTTTGGTTGCATGTCTACAAGCAAATGATCGATTATCGAAGCCGACTTTCTCGGATTGAAGAAAAGCTTGTTATGCTCTGCAACGGGCCCCGAGGAAAACCACAGCGGCACCAGATCGCCGGCTAAGCAGATTTGCGTTGCATATGGGTGATGAGCGACTCAAGTTTGCGCCACAAGGTGAGATGACACGAAGACGTCAAGAAAACATGCTAAGTGGGGCGACGAAGCATACCTGATAAGCGCAGGCAATGACCTCTCCCTGGGGGGATGTGAGCACGACGTTACTGTCTGCAAAAGGGGTTTCGCACTTTGGTTCCAGTATTCAAAAAAGCCCTCTCGAGTTTTCCCCGCACTTTCACGATTGATACATGCAGCATTCCATATGTTTGGGACAACCGCTGGTCTCCTCTTCTGGAATGAACCTAGTTTGACTGCCGGAACCATATTGAGATGAGCTGTCAGAACCCGTGGAAGGAGAACGTGGACTGCAGTTTCCATTTTAGACCCCCATACCGCTTGGTACCCTGCGCGCGAGCAGCCTCAGGTCGTGTAGATTCAAGCGTAACCGTACCGATTAACGTAACCTTGTACACCTGATGTGGGTCGACCGGCCAGTCAAATGTACACCAAGGGGTCGCGTAGTCAGCATGCGTACTACCGTGTCGCCGGTAGCCGACAGATTCGACCGGTAACAGAGAATGTAACTAATCCTCAGAGTTGCGCGCGCACAGAGTACTCAGCGGTGTGGGGGTCCAAAATGGAAACTGTAGTCCACGTTCTCCTTCCACGGGTTCTGTCAAGACGGAAAAAGGGCAGACAGGGACTCCCGGCGGACTCCGTAGGGACCCCCTTTCCCTTATTACCCCCTCCAATCGACGGTCAGAAGCAGTGCTTCCGGTCAACCCAGACCATCGATCCTAGTGGGTTATACCTAGGAGGGGTCTCTTATGTAAAGTCGGATGTCCACGTTCTCCGCCCTTCCGTATAGTCAGCCTGACTCCTTGCATGAAATGAAGCCTTCTACTTTGCGTGAGGGTCCTTGGTTCTGGTCTAACCACACGATGAATTAAGGACAGACCCTCACAGTGAGACTCCTTGCGTCAGTTCAGGACTCCGCACACAGGTCCTCAACCGGCCCCTAAACCCATCTTTGAACCCCCTAATCAAGGAGAGACCATTGACTTCTCCTGCATGACCTACATAAAGGTCCTTCACCCTGACATAACTCCTCCAACTCAACGCGACGGATCTTGATTCGAGAAAATACCAACGAGAGACTACTTACATCGCCCCATAACCTCCACATACAGGTCCTTCACAGGGGGATCCCCCGGACGCACCCCAAACCTGAGGCGTGCCACCCGCTCCCATTTCTCAGGCAAACCCACTTCCAGGAGCGCTAACCCCCGCAGGGTTTGTCTTAACTGCTCCCCGAAGGAAAAGCCGTCTGCTGATGGAGAAACAGGTGGCGCGCCGCCAGTGCAAAGGCGAGCGGCCACGGGGTGCCAGCACAGGTAGAGCCACCCTGGGTCAGACATGATTTCGGTTGAGATGATGATATCTGTTCCTCAAAAACGGATGAAGGATGGTGATTAGCAATTGTGATTTCGAAGCTTGGGGCCAGTCAATCACCTTTGCGACCTATGTGCGAGCTTGCTAGAGGCGATTGACACCGCAACTCGTTTTCGATCAAGGACGAGGAATATACACTCCTTGGTGCAATGAATTGCCTGACCTAAGACAGCAGAGAATAAGAGTTTAATCCATGCACTGATGCGCAAGTCGCAGATGGAGCAGTAAGGGCACCAAAAGCCGGTTGCAGTCCAGGTTGAGAACCATGCGATGCAGGGGTGGTGTACAAGATTGCAACTCCCAAAACACTTGCAAGTCTCTTTGCTGTGTCCAGGTTAGTTTCTTCTGCCCCTTTCAAAACCACTTCCCTGCCATTTTCACAGGCCAACTCAAAAAATTTACACGAACCTATGCCAGTCGTGTACCAACACACACAACAGATTTCCCTGAAGTCCCCTGAATGTGAAGACTCTGACTCGTCCAACAGTCCAGCTCCCCGTACTTTCTGCCCCTGGCACCCTTCACTCAACATAAAGTGGCACTCCTACTTAGCGCCACCATTCTGAGCTCATTCAATGCTCCAGTTCCCATCACTTTCTCTGCCCCTGGCGCCCTTCTCCCAACGCAACATAGCACTTCCCCCTCAACTTCAAAACTCCTCACCGTTCTGCTCCAGAGTCCTCAGCCCAATCGCCACCGTGTGCTTGTCCGTCTGCGTGATTCGCTCCACTTTCGATGGCAGCCACTCCGTCTCCAGCTCAAAACACGATGCCGCTAGCGTCGTATAGTCAACCGGCTGCAATGAACTGCCTCGGATAACCCCCTTGTGAGATCCGTCATCTCCCCCGTTTCGTAAAGTGCTGGAGTGCAAGTCCCTTTGAAAATGCTGGTGACCTGTTGCTCGCAAGGGCTGGAGTCCATTGCAGATGGATGATACTGAGCGTAGATGCTTCAACCCATGTTTCATACACCGCTCACTTCTCAGACTTGCTGATGAGTGCGCTTGCCGACACGCATTGGTCAGATGTGCACTGCCTTGGAGAGTTGATTGACTGCGGGTCCGAATGAACCATTGCTGATAGAAGCGCTTGGCTGCCGGCAAGGATTCTGAAGCTAAAACGTGTTTGCTGACAAGGTGGTGTGCTCTCTGCACCTGCATCCTCTTGACGATGCGCATCATGGAATCCTTGGGGCGTGCTCGCTAAAAACACCACCAATCCACGAATGCTGGTAGTAGTAATCCCAAAGCTGCTAGGTAGGGAAGTCAGCAGAGTACCAAAATTTGAGGGCCTGCCACCATCAACAAGAAAGTGGTACACCTAAATCAAACGTGGAACTTGAAGGATAGTCTGATCGAGCATGAAGGATCTTGATTCTTGATGCAAGTTTAACCTTGATTCTAAATATGTAAACCTGCCGCAGCGTTACATGCATACATAAGTAACCTAACTGCATGTCTCTCGTCATCTGCTGCCCATGGAGAACTCCCGGTTAGGAACCAACGCTCAGCTGCTAACCAAAGGTTTCGTCGTAACGTCAGAACTACGTAGTCATCTTATTGTGAGCTGTGTACCATATTCCAACTTTGCCTGAGGCTGAAGTCTAGGAAGGAAGGCGCTTGTTCTCCCAGTTCTAAGTTCTGAGGCCCACTGTCAAGGAGCAAAGCAACACAAATGTCTTCTATCTTCGGGCTCGGCTAAGCTTAGCTCCTTGACCATAAAAGTCTACTCGCTTTAACGAACTTATCAAGAGCGTGCAGTTCAACTTGTCACATCTGGGGGACGTAGTCTAAAACAATGGCGTCAACTGCGTTGTTGGCACCAAAATGTGGCGCCTGCAGACTGAGCTCCAAAAGCCTTTTGAATTCCAGCAATGCTGAATCGAGCACACAGATTGTGGCTCCCTCCTTCTGCAAGGCGGCTTTGACACTGCCTGGGTCGAATAATGTCCGTGCCACTCTTGGAAGCAAGCGGTTGTGTCAAATTCGGCCACTGCAAAGAATGTTCAGGGAGGCTGCGCAGAGTCACAGGTGCGGCGTAAGAGCGCAAGCAGCCCCCAGCAGTGGTGTTGCTGAGGACGTGCGGGAAGATGAGTAAGTGTCTGCTACCCTGAATGCATGTGGGTGGCGCCAAACTGTCACTGATGTGCAACACCACCGTTCCGTAGCAACTTCAGGCAATCCTATTATATTCTTTTCAGCTCTCTTTGCTATGGCTTGGGTTTCTTTCGGAAAGACTTCCCACCCTTTCAACAGCTGTATGTTTGCTAATTGTGGAGAGCAACTGAATGACAAGCAGGGAGTGGACTCCATTTTGAAGATTGCTGTTGAGTGGTGCATGTTCTGTAGCACTGAGGATACTTTTTTACATACGTTGTTGGCAAAATGGGAAGTGACAAGGACATCTCTTGCACATACACCTCCCGAGGGCAACCAGAATTGCCATGTCGGACAATTCGTGCACTGTTCCCCATTCCTCATCTCTAGAGCAACCACCTGATCTACAGCCCCATCAACTTCTGAATCCGATTTATTCTTTGGAACATATGCCAGTTTCCCTTCTCACCACGTTTTTCATTATGTGCAGTGTCCTCCCAGACAGTCTCCATGGCGCTGTGTATCAGTCTGCAGAAGCGGCCGCTCGCTTGTTTGACAGTGGTGGGGATCGGGCTTTGGTAAGTTGGCAAAGGCCCTAAAGATTTACTAGTTTTGCAGACAAGCTTTCCTGAAGTAAGTTTAGGAAAGGAGAAACGTCGTCCAAGATCAATCAAGGTCGTCGTCGTGCTTCCTATTGCTTACTCTATTTTTGCTGGGGTTGTTACGAAGTTTCGTTTGGATCTGCACAACCCCTTACATCATGATGGTCTCTTTGCCAGGGTCGATCAACAACGTCAATCACTTACACAGCAACCTAAACCACCAGGGAAGTTGTCTGTTAAAAAATCTCCTGGTGTAGATTCTTGAAGCCCAAACTTGTTACCAGGTATGCAGTTTTTCCACCGCGCGTGGTCCCTGGCCGAGTAGCCTGCCTTAAGCCCTGGCAGGCAACAAGGGGAACTGCCACGCAGATCAGCAGGGGCTTTAAAACCAGCCCCCGGCCGTCCTAGTCTTGATGGCAGGGGTAGAATGGCCCCAACATCTTTCTTAGCCTGGCTGCCTTACCAATTTCAATCTAGTCAGCAGTAACAAACGAAGTGAGGGGCTGCAAGAAATTGTGCAATATTTCGGGTCAGAGCGCTCGTACTAGCAATGAGGAGAGGTATTGTAAGGCCAACGCCTGTGGATTGTAGCAAGTTTACTTGAAGGATTGGTGAACAGATATGTATGTTAAAGCGTCAGTCCCTTATCAGCGGCCTGTTTTTGAAACAGCTTCACCAGCCTCAACAACATCAGAAACGAAACCCCAACAAGAACCTTAAGCACCCGTTGCAAAATGTTGTTAAGACCCCGGTAACCCAACTTTCTGCAGGTGGAGTTGCTTTTCCCTGAGCTCGAGAGCATGGCCAACGAAGGCGACCAGCAGCGGCTGTGGGACCTCTGCAAAGAGTTCGTGCTGGCGTTCCAGGAGAAATCGGGGATTGAGGTGCGGCGAGCGCTCTGTCTTGCGGTTGACTCTTTCTGAGCTTATGTTCTTCAGGGAAGTCACGACAGCTGGTCATCCCGAATATGTATCAATGTGTGAAATGACATGTCAGCCCCGATCTTTCTGAGACTGATGGGGATCAAATGTTTTGTCACCCGACCAACCACATTCTTCAGTTCTGCCGGCAATTTTCGAAGGCGGCTTTCTGGCCCGCGACTTTCTCCTTCATGATTGTTTCTGTAGGAAGCTCAGGCAGTGCGTCAGGCAGTGCTCTTGATAAGTCCGGCTTGCAAGAATCAGGATCAGGAAGGTTAGAAAGAAGCGAGCATTTCTGCGATAAGTCCCGGAAGGCTCTCGCTTGCGTTTTCCACGGTCTCTCCGTCCACTGCTGAAAATAGACTAGTTCGTTGTGTCCTGTCTCTGTGCAGAAACTGCGGGTGGTTTTTGCGGACATGGGGGCTGCGGCCATGCTGGCACACAAGTGGGCTGATGCGCCGTTCACGATTTCAAGGTACACTTTTGACTGCAGATCGCTTCCAGTACGTCTCACCCTTTCTGCAAGAACAAAAGGCTTCTGAGATGAATGCGGCCTCTCAACCTACTGCCTTGAAAAATTCGCAGAGTGCCTGCAAAAGGCAAGGCTAAGTGAAGCTGCTTTGATAACAGGGGAACTCCCTGATTGACATCGTGCCGATTGGTCACTCACGAGCATACTGAAGCCGGAAAGAGCTGCATACATATGTGTCGTGCTCTGTCAGTGCGTCTACAGCAGGTTGACGAACAAGCGACGGTACTCCCATTGGTTGGAAGACGCGAAATTCTTGTTGATGGTCGGTGGTATTTCGATCCTGGCACGTTGACGTCATGCTCGCGTGCGTGCAGTTTGAACGACCGGAAACCGGTACAAGACGACGACGAGGCGGCTATTCTGGTGTCACCCGACCACACGGCCCTGCGCGCGGTCGAGAAAGTTGTCAAAGCATTTGACGAGCACGAGTTTGTGAGTGTCAGCGCCTAAGGTCGCATCGGTTCGATGTTTCCAATGGTGTCTTGGACCAGTGCAAAGCTTCACATGGATGCAAACGGTATTGAAAGCACTTGCCGGTCATGGCTTTCCGCTGCAACTTATTCACAAGGTGGCTGAAGTTGATCTCTTTGAACGCGCTTGTAAGCACCGAAATTCTTTGCGTTGACAGATGACGGCTGAGGTTGTATTGTTTCTCGGCGAAGTTCCGCTAGGTGCTCTTCACATTGAGAACTCTGCCTCAATGCTCGGTTACAATCCTACTAAAATGCCTAACGGCGCTCAGCACGTGTTGAAGCCGCTTAACTGTCTCCTAACTATCTCCTGCATCTGGGTGTTAAAAGCGAAAGCAAGATCCAAGACTTTTCATAGACTTTACAAACTGCTCCAGTCTGTCTCGGTTGATTCTTCATCGGTTACGTGGGTATGCAGTCCGGTCGTGCATTGCTTTCTTCATGGTCAGGATCTACCTCTGCAATGTTTTCAGATTGCTGCTGCAAGTAATTGCAACTAATTGCTGCATTCGCCTGTCTTTAGGTCCGCCCGCTTGTACTCTGGAACCCTCGACTGATCAGTGGGGATGTCGGCGTGGGTCTCAACGTCCGAAACTTGCGGCAAGGGATGCTAGGGTGAGTCTTGAGCCCCTTTATTGAATACACACTTTCTGGCGATTTGACACATCCATCTTTTCGTCTACCAACTGGGAGGATTTGTGTCAAGAAACTGTTTAGAAGATTGGCGACACCTTTACTCTTAAGTATCGGGAGAGGTCGTCGCCGAATCTAGGGTCCGCATGGGCGTTTGTCAGAAAGCATTTAATGCGAATCCCACCGTACGATGTGGAGGGCTGATACTGGGGGCTGTCCCCATCAATTGACGATTCCGATCTTTGGTGGCCAGGCCCGCGGGCATGCCTTAGAGCCACAGCATAATGCTGAGCAAGATTCAAAATCTCGATTGTTGCCGTCGCCTACCGGCGCGTCGGATTTTGTCCAGACACCTGGTGTATGTGCAATTTTGTATCAATGGCCTTTCTGCCTGTGCAAAGCAATATCGTTTGTTCGGGATTGGTCTAGATGATGAAGCTCTCATGGCAATTGACGGCGGAATCGTTTCGCGTTTGCAGGACCTTCACCGTTGCATACTCTCTGAAATCGCTTCCCAACGGCAGCGTCTATAGAAGCTACCCAGAGTGAGCCGTCCTTTGTTCCTCTCGCTCGATCCTGGTCCAAGTTAGTAGAAAGCAGTCTGGTGATCTGGCTTCTTCCTTGGACGGCAAGAAGAGCATTGAATTAAAACGTCTGTGGGGAGGCCGTTAGGGTCTTCGCAAGGATGTTCACCTTGGGAGTTTGAAGAGACGGGAAAGTCTTTTGGACCATGAGGGCACTGAAGTCAACTTTTAGGTGGCGCACTCGATCCACAATCGCGAAATCTGCCGTAGAGAGCCATCGACCTGCAACGTGTATTCATTCGAGTTTCTGTTCAAAGAAAGGGTGCCCACAAATCCGCCTAAGGATTGCACTCACTTATTGCCCTACCAGTTCCTCAGACCAGCGCGTCTCTCGCCAATCAATCAAGCATCGCAGTGTGTAGAAGTGAACCTTTGATGATGCTGACGGAACGGATGGGCGGAGAACAGGGACTCCCGTCGGGACCCCCTTTCACTATAACCCATTTGATTGACGGTTAAATTTAGTGGAATCAATCAAGACAGACCGTCGATCCTAGGGGGTAATAAGAAGGAGGGGTCTCCAAATTGGCTCAGGAGTCCATGTTCTCCCTACTTCCATTCTGACAGCCGGAATCTACCAGTTGACCTCGTGATTGGACAGGCAACCAGTTGTAAGTTCAACCATTTTCATCTACTCGAATATTTGCATTGACCACCTGAGTTTGTTCTGACCCACAGCCCTTGGAAAGTTTTCTTCGCGGATTCGAAGCTCCCGGGGCGGTACAACCTGGCGGGGGTGTCGGATGAGCGGCCGGGGCCTGATCAGATCGAGGTAAGCGCTCGCATGTTTGTCAGCTTTCCGAGGGCGACCCTTCGTTTATGACCCTAGCCTACATGGTCGCCGTGACAAAGCGCATACTGCGCCTTTTCTTGCTTTATTTCTCCGGCGCGAGTCAGCCGGAAACCGGCAAAAATATGCCGATGGTTTTCGTGCGAGTCCATAAACCTTTGGTCCTTCAAGCTAGCGAGTGTAACTTGCGGTGGGGCGGCGCTTTCACACTTTCTGCGAAAAGCTGCCTTATCGGTGATGGGTGAGCGACTCGTGCATTCGTACGTTTTGAAAATCTGCTTGCTTTCTCAAACAGTCCAGCCAAGGTAGGTGGTTCATACTTACCACAAAGCTGACCGAATGAGCTGGTATGCAGCGACTGGCCATGGGCGAGTCAGCTAGAGATAGCGGGAGAGAAGAGCCCACAACCGTCGACAAAGCGGCAGGCGTAATCAATTCGTTTTCCAGGTTCATGAAGTCTTTGTCGCAATAAGGAGTCTAAGATACTGCGACAAGAGATGTCACTTGGTTTGGTAAATGATATATGTCCCTTCGTTATTGTATTCAACTTAGTACGAATTTGTGGCCGTATGCGGAAAACTTCGACGACACAACACATTATGGATGCCACAGGATGAGCAAACAGCGCACGTCACAGGTCATAACACGACTCTCATTGATTCGATCAATGCTTCAGTCGGGCCAGTTTGGGCAAGTTGTATCTATGACCACTTCGTCGCGCTTGCAAATGCAAGGGGCCAAAGAATCCATGCCTGGTCATGTGATTCCTTAAATACACGTGTACTGGATGGCAGCGGCATAGTCAGTGCGGTTGTAATTGGACAATGATCGACAGTGACTATCATCGACGGTCGTGTTGTATTATACGTACCGTCACATGCACGTGCTTGAAGACTAAAGCTCACGCGGAATCTTACGGCGGGCCGGCCTCTCTTGGACTCAGTGGCGCACAGCGTAGTCCTACCGTGGCGCCCAGTTGTCAACACTTCGTGAATCGTCACGTATACAATCACATGCACCATCTAAATTTGGAATCAAAGCGTGCTTATATGCATGGATATGCATGTAACCGTCGCACATTGCAATCTTTGCTGATCTTCCTCATTCCGAAAGATAAGATTACCCTCGGTGTCCATGCACAAGCGCCGAATGCAGCTAGTACAGCTGCACGCCTGAGGTACCTATATTAGCTGGTCGCGCGAGCCCAATCCATCGGGTTCCGGCCATATCTACGTATGAGCTTCTTGAAAAGTTGGCTCAAAACTTGCATGAGTTTTACCAGGAACAAGAATTAGCCGCTGCTGACGGGGCTGCTGACGTGGTACGAAATGCGGACCTGCTTATGGCGTATCTGCACTGCACGAGTGCCCGCCACGCGCTTCGGAAGTGACTCTCAACGACTTTGAAACAAGGGAATCAGTGGTCCGGTCGTTATCGCGCTTGACCCGGGCAAACCCGGCGCCAGCCGTTGCGCAGAAGATGTATAAATGGAGGTGGGGTAAAGCTGCTGATCCTCTGCTGATCGATTCAACTCAAAATTGGGTGAATCCCTAAGGCCCTAGCATGGGTTGTCTGGGGGTCAATAAGCTGTTCAAAGCATCCGTTGGAGATGGGAAATAAAGAAAGAATTTGCGTTCAAGAAAGTGCGTTTAAGCCAGGCGTTGTGGCTGCTACTTGATTACACGCGGCTCGCCCAAGCTGCCCTGCGCTCGGAAGTCCGGCGCAAAGTGAGCGTTCCTTCGATCCGCAGTACCTTTCCCTCCGGTCTAGGTCTTGCAGGTAATTCTGCATTGACCGAAACGGGTTCCCTTCTGACTCCCTCTCACAAATGGTGGTTCGTTAAGCCAGTGCGTAGTTCTGGTAATTGCACTTTCCTGACTCCGAAAAGAGCCAATACTGTGGTTTGTCATCAGCTGTGGACGCCGTTCTGTCGCTAACTGGTGCGTAACCCTTGCTTGTGGCAGGTTCCCCGCAGGTTCGCGACGAGTTGATCGAAGCGGGTTACGTCGAACCCGTGCCGACGGGAGGCCCCGTCTCCGGCAAGGAAAAGCGGAAGAAGAGCAAAGCACCGGGCAGCGCCGATTTGACGGCCAACATGCGCAAACTTGCCCCTCCAACCGGTAGGTCATCAAGGAATTTGGCCGAGCAAACAGAGAAATGGGAAGCAAACTGAAAAAACTGCCGGAAAGAAGTGTTGAGGAGAAAGGGCTCTTGAATATATGATGGGTCTGACGCACTCAGGAACGAGCTGTTTCTCAACGTGTACATTCCAAGTTTACCGGCCTCACTACAGGGTGCCAGACGGTCCAATCGGCGCGAACTCACTACACACCTCCATGTCTGACGTCCACCTCGATCTGCTTACTTAAGTCAAACGTACCTTATAACTAGCATACTTTCAGCTACTCCACATGTCGCACAACCAGAACTGGTCAAGCACTAAAGATTATACTCACGCTTCGTACTTTCTGCATTTACAATTGCTAGAGAACCGATACCAAAACCCTCGGTCAGGTCACGCCCTCTGCGAGTTTCTCGCGGCACCGTAGCGCTACCCCGTTACTTCAAGTGCCCACTACGCCGCCAGTAGTCCACGTGGCACCATCGTCACGACTCCGTTTGCACCTTCCTCACCGCAGGCCCTCACTCCTCACGTTTCTCAGCAGTTTTTCATTGTGGCGGCACCACTACGCGAAATCACTTTGGGACGGCCTTGTCAGCAGGGCCCGATGCGCCACCCTCCCTGCTCGCGCGCTTCCTTTTGGAAGAGGGAACCGTCGGCACGAGGTCGGTGGTGTCCTCTCGCTGCTTGTGGATCGCGTAAGCGCAATGATCGCGCTTCCAAGGTTTCTGCTGGCCGGACTTGTCTGCAGCAAAAACACGACTGCACGCGTCAGATGCAACGCTTGTCTCTCAGATCCGACGGCGCACAGACATTCACGTAGATTCCGAGGATCCTGTTGCCCTATTAGGAGAAAACTGCGGTTAGGATTTGGAAAGGTGCCGGTTACTCTGAAGCCTCATGCTTGTCCTTCTTCCGTCATTTCTCGATTTCTGATTTGACAAAAGATAGAACTATCTCTGTTCAATTGGGTCCGGTCAGCCAGCCAGCCAGCCGCTTACATGTAACCCAGCCGCTTAACCATACCTCGAGAAGCTGCCTAAGCACGATCTTTAGCACAGTCAACCAAGTTCGATGAATTTCATTTCAAGCTCGCACTTAGAAGGAGAAAAGCAAATTTCTTCACAAGCAAAATAGAAAGGTGGGGGGAAAACTGAGACCATGCGACTCGCACTGCTGGCGGAGCGTGTGTTAACCCCTTGTCACATGACAAAGAACGAGGAAGGGGCGTTCGACGCGGATGGAAACAAGAGGCCACCCAAAACTAAAAGGGACACTGCTCTTTGTCGACCAAAGTTGGCCGGCGACTACGGGCCTGTTGCGAGCGGACTCCTGATCCGCGATTGCAAAAGCTGCTTCGCGCGAGGGCGGCCGCCTCAACATTTGCAACACCACCGCATTGCCAGCTACTTCGCATCTCTGGCTATCATTCGGCTTCGATTGTTGTCCATCAGTCGGTAAGTACTACTTACCGAGCTACCCTGGCACAGAACGGTTTGTTAACCACGGGACAAGGAGCGCAAGCACGTGCAACTGTCCGCACCAGGTCACTCACCGATAACCATGAAGCTGATTGCGTCCTTCAGGTTTTTCTCAATGGCAGGATCTGCAGCCCCCTGCCCACCGACGTCATCCGACGGCTCTTGGCTGCACAAGACGTCATCGCTACGTCAGCAAGAGGCAAAGCGCACTCCAAGGCCGCCGATCGGACACCAAGTCCACCACGGCAAAAAGGGACGCTTGCTAAGAGACGCAGTTCCCGGACCGAGACACGCTTTCCGTTTGCTCTTCCAATTGTTCAGCACTGACTAACGGGACCAATTGTTTTGAGCAAGTGAATCAATTCTTGGTCAGCCGATGATTAACGTGAGCAGTGCGGGTTAACGTTCAGTTTACGTGACGGACGGCCTCGCGGAAAGCTTCTGACTTCAGCAACTCCCCGCTGGATGGTCACGCATCTGGCTGTCGTTATCTGGACCAGATTTCACTAACCCTAGTTGCTGGGCGGAGCGTGCACAAGAGACTTCAATTAAAGTAAAATAAGCTTTGGTATAGTAAGCTAACCTGCTTGGAATGGGTGGGGTTAGTTTGGGGGTTTAGGGTGGGTTCGGGTGCGGAGCGGGTGATTTGATGGGTTGGGTTTCTGGTGTTAGGAAGATGCTTACTATACCCAGAGCTTACTTTACGAAAATTGAAGAGACATAGCGTGCACTCACTCGACGTCCAGGCCCACTTTGAGCATGGTGTTGGTGATGTCAAGGCGGCCGCGGACTCTGACGTCATCGTTCATGCGGCAGCTCGCGCAGCGCGTTTCATTGCCGCGCGCGAAGATCGAGATCTGCGGGACACCACGTGAGAGTCAACGAGGAGCTCTCGCTAGTAAGCTTTTTGCTTGGCCTGGTAAGGGCACTAGCTGCCCATACTTTGAGCCATCAGGCAAGAGCGTGTTCATTCGATTGTGTCTGGCTCCGATCGAAGAAAAAGGCTCTTTCATCTCATTTTGATTTCCTGTTCCGGTAAGCCGAAGACGTGCCTGGATGCACAAGCTAGAATGGCATATATTCCTTTGAAGAGAGCGAGCCCGACATGCGAACTGCTTTGATCCAAAAGGTGGTCGCCGATAGGCTTTCTAGGTTGGGTTTGGCCAGGTGCGAAGATATCATAAAGGTGAGAGATCGGCCGAAGATAGCAAATGAGGGGATGCGTTCCCGATCCTCTTTCTCAGATTTCGGGCGAGACAACCAGGACCAACCAGTCGTTGCGGCGCGCATCAAAGGAGCAAAAGCGTCGGCAAAACTATGGTCTCATAAGGCCAATCTAAGCAAACCCAAGAGTTCCGTTCCGCCCAAAGCGGCGGAGCGGCGGAGCGTTTACCGGGCCGACGTAGTGGGGGTCGGAGAAGGGCGGGTGGCCCGGGGTGGGCTCGACGTCTTTGGGCAGGCCGAGGAACACGTGGATGGTATAAGAGCCGTTGAAGAGGCGCTTGGGGATGCGCTTCAGCACCACCTACCAGCGCAGGCCCTCGTACGCGTCGGGTTTGTACTTCGCCTTCAGCTGAAAAAGCCCACACAGTGAAAATCAGACTCAACCAAGCCTGGTTAGGCATAGGTTGGATGCCCTTCCACCAGACTAGGTTGAACGAGGGTTGGTTAAACCTCTTAACCAGCTTTGATCAGGCGCGAAATCTTCCTGTGGCGGAGAGGGGCTCTGTCAAAAGAGGTGGCAAAAGAAACACAGGAAGTTCCCCATTCCTGTTCGCCGAGCCACGTCGGCCAGCTCGCTTTGCAGACTGCGTTCATCTCAAGAAAAATAGGAGCCACAAAGATGCTTTTCCAAGTCGCCTTGAATTTTTGCTGCGCCCCCCTTATCCGCGCAACAGATATTCAAACCCCTTTCACAATCCTCCCTCTCCCTCTCGAAAAAGACGACCTTGAAAAGAAAAGGGGCCCAGACGTACGCCTTGTCTGAATGCAGTGGTGACTTCGTTTTAAAGGCTTCAAGTTTTGGAATCGAAGTGCACATGACGAGCCACGTAATGGGGCTTACATGAGCCTTGAGCTCGTCCGGCTTCAGGTACTTTTGCAGTTCCGGGTACGTGTAACCCAGATCGGCCACGTGGCGCTCGTCGTCCGACGTGTAACACTTTGATGCGGGGTCCCCCAGCACCTTGCGGAATGGAGTCAGCTCCGTTTTTGAGTTAAGCTGCGGCGAAGAAGAAGCGAACGCGTCAGCGAGGAGTATGGCCGGCGTTGCCACGTGGCCGTAAAGGACTACCTAATCCTGCCAAGTTGCGCAGGCGGAGTTGAACCCTTCGGCGTCAAGTTGCGGCGGATCAGAAAAGGAAACGGGATTTGGGGGGGGAATGAAACAGCAAGTTCAGAAAAAGCGGAAGCGTCAAGGATCCTTTCAAGACATGATTTGCATCTTTTCCCGGATCATGCTAGGACCTGTGTAGACACAAATGATACCCCATCATTTTCGCAAAAGGAGCCTATTCGACGCTCTGACAGCTCTGAGACCTGGAATCGCTCTGGCGCTCTGACAGCTCCACTGCTCATTTCGGAGGTCGGATTTGAGTACAGACCTGAATTCAGTCCGTTATCCAACTGGATTCCAACGTCGGCTGAACGCACTAGCTCTTTGTGGTTTGCTGGACCTTACCGTGATACCTTCTGGCTCTGTGAACGTTCCTCTCTCGGTCGGGGCAGATTCTTCCATCCACGCGTGGGGGTGGCACGCCTGCCAAAGGGCGATGACGCGATCCACGTTCGCATGATGCAGGAAGAAAACTGCAGGTTGCGGCAGAACCTCTTTTTGTTGGTGCGGGTTAAGAGCTGAACCACGGCATGGTGCGTAAGAAAATTCAAACGGAGGCACTGCAAACGATGCATTCAGTGTTTCTCCTCATGGCGGTGGGAACGCAAACCACTGGCAGGCTTGAAGAGTCAGCCATTGATGCCAAGGGGGTATCAGAGAGGGTTTGCCTGACCCGAAAGTGAAACCTAGTGCAGTTCGACACGCTTATGTGGGTTACATTCCGTGTGTCCGTTCGTTAACAATGCGCAAAAGTTGGCCCACAGAGAAGGTCCTTGGAAGCCCACATGGATACGTCGCAAAACTGTGCAAAGTGTTCCTGACAAGTTATTCAATGTCTCTTTAGAAGAAACAATTCCGCAATTTTGATACTCACCGGGGTCAAACCCTGCGATATCGGGGTAGGAGATTTGGCCCCCCGAGCCTCCAAGAGCATCATGCACCCCGTCGTGAATTACCTGCAGCGCAACAGAACGCATCTACGATCGTTATCTTCTTAGCTGTTTTGTTTTCTGGTTTACATTCGGGTCAGTGTGGAATCCTTCCGGGACACAGGCAAGTGAAGCTGTCTCAAATTCTGACAAGCAAACCCCCTTGACACCCTCGTTTTCACATCCGGTTATTCGAAGGTGGACTACTTGTGAGGAGCAGGCGCCGTCGATCTTCCTTGCTGATCTGCCTTCCGGTTGTCAGCCTCGCGTTCTCATCCCAGCAATGCTGGTCGGTTTCACTATAAAGCGAGGAATCAGCCGCGCCTAGCTCTCTGAAACGCAGCAAGCATACAGAGGACCGCTTTGGTAGCTGGTCCTTCGAAAGCGCGGCCCCTTGACAAAGGACACTGGTTAGCCGGCGTATGGCGTCTGCCGAGCCGGAGACCTTGAAAACACAGGGTTTTTGCCGGTCAACCATAAGCGGTTACGGGCTGGTTCGAAGATGATTAACTGTCAATGACCAGACTTGAGCAGTAACCAGGTTTTCAACGTGGCTTTAACGCGGTTATTGGTCAAAGAACCAGACATTTTTTGGTTATCAAACCTGGTTAGCAGCCAAACCTTCCTGTGAAAGCAAACGGAACGAGTGGTTTGGCGGGCCCGCACCTCAATCGACGTGTACCAGCCGTAGTCCGTACCGTGCTCCTCCTTTTCTCCGAACGCGGTGTGGTTGCTGAACGGGAACCACTTGTCCACGTCCAGAAGCGCGTACAAGTTGGGGCGCCACATCACGTTGGCGTACATCTGCACCGACCGGTTCACCGCGTCCACCTGCGCTTCAGGGTTTTGAAAGGCGTTAGGGTTTCAAGGTTTGGACTTTTAGGGGCCCAGTTCCAGTGTACGAGGGTTGGCGCACTGGGTCTTCTTTTCTTCGAGATTCAAGTTGAAGGACGCACACATTCAAAAGGGCCCGGTTCATCCAATCGGTGAAGCGTCATGAGGGGCTCGAAGCGCAGTCCTCCGCCCTGCACGACCAAAGGACATTGCGCCACACAGAAACGTCCAACGCGCGTCACTTGTGTGCCACAAAGCTGCATATAACCACTTGGACGAGCAGGCCGTCCAAGGCTTTTGGTCACAGCACTGAAGAGTCCAAAACCCTTACCTGCGTCTGGTAGTTGGCATCGGGGTGCCTTACGGTCGGGTAGCCCTTGGGCGTAAACGGATGTTCGTTGTTGAGGGGCACCTTGTAGTTGGGCTTCGCTGGGGGGTTGAAGCAGTCGCCTGTTTGCTTCAAGGAGCCCAGGTCCTCCGGCAGCGTGTATGCGCGGAGAGGATTTGGGTAGCGTCTTCTTGGGGTGAAAGCTGTCGACGTAACTGTCAGCCATACGAACCTGCAGTGTGCACGTGAGGCACGTGGTGAGCGGACAACTTCTGGAGCTCCCTACTTTCGAGCCGTCGACTGAAAGAGGTCTGATCAAATATTTGACCGCTAATTGTATGCACTGGCTACTTCGATACGCCCTAGCCTAAAAGCAAACAGGGCCCGTTTGTCTGCCGAGCTCAGACATGAATCTGGTGACAGGGCGGCCGTCGCGCCATCATCTGCCATCCAAAACAGGGGGGGTTTTAGGACGGGGACAAGAGTGATCCCCAACTCGTTTTCCCTGTGTCTGACAAAACGGATGGTTTGAGACACGCTCAATGCAGCCTGCAGGACTAACACGGGGATGTCTCATTGTTAAACAAACCTGGTTAGTGGATGGTCCCCGCTGCAAGAAACGAGGCTACTACACTACAGACCTAGTTGCTAGCATCTTCAAAGGACCACATAATCTTCCTGTGGCGCAAAGGTTGTGCGGTGCAGCTGACCGGATAAGTGGGCGAGGTCATGATGGTGGGCAGCCCAAAGTCCGCAGTCTGCGCGCTGGCCCAGTCCCAGTACGGAAGCGAGAGATCCCTCGCGGCTTCGACGTAGAGGTCGCGGACCGTCGGCGTGGGTTTGTCCTTGTCCGCGGGAGTGTCCGGGTACGCCTGCGCGATCCTCGCGGCCTCCTCGCGGATCGCCTGCAGCCGAAACGACTTTGATTTAGGTAAAGTTAGCTTTAGGTAGAGTAAGCCAAGCAGCCTGGGACGGGCGGGATTAGTTTGGGGGTTTAGGGTGGGACGGGTGCGGAGCGGGTGATTGCGGAGGGTTTAGGTTTTAGTGTTAGGGTAGCAGCTTGTATACCTAGGGCTTACTTTATCTAGATTGAAGAGACATCTGCAGCCGCGCACCCCCGCATCACGCCAACATTTATGTAGAATTTATGATGGTAATTTGTGTCACGAAGCGGAGAAAGTCCTGCCATCAGTACGTGGAAGCGGCTACGGAGGTCAAATTACGCGTCTCAACGGCCATTGTGTTACCTTCCAGTAAAGGCCAAAAAGGAACTGCATGTCCAGGTTTTGATAAGATTATGTCCCTTTTCCAGGTTTTCTAGGTTTGTGAAGAGCAGATAAGGACATTTGACGGCATAATTAACAGCTCGACGGCATGGTGATCTGATCAAGCAAACCTGCTGACCAGCATCAGATTTCCCACCAGGGTAGCAAGGCCTCACGTTTTCCAGTAGGAGGACGTAGGGGCGGTGCCAGGTAGGGAACAGCTGAGAGCCATGCTGGCAGTAGCCTCCCCATCGGTCCGGCTTCTTTGGATCCGGCCACTTGCCGCTGCCCTGACCTGCAGAATGCAGTCAAGAAGGCACCTTTTGGACGATATGAACTTTAAGTTTGAATGAACGTGGTGCAACCAAAAAAGGGCCGGAGTGGTCTCCACATGACGGAAGCTGGGTAATGAGCAGCTTCTTGCCAGTAGGGCTTGTAAACTTCGGCTGCGCTCACGGGGAAGTTGAGACCTGTTCCAAAAGCATGTGACTGCAAGAACTTTCCTCTGCTTAAGACGAGGGTGTTGCTTGAGACAAGAGAAGGAAGTGGAGATTGATTAGACGACAAAAATGTGTCTCTCTAAAGATAGAAGCAGACTCAGGATGCTTGGGCCGGTCGATTCAAGGCCAAAGCCCCAAGACTTCTCTCCTACCTACAGATGCAAATCTTTTCCAAGGGTTCTGGACGTGCCCTCTTTTTGCCGATGCAGCAGAATATCATAGCAGCAGAATATCATAGCAGCAGCTGAAAGACCTTTCTGAGACTGCACTTAACGAGCTCGTCAACCTTTTCCTTCATGCTCGTCTGGACTTGGATTGTCTTGGAGGTCTGAGAGTCTGAGCAACTTTGTGTACTCTAATTGGTTCCACAGATTAATAGACACACCTTCCACGTTGTCGTAGCTCTGGTAAGGCAACCCGTGGATGCCAGCAATCTGGTAGAACGACTTGATGTCGTCGACAGGTTTGGCCTGCACGGCGGCATACGCGTGGATGAAGAGGTCTTTTTGGTGCGCGTATTTGGGCATGCTCGCGAAGGCGTTGATCTCCACGCGAACCCGCAGGGGCTGAGGGACGCTTGAAGCTGCCCCTGCAAATTGGAATTTTTCTTTGGGTAAGAAGTACTCAATGAACGCTGGCACCCAACATCAGTGCACCTCGATTGCAGCAGTGGCCAGCAGGGCGGACATGGCGAGTGCGCCAAATTGGCTGTCACCCTGGCTGCACAGCCCAAAGCTGCCTGCGAGATTTCGAATCCCTGATAAATCTTGCATAGAATAAACACCCAAAGAGATCAGAGCCATTGATATGGTCAGAGACGGTCAACAGATGTGCCTAGAGTGAATTGGTGGTCAGGTGATGACCTAGTTATCAAACTTGACCCTCTGAAAAAGCTACGCAACTGATAACCTCCCAGCTTGGAGGCACTTGCGCTGATTCTATCTTCAGCTCATCCCTACTTTCATGACAAAGGTAGTACCTTTAGAAGGACCACTTTTCAGCTTCAGATGCTTACAGCTGGTGAGAGCTTTTAAATTCATGAGCTGCCCCTTTTGCTAGGTGGCCAAATCACCATGAGCCAGACTCGCTTTGATTGCCACAAAGTGATCAGATGAGAGCTGCTTTTGAGATTCAATGGCAAGCTGTGAGTAGGCCTGCCGACGTGTACACACAGTCTTGCGTTGAGCTTCAATGCCAATAGCCGGTAGACCTGATTGTCAAGGACACACAGAGTCTGATTCCTTTCCAAGGAAGCCAGTTGTCCTTCTCCCAGAGGCCTCCCCAAAGGAGAAGAATGATGCAACAATCAAACAACCAGAGGTTGTACGTACTATCTGTATCACCTTCAAATCCTTACCTGCATTTGCCGCCTGGTGAGGAGCTGTTTGAGATGCACGTCCCCTGGTCGCCATCGTAGTTGCAATGATGCGCAGTGTAGCTCAGAAGCAGCGATTCAGACTCTGGTGTTGAAGGGACTCGGAACAGCCAAAATGTGAGACCTCACAGAAGCTTTCTGCCCGCACAAGAATTTGCCACGCAAAAGCCTGGTGCTTCTTGCAACCGCGGAACAAAGCGGGGTTTTGGAAAACAGGAACTGATCGAAATGATTCGAAATAGCCGCACTTTATATGCGGACACGAAGGCAACGGAACGGTCCTACTCTAGTGCCTTGTTTGACTGCGACAGAAAAAGGCAGGTAGGTCTCTGATTACGTACATTGCAAAAGCTGCCGCTCAAGCGTTCAGTGCATTATAGAGACGACGTGGCAGGCCAGAGCCCGCAGTAAATGTGTCCGAGTCACTCCGACTGAAACAGTGCTGCAGCAGCTGCGCAGGCCTCCAGAAAGTCAAATCTTGACTGCATTACGCTTCTTCCTTGCTGCATCATACACTGAGCAACGTGACTTGGCCACGATCAGAGAAAAGGTGGCCTGTTCAGCACGTGGGCCCAATGGCGACAAAGTTAATGGTGCATTATGTGCGGGTACTAGGTAATCTCACGAGTCACGACTCACGAGTCACGGTTCACCAGCCTGGGCAGTAATACGGCAGTAAATGAAATCAATGCAGCGCGCACGCGCGCGGATCGCAGTGCATGATGCAGATGAAAACTGCTGCGCATCATTCATCTGTTCCCCTATACTTCTACTAGCTCAAAGCTGATTGAGCCCTGGACAGCGGGTTTCCCTGATTGTGGTTTACAGGTTCCTCCTGTCTGACAGTACTCAGCTTGCTCGGGTTAGCAACGCATGCGTAAGGAGCGCCACCTCTGAAAGATGTTACCCGTTTGAGGTCGAAACGGTCTAAAACCAGGGCTCTATACTAAAACGGTCTTTAAACCCTTTGCATTTAAGTACGCCTTGGCCTTAAAATGTGATCTTAAACCGGGCTCTGATTTATAGTGGCGCGCAAGGAGCGCCACCTCCAAAGTCCCTGACTGAACATGCACAGCTCACAGTGGTAGCCGGTCAGGTAGAGTAGCTCCTCAGCTCCAGACAACGCCAGGCAATGCAGCCTTGCTCCAATTATGCCACATTCCCCTCTGCCACAATCCCAGCTCGATTGAAATGATGTTCCTCGTCCGCCCATAAGCAGGTCAACATTCACAGCGGCAGTGGACCAGTCGGTCGATTGGCGGTGGCTTGTAAGCGCGTGCACATGGCAGCTGGCTTTGCGCCCCTGGTGGTCGCGATGGTTCTGTACCACAACATGACGATGCTGGACGTGGTCGGGCCGTATGAGGTTCTCCACCGGCTGCCCAACGTCGTGGTGAAGTTTGTGGGGTGAGCTCCTAGCTGGCCAGCCTCAGCTAGGCACGTGGTTCAGGAGTTTGGGCCACTCTTTGCTTCAAGAAGTACGATCGCTCTCTGCTACTTCAGGGAATGAGTTCCCTGTCCTGCCCTCATTCGATCAATGCATTATGCATTTCCAACGTTTCAACATTTAAGCCCCTGTTCTTAAGCCTGACACAAATGTGAAAGAAAGCTCACCGTATATGACCAGAGGACTTGGAGGACCCTAGTTGCTGCTGGCAGCGTTCACCCTCAACGATGGTAATCCTGCAGTCAGCATGTCACCATGGGTCAATTCAAGGTCTGAAGGCCCCTCTCACGCGCACACTGCAATTCTCTCTGGTTGATGCTAGTTGGGTAGCTAGAGGGCTGTTTTGGAAGTTGCGTCACAGGCTCGCGATTGGTGGGCGGACGTTGTCTTTGAAGCAGTTTAGGTTGCCTAACATCGGTAGTCAAATGGTATCAACCAACACTTCGTTTTTCAACACCCTAAGCCAATGGTCGGTGCATTCAGCCAGAGACTTGTGCTTACTACTTCCTAGAGTCAACCCCGAGAGGCCTTGAATTTCCGTTCGTAAAGTCTAATTGTCTCCCAGCAGCAAGGTTCTCAACATGTTAGCTGCTGAGGTCTTGTTTTCTTTCAAGCAAAGTATGAGTGGCACTCGTCTATACAGAGGTTTAGGCATGGTAGTCTACAGCCAAAATCTTTGATGTCAAAATCATGCTATACTTGATTCCAGGAGCTTAACATCACCACCCGTCTCTTGCAGGGATAAGGCCGGCACGGTCATCCGAGACACTCAGGGAACTTTGGGTCTGGTGGCAGACTACAGCTTTGACGACGTGCCAAGGCCTGACGTGCTTCTGGTTCCGGGGGGGTCGAACAACACGTACGGCTACGACAAGGCAAGAAAGCGTGCGTGCTTCTTTGACGCTATGTGTCCCATACTCCGGGGCAAGTAGGATCCCAAAGCCGAAGGGACAAGGATTTGGAGGGTGATACTGAGAGCAAGATTGCCAGAAGTGCATGTGAGCGACCTCTGAAGAACAGCTCTTCTGACAGTCTTCTCATATTTGGATGGCAAGGGCTAAGTACATGCACTCTCAATCTCATTAGTAATCTCTGGAGCTTTGCTTAAAAACACCGAATACTGAGCGCAGAACGTGATTAGAGGATTAGGTCGGATAATCAGCAAGGTCGGCTGCAGGACAGCTTGCTCTCTGTTGCCACAAGCAATTTGTTGCAATCCCTTTTTTCAACCACAGTGCAGATCAGTGCCCACAATTTTGCCCCAATCGATTGTCGACCTGCAAGCTCAGCAACGTGCAAACCTTCCTACAGTGTCCTGCTCCATTTCAGCACCATCTTGTGCGTGGTTCCTTCTTTTCAGTAGAGAGCTTATCAACACTTCTACGCCGGGCTATGAAGGTTTGCGCCAGCTTAGGACCCTTTGTTCACACTCTTTGCGCAGAGGTTCATAAACTGGCTGCAAAAGGCCGACGAGACGACCATATACACGACCACGGTCTGCACAGGAGCGGTTCTGATCGGCCCCTCTGGTACGCTGCAAAATCCGCCTTCTCATAGGTTAAGTTAAGTTAACTTGAACCAGCTTCCAGGTTGCATCATCCGCTAGAGTGCCTAGAAGCTCCATTCGGATGAAGCAAACTTAATGTTGTGCAAGAAGCTTTCTCGTAAAAGATCTCAAAGCACGGTTTAAGCGTGTGTCTGGAGCAACATCAGGGGCTGCTTCAGTTGTTCTTGCGGCTCAAACGAAGGAACGGTTTGACTGCGGCCACTGGTGTTCGTTGCAGGACTTACGAAGGGGAAGGTAATGGCCACCCATTGGGCAGTCTACGATCAGCTTGCCCAGTTTGGGGCCCATTACGCACGTGAGCTTTCCCTTCTCGGAGTTCTGCTTCTTTTCGTGAGTATCCAAATGTCCGTTTTACTCGGATAGCTGCAAAAACTTGAAATAGTACAAATACCATATGCGTTGTGATTAAGAACTATCCATTGACGACCACATTAACAATTGTCTAGCGACCATCTTTTATGCCCCAACACCTGGACACTCCCTTTTCAGGGGGGGCGAGGCTTATCCCAACTTAGTTACCCGAAGGCATAGAAAGCAGACGCGTTACCGAGAGGGCCGCTGAGTTGAGTCAATGAACAATCAACCCGTTAATGGATTATGAACCGGTCTGTAACCTTGTTTTAAGGCTGGTTACCGCCCGAGCCTGGTCAATGGACAGTCAACCGGTTAAGAACCTGCTGGTAGGCACATATGCAGCCTAGAACCACCCATGGTTAAGGACCAGGAATTCCTGAGTGCGACTGCAGGTGCGCGCTACTTCAAGGACGGGAAGCTTATCAGCAGCGCGGGCGTATCGGCCGGCATCGACGCGGCGATCTATCTGGCGTCCCTTCTCACCGACGAAGTTACCGCAAGGTGAGCGACCAGAGGGCCCGTTTTACAAACGTGAAAAACAAACATCCCCGTTGTTGTCCCTCGTAGCTTTACGCACAACTCAACGGTCAGAAGAAGCGGCTGTGAGGTCTACAGCAATGGGTAGGCGACAGCAACTTGCGGGTCCCTTGCTTGTCTTTGTTGTCCTCCAAGTGAGATTATGAGCGGACCCATACTCATTCTCATCAATGGAGGTTCTTTGCAACGGAACTTTCTCTCTGGCCGCACACAACTCGTCAGTAGCCCCCCTCACCTGTCTTTGACGTGCAAGTGAAGCGAGTCACTTACTGGGCTTCCAAACGTCCAGTGTTTTAAGTGCGCGGTCATGCATTGATGCATGCCCTTTGACGGTTTGGCAAGGTAGGTTACCGTTGGCGAGGTAGGTTACGGTTTAGCAGCCGTCGAAGCTAGGCACGTGCCCTCGCCATGACGCATTTCTATCGATCCATCACACTTACGAGCCCACCTACATTGAAGGGTCAGGAGGGAGAGCCTGTTTAACAACCAAAACTACCAGTAACCAGCCACGAAAATTCCTACCACGGCAGGTGGGCACAGATGGTGATCCAGTACGACCCCCAGCCGCCCTTTTCAACCGGCCAGGCGTCGCAGGCGGACCCTCAAGTGTGGGACCTTTTCAAATCGCCCAAGTACGGCGGATATGGGAACCACTCTTTTAGCCCCGGTCCACGGGGCTGCTTCGAGGAGGCGGTCTGCACCCAGGAGTGTGCCATCAAGTAACGTTCGCCCGATAGTGCCTAGAAGAAGCTAGCGCTGTGAAGATTGGATTTGTGAATTGTGGAAAGGAATCGCAGTTCTGAGAAGCGCGGAGTGAAATCGTTTCGTGTTAGGGTCACGCTAGGTTACTTTATAATATTCAATTGAGCATGCCAGCCTGGCATGCTGAGCAACGGTTTTGCAGGTTGAATTTGAAAAGCAATAAAATCCATGTGGTATATAATGCGTATGCTGAATTAACGTCCTCCATGACGCTATCAATAGATAAACAGTCGACGTAATTGTAGATTTCCCCGTTCAATCATGGGCCTGCACACGCGTTAGTATGGTCAGGTTGCATGATAGGCCATGGGTCCTTCCTTGGCCTCCTTCCAGGCTTGGCCTGTCTGAACGGGTGACAGGACAACATGACGTACAGCACGGACATCAGTGCATATGTCGATCAGAGACGGTCTGGCACGAGCTAGAGTCTCAACATCATGCGAGTCGGATTGCGCAATAGGTGAATACAGGATTGAAGTCACCGCGCGTCCAAAATCGATATGCAGCCTGACCCGGCAAGACGAGCACGAATCCATGTTGCTAGGGCGACGCTAACATTTGAATTCTGCACTACGTGATACTGCGCTGCCGTTCCCGGCGCAGACGGAGGCCATCACCATCAAAGTAGGATTAAAGACCCGGATCACCATCCGACTATTTTGGTTTAGGGGAACATGATGGGTAGCTCTCCAGTCATGGGCCACGTCGACTCGACGACGAAGCCCCGGCTGACCTCTCTCCAGGCGCCATCTGTCCCCCTAATGCTGACGTCACTACCCTCCTCAGACGCAACCCCTTCCCACCGCAGTTCTGCCACTAGCACTCGCCCCCTCCGGGGCACCTTACACCTTTCCGCCACGGCCTGAAGCGTTTCTATCTGCAACAAGAACTCTGCTGAGCTCAGCAGTCGTGACGCGCTCTCGACGTTCGTAGGCCCGGCCGTCGGTTCGCCTGACACTGCGCCAATCGCTCGCAGGGCGTCCAGATCGCCAACAGGAGAGACGGTGTCAAAACCCGGGCGGGCTGAGCCGCTTGCGACCGGGGCGTCCGGTGATGACTCCAGCGGCAAAGCAGAGCCGTCGAAGCTTGCGTCCTGGCCGTTGATTTGACGCTTAGCGGCTGCCAGTTCTTCGGACGTCAGGGCGGTGGACGTGCACCGGTTGGACAACGGCGGGCGCCCGCTCGCCGAGGGTTTCTCCCGAGGAGTCTGATCGGCAGGCGAGTCCTCGAAAAGGTGCTGCAATAAGAAACGGAGGGAATGGGATAAGTCAGGAGGAGGCGAAAATGAAGCGGTTACGTAAACGGGTTGCCTTTTCGGCGCGCTCAGAGGGCGAAGTCGGATGGAATTTGGGCGGCACGAACGCTGTACAAAAGCGAAGCTATGAGGCTCTGGAAGGAATCCCAACGATCACATTGAGCTTGGACTAGTGCCAAGCGGTGCCAGCGCCGTATGGATTGTGTGAGCGTCGACAGTTTTTTTCACAAACTTCACAACATGATCGGTGGGATTTGCAGCCGACCAATTAGGTCGAGTGCCCGCACGACAGCTGCCAATTTGCTACTGGACCCGTGCCGAAACAAAGGGCGGTCCAAGCAATCTGACGGCGGGGCGTACGGCAGCTTAAAGCATCAAAAGCGCTAATGAGCACAGACCTCCGACGCGATCCACAGGAAGGCCGCTCCTTAGGATGCTTTCGCAAGAAGACTCTCTATGATTCGATTCATCAGCATAACGGAGTTTCGAGTTCCCCAGAATCTTGTATTCCAGCATAACGATCACTCCTACCCACGAAGCGGTTTCCTTGCCTCTTGCAGGAAGACCCGTGTTATCAGAAGCGTCAGGGGACTTGAAAGAAACAGAAATAGGAGCCCACCTCGGCAGACGGCCTGATGACGACAGGGGATAGCCACTCCATCTTGGGGATGATGTACCAACGGCTCTCCCGGAACGAGGGATCCCCCAAAAACTTCCGGACGTCGCGCGTCCACCACCCGACCCAATGCCCCGGGTTCAACTCCGCTCTCTCCGCCACCCTGTCATTGTCCCCCGGGACTCCTCCCCCGGTTACAAAGTCAGCCTCCGAACCGACGCCGCTATCGCCGGATGTAGAAGCTGACGTGTCGCCCTTTGCCTCGACCAAGATGGACGCGGGAGCTGACGTGGCACCGTCCGACCCGCTCAAACCGCCATTAGCGGACCCTCTGACAGCAGCGGACGGAAGGACTCTACCCGCTGCTTCGCTCGAGGTAACACCCGAACGCTCGGCCCCTTCCACAGTATCAAAATGGGCCCGAGGAAAATCTGAGCAAGCACGGTTTGGACTGTCCGACGGCTTCGAATCGTCCGTAGTCTTTCCAACGACGTCCGAGTCTTCTAAATTGGGTTCCAATGAACCACGACCGACGAGGCGTTTCCAAAGCGCGTGCTCGTAGAACAGGTAACCCTTGACAAATGCGCGCGGCGTGACCGCGACAGGGGCTGAGCCTCGACGGCTCGCTTCATCTTCCGGTCTAGTTGCTACATCCGCTTCTCTTGTTCCGCTGACAGCCTCAGAACAAGGCACATCCGCTGAAACGGAGCTTGGTCTTGATCGGGCACCTTTCCTCAGCCCCTCGGCTGCTCTAACACAGGCGTTCTCCCAAGACTCGCTCACATTCAACTCGCCCACGCTAGTGTCAATGTCTCCAAGCAAACTATTGTCCATTTCGGACGTTTGACTGTTCAACGCTGAGGCTCGACCGTCCGAAGCAGACGCGCGACCGTTGCATTCGGACGCTCTACCAGTGGATCGGAACGCCTTGCTGCAATCGTCAACTTTACTGCAACCGTCCAATCCTGACGCTCCACCGTCCGCTCTGGAAGCCGGACTCTCCACTCCGTACGCCCGTCCGTTCAACCTGGACGCTCCACCGTATAACTTAGACGCCCCACTGTTTGTTTTAACCGCTCCACCGTTCGATTCGGACGCCCGTCCATTCGTTTCGGCCGCTCCGCCGTGCGTAGCAGACGCTCCACCGTTCGCTTCGGACACTCCCAGAAACAGGTCCGCTAGCACCAGCTTTGCCTCAGGTTCGTTGGACAGGCGCAGCTGCTTCGCGATGCGGTCCCTCCGGTCCGAAAGCCGCTCCCCCGCATGGGGCCCCACGAAGTAATACAGCAGATCTTCTTCTTCGCTCCTGGCGGCATTTTTGCTGACGTCAGCGCCATCACTGCTGACGTCAGCTCTCTCTGCGCTCACGTCACCTTCGGCACATCCAGCCCTTTCCCGATTGAGGTCGCCGCCACATTTCCCTCCTGTCGCCAGTCTCGTTCCGTCCTCTTTTGCGGCCTTCACTGCCCCAAAACCTTGGCTCTCGGCATCACAACTAGGTTGACCACCTTTTTTGTCCACCGACCGACGGCTTCCCAGTCTCCCCCCATTTTCGAACAGCTTTGCCTCCGGCCCAACGTATAGCAGAAACTTCACCGAGAGCTCCCAATGCTCCACCCCGACCACACCGGCACCCGCGTCACCAGCCCGTAACCGCCCGGGGGATCCCTCCAGGTGCCCGGGGGATCCCTTCAGCGGCCTCACGTCATCTAACGTCACGTCCTGCGACGCCCCGGTAGAAACCGTCCCGAGCTCTTGCCGGCTCACGCGCGCCGCACCCTGAAGGAAGAGAATGTCGAACTCTCCGACCGTGATCGTTTTGCCCGTCTGCTTGGTGGCTTTGCGCTGCTGCCGTTTACTTTTTCGCCGCCCCGCCGGCAACACATTTCCGCTGCGTTCTCCCGGTTCCGCCCCCTCCTCGTTCCGTTTGCAACCGTCCGCTCTCGCGGCCCCCTGTCCAGGTTCTGTCTCGTTTTCCCCCAACCCCATGTCTCTCGTTACGGCCATCTCTGCCTCAGCTAACCGCCTTCCAAACCCGAAAAGCCTTTTCTCCTGTCCGGTCTCGACGTCTTCGTCCCGGCTTGCGCTCTCTGCATAAGAATCACTGACACCGACCCCTTTCCAATCATCTTCCGAGTTGTCCTCCCCCCCACTTTGCGCTCCCAGTCCCCCATTTTCCGTACGTCTCGTGTGTGAATACGAACCCCTCAAAGCCCCATCCAAGCCCTCGTTTGGACTGCCAAACAAGTTCCCGGTGTCAACACACTCTTCTTCTTTGATCGGCTCCCCGTTCTCACCCGCGCTTAACCCGTCCTTGCCGCCGGGTGTGAATATTCTTCCGGCTTTGCGGGCCCTGACAGACTCATCAGGCAAAAAAGGGGCCCCTCTCCGGCCGGAAGCGATGTCGGGGGCTCGGTCGAGGGTGATGTCATTGGCTTGAGCGAGGGTGACGTCACGAACTTGTCTCTGAAAGACCTGCTGGGACACGTGCAGGCCGGGAGGGTGGAAGGCGGGGCTGAAGCGGAGGAGGTACTCGACACAGTCGGCAAAGTGGTAGCCTGCAAAAGAAATTGGTAATTTTCAAAGACGTATCTGTTCCAAAGGCTTTCCGATCTTTTCTTTTCTTTTTTGTTTTTGGTTTCTCTTTCCAAGCAGGGAGGAAGGTGGGCGCACCCCTACAGGGCGAGGTTCTTTCTTAAAGCCATACCGACGACCAGACTTTCCAATCGCTGGCCGTACTGTCTGAACTCGGGTCGAAAAGGTGAACCGTTCTCGAGTGGATTTTTGTCAATTGAGGTTTTGCTGACAATCACTCTCTAGCACAAAGAAAAGGAGCTCATTAAGCTGAAACGCAAAGCCCCTGGGAACGCAACGAGCGTCTACAAAAACATGTGCTCGAGCCTGCTCTAAGTATCTCGCCTCGTAGTCCTGTAAGCCTAGCTGGTAACCCAGTCAATATTCTTAAATGCAGGTGGCACTCTGAAAAGGAGTGTTTTGAAAGAGAGCTTTCGAAGAAGAGGGCAAACCGGGGCTTCGAAACGCTGCCGCTTACAAGATAGCGCCAGCCAAAGGGCTAGTGGTCCCAAAACTCACGTATAACCTGGAATTTCAAATAAGGCATGAAGTACGCACCTAGTCGAGTCCGCCGCTTGGTTGCAAACCATGCGTCCACCTCTTTAGAATCTAGCGAACGCAGCCAGTGGAGACTGTCCTCCCAAGGTCCGCCCTCCGCGCCAAAGACGTCGTCCGAAACCAGGGGCAGCTGTTTCAAGCACAAATGAGGGGTCAAAGAGGATGGGTACATTGGCCAATCTAGATTCAGCAGATTACCCCATCAAATGCTCGTGAAGAAAAAGTGGGGGATAAGAAACGACAGAAATTCTGAGAAAAATTTGATCAAGAGACTGGTTCTCCTTGGGTCTTGACACAAATTGTCGTGATTAGTTGCTCGCCAAGGTAAGCCAAAAGTTTTGTAGCATCTCTTTGATGGATCGCTAGGCCAGCTACATGCGGGAAACCATAGTCGCCACGAATGAATCAAGTAGTCTGTAAACCGGTGCGCTGGAAGAGGCCAGATCCTATGACTGACTTCGGTATCAAGAATTTAGGGAGGTTCTTTGAGCACTTTTTGTTACAATCTCTGGACGCTTGACGCAACATCATGACCGTCTGGACAATAATCAAATGTGTTCTTATAGAAAATAGACTTCACTCTTCCTCAGAGGCCCACAGTTGCAGCTCAACGTCCGAAGTCGGCAAGAGGACCGAACTCTTTCAGATCCAGAATCGTTAAACACTCTCTGTCAGAAGGACTGGGGGCGAAGCACGTTTCAAAGAAGTCGCTTTCAGCTAGTGGAGGCTAGATAACTTTTGAGATTTTCTTTTATTTTTTGGCGGGGCTCACCTCGACCGATGTTTCGAGCAGGCGAGGGCAGGCGATGACGGAAGCCAAGTCACGAATGTTCCTGTCAGGAGAAAAAGAGAAGGGAAAATCATTGAGGACCACCTGATGTACTGTTGGTCCAGAGCAACAACCTACTTGAAAGCTGAAAGTACTGATTTGTTAGCTTTACTGGGATTAAAAGGGGCTTGGATGAAAATTTTCCAGTCACATACAGCCAGTACATGAAAATTGGGAGCCCCAAGACCAGGCAGGGGCAGATCTATACCGTTCAGAAACACAATTGTCCAGCCAGATTGCCATGACCACATCATGGTACAGCCCTGTCAGCAGAATACGGAATTGAGGACCAAGTGCACCATACAGTGCTTTGCTTCCAGTCATAGCCGACAGCTTGAAACTTTGCAGGGAGAGCTGCGCTTGAAAGGAAGGACATGCTGACTCGGTGCTCCCTTCCCTCAATTGCCAAATCATTTAGGAATGGATATCATGTTCGACTTGATGTCTTGGGAAGATGATGATCCTCTTCTGACTCTCTTGCTGTACGATGGAACTCTCTTTTGGACAGCGCCTGGCAAGCCTTATAGTGGGGGCAGACAGTGAAACAAAAAGATCCTCAAAGACATCAGGAACAACCACTAAAGCACCAGTCATGTGCACCAAAAGACAATCGCCTACTTGTTTGGGAGTTGCAGGATGTCCCGCCATTGCTGAGAAGCTGCCCAGGCGCCACATGGCACCCCAGGATTGGTCAGCATGAGATCAGTCAACCGCGCGGCATCCCCCTGCGTCTGAATTTCAAGCCCCTTCAGAGCGGGGAATGCATGACCCGCCTGCTGCTTTTGCGCTGTCACCGCTCTTGGATTCAGGACAATGATTGGCCGACAAGTTGGGGAGACCAATGAGACTCCCCTCAAATGGTGCTCAAAGGCAAGACTCTTCCGAACCGCAACTATCTGGAGATGATTGCAGCTTCTAGAGGGCAGTGCTGCCAGGATCCTGTGGGGCGCGTTATCTGAAAGGCCCCAGAAAGTGCGTTTTTGAGCAAGGCAACTAGGGCATCTGGTCTTTACACCACCAAGCTGGATGCTTCCACGGGCGGACATCACTAGAAGGACGCCACCTTCAAGCTGGCACCCAGTGTCAGAAAGTGCTCAGCATGAGCAATCAAGCGGATACCTTATGCGCGTCAGCTACAGCGTTCTTCAACCAACTTCGTTGAAGGAAAGACGAGACGGTGGACTTCAGCACTTTAGTTGCACCACCTCCTCACAGTTGGTGATGTCAATTTTGCAACTATGGTTGTATGTAAAGTTCTGACCGAGCACCCGCCATCCATTTGCCTTGACTTGCCCCGCCATGCTCTGAGAGTCCTGAGCTCCCATGAGGCTGAGGCTAGTGTTGTCCACCAGAAAAGTTGCGTGCTAAAATATGCAATGCAGATTTCTCATGATTTCAGTGACTTATAACGTTAGATTCTCTACTTATGCTTGCAAGTTTGATTAGATATCAATGTTGTCGAGCCTATAACAGGTTTATTTAGCCTAAGAGATCTTCGACTATCGAAAGCTCTGGCACATTGATGTTCGAAAAAATAGGGCTCGTTTTGGCAGAGTCACGACGAGCGACAGCTTATACCATATAGACATGGCACAAAACATCCATCAGTATTGAAAGGCCCGCCAGCTCACCACAAGCTAGCTAGCGCACAAGGAACCAGGACAACGCTTTGGATTTTGGCAAGCCAGCGCCCAGTCCTTCTTTGGTGCTTAGAGCTCTCCTGCTGTTTTCAATATAGTCTGTCCATCTTCATCTCTGTTGTTTCTGGAAAATCAGGCTGGTCGCTGCTTTCAACCGCTCCAATTAGAAACTTGTGGTATCAGGCGGTCATCTGGATCTATATTGGTTAACCGACCCTTTCTCCACGTGAAAGCAAAAAGAAGGTTCATAAGTTCTGCCAAAGATGGCGATGGCGGCAGGGCGTCGGAGTAACGTGAGCAACCACCACCCCATTTTACGCTTGTTGAGCTTGGACATCTACCCGCTGACCATTTTGTTCTGCTTGATTGCTACTTGCCTCTTATGGATACTGCGTCGATGCATACCTATCAAATTGCTGTGGACCTCACTGTTTCTTCTTGGGCATAGTGATGTGTAATGCTTGCTCTCCGATTAGCATTTGAAACTTTTCATTGGCCTCGTGTGTGCAGGCCCGATTACCCCCGGAGGTGAACAGGATTCTCTATGTGAGGTAAGGAATATCGTCTCAGCAGTGTTATCATGCTGTAGAGGTTGTCAGATTGCTGGTACAGGTCCCAAGATATGTTTGATGGGGTGGTGCGGACTGATTTCATGCCAGAAAATGGTAGCCATCCGGAAGCCAATGATTCTCAGCTTGGGTACTGTTTGCCCCTTCCTGGAGTTTGGTCTGGTGGATTTTTGGTCGGAACCACACAAGGTTCAGCACAAGGGTGTGTCTGGTTGGGCGCAAGCACTTGAGTGGGTACGTGCAATGAAAACAAATCAGGATAGTGTTAGAGCTGTTTTCTCGAGCACCACTTGGTGCTTTTAAGTGCCCTCGAGGGCCTTAAGTGCGCGCGTCCAGAATGTTTTGCTGGAAGATTTCGCGTCGGTTCTTTTCCCCTTCCTGACCAACTATGGATGTCTTGTCTGCACTATCCTGATAGGCTTTGTCATTGTCTGCAGGAACCTACCGTTCAATATCACGGCCGATGAGATGTACGACATCTTCGGAAAGTTTGGGGCGATTCGGCAAATACGAGTGTGAGTTGTCTTCCCCTATGGACCTCTGATGTCCATCGTATTTGTTTGATGGTGAAAGCAGAGTGCTTTGCAAGGGGAGTGCTCTTTGCGGATCTCGAGAATTGCCGCACTGGCAACTTATCATAAGAGCAGGACAGCCGTTCGTTCTTTGGCATGTAGTTTGATGTGACCAATCCTCCAGCAGGGAGTTCATGTTTCTTGGCGAGATCAAGATGCCGACAGTCTTGCATCGGCCTCGGACAAGTTCGGATTAAAATAGGGTCTTGTGAAGGACGGGCATTAAGGCGATCAGCGACGCATTGGGGCCTTCGAAGTCAAGCTCATGCTTGGTAATCATAACCCACAAGAGGTGTGAAGATGGAGGCATCCTTGGGGAATACAAGTTGCCAAACAGGACTTCCCTCTCTGAGGCTTTTTCAGACATCTTCTTGATAGTCAGGGCGTCCTGTTGTGCTTTCTGGAAAAAGTCTGGACTTCGCTGATGAGCATTCTGTTGTGTTTATTCACTACTTGGTGGCGGATGTCAGCAGACAAAGATCTGGCCCTGCCTAAGTGGATGACTAGTCGCCATGGGACTATGGTTCCTGCTTCTTCATCGTGGTTCATAGATGTAATTTCACTTCTCGTGTGATAAACGCATCTGCAACTTAGTGTGGGGATGAGCGAATGTGCGCTTGAGGTTGTGAGGACCAAAGAGACGCCAGGAAATTGGGTTTGGCTTCTTGCAGCATGCCATGGTCTTTTGCGAGAATCTTGGATAAGCGTCTGTCGATCTACAAATCATAGTGGTCTGGTCCCGAGTTTTCTCGCCTTTTTACTTTCATGAAGCGCCTTGAGATTGCCTGGAAAGAGGCCCCCTTAGCCGCGTTACTGAAGCCGTCCAAGACGGTAGCCCTTCTCTTTTCAAAACCTCACCCCGCATCACCATCTGACATTCTGGGTTGATTTTGTTTTTGTTTTGCAGAGGCACTGCCAAGGACACCAGGGGAACAGCCTTTGTCGTTTACGAGGACATCTATGACGCTAAGACAGCTGTGGACCACCTTTCAGGTTTCAACGTGGCGAACAGATACTTGATAGTGCTGTACTATAACGTCACGAAGATGGGGAAGAAGTTCGATCAGGTGAGGCCCCTGGAATCTCACCTTTCGAAATGTTTTGGTCGTTTCACCCTGTGTTGCATCATTAGATGCTTACAAGGATTGGGGAGCGTCGAGCAGTTGGGTTCTGGGTGTCAGTTGCTTGCGAAGTCTGTGGAAGGGTGCAAAGTCTGCCTTTTTTTCTCGTGTCTCTACTCGTGTTACATTCAGAATCTGTTGATAGTTGACTCCTTCCCCTTGTTGCCTTGGGTATTGGAGGTCAGCCTTCTAATGCGTCCTGACTTGTCTTTGCTGCAGAAAAAGAAGGACGAAGAATTGACCAAGCTGCAAGAAAAGCACAATGTTACAAAAGAAGATTTAGACGAGATAAACAGGCCGCAAAAAAAGAAATAAGAACGTGGCATACGATTTGAGTTGTACATAGGGCGAATCCTTAAAAGGTGCTTGGCTGATTTGGATGTTTGTTTCTGGCCCAAGGTCTGGTGCATGACATATCAGAGAGCTATAGCAATCACTTTGCGACGATGCCGTCAATGTCGGATTGTGATCGGAACTTAGATGACAGTCGGGTTAGGCCGGGCCGCTGCACGAAGTGGGCAGCCTGATCGAGCGGTTTCGGAATGGGCGGCTAAATATATCTGCCGCGCCTTGTCGCCCACATCAATTGTCAGTCGACGCGTTGCATTGCAGCAATCTCTGGATAGCATACGCGTGCGGCATGTCCCATTGTGCACATGCCAGTCGATGAATTCTCAGCTATTAATAAAGCCGATATGCATGCGGATTGGACGCGCATGCCGACATGACAGCACCGTGGCTGGGATTGCAATTCTGTATACACACGTACTGAATGAGCCATACGCTCTGCGCCAGAATTGGCGAACCGAGTTTCACCAGGATTACGGTGCACGAATGCGGAAACTTCAGCTTATTCAGAGGTAATCGAGCATTGAAGATCAGTGCTCACAGGCTAGTCCCCAAATTTGCTGATCCACAATCAAGGCATCGAAACTGCTCCATGTCTGACTTTTTGCGAGGAACCCGCTTCCTTTCTAGCAGCCATTAAGTGTTATTAAGTGTGCAAGCTCTCCATACTTGCTGGGAGCAGTGTCGCCGGAAGCGTAAGTCCCCCCCCTTCTTTGACACTTTATTGCAGAAGCAGACCTGACTTTTACGACCAGTCTCCACCAACCGCTTCCTTAAGTGCCCGACGAATGCACCGCGGCCTGCCCCAATCTACCCCCTGCCTGCGGGCCCCCCAGTTCCGTATCCGCTGGATTTTTCAGCGCGTTTGACTCCTTGAAAGCACTCCCCCCACTGCCCATTTCCGCCGCTCTCCTCCCCTGCCCCCCGGCCACCTCCTCTGGTAACACCGCCGCCCCGGGGGGGTGAATCCGCTCCTCACGGTACCCCCCCAGAAGCTCCTCTTGGGCCTCCATCTGGGCTTCGACGTTTGAGAACTTCATGCTGGCGGACGGTGCGTCCTTTTCGTGTTTTAGGGGGTCTACCGGTCCTGCTGTCACTTTGACGATGTCCGCCTCTGGCGTGGTGAACGTGTGGCCGCAGCTGAGGCACTCCAGCTGCAAATTAGGAAAGTAATGGTCGCTGGTTGTCCGTTGCCTTGTCCATGTTTCATTGTACAGGCGCAGGCTTGAGGACCCGTTGCTGAAATGCGCGAGACGTCAGATGGCGTTTCCCGGTGCACTATTCTAAGAAAGGCGCAGATCAAGAAAGTCAGAGCTTCACCATGTCTTTACTGATGTCATTCTCTCCGTTCTAGTGCGGCAGCTGACAGGCACACGGACAACAATAAAAACCGCCCCTTCCAAGCTGAAACCTTAACAAGCGTCGTCCAGACCAGCCGGCTTACCTGGTAGATCTGGCCCTTGCCGCCGGCGATGATGTCCTTCACGCCCACTTGCCGCTTGCCGCACAGCGAACACGTTTTGTCCACCATCTGCAACAGCCGGTATTGATTAATTGTCAAGAGCGAAATCAGGAGCAAAAGCGCTTGAAATGGAACTGGATGCGTTCGTCCGTGCTCCACGCAGAGGCAGGGGCAGACAATGTGCAGATTCTTGGAAGGAAGGGCGGAACTGGCCGTCGATCGGTTAGAAGTAGTAATTGAGCTGTCGAGACCGTCTTACTCGAGTGTCAGGGTGGTTGAGGTACGCCAAAGACGAAAAGAGACCCCAAGAGACCACGAATCAGCCGTAAACTCAGTCCGCGCATATGAGATCAGACACTTTGGTGGGTTCTCAAAGTCTCAACCAGTTTCCAAAGCTTGCGGAATGTATGCTTGAAGGAGAGCAAATCATCTAGCGGGTCGAGGGCGCGGTCAGCGCTAACCTCAATGGGTTCCGGGTCGTACGCCACGGGCTCCCGGGCCCGTGTCTCCTCCGCCGTGTAGCCCTCCTTCAGTTCGTTGGGGTCCATTCTCACCACCACCTCCGCGGGCAGCTCGCCAGCAAAGAAGCGCCGCCGCAGCGTTCCCTCATGCTGGAAAAGAAACACAAATCATATCAGTGCACAAGCTTCGTTCCATCTACGTCGAACCGGTACTTTATAGACCTGGCATCGTGCTGCGATCATTGATATGTGACCAGCAGGCCTTCCGCAAGCGGCCGAAGGAACGCATGGCCGCTGCGCGCATGCTGGTTTTCAAAACCAAAACCAAAAAACCTTCGTATCGCCCAGGATATTCTGATCTTCAGCAAAGCCATCGTTCGAAGTCCAATTGAAGTGATAAGAACAAAGATATGCCAGCAGTGGGGCATACGGCCGCCCCGCCAGTTGCATCAGGACCAAGTGCCGCCTGCTTCCATTTGCAGAAGTTGACACACGGTGTTGCAACGTCAGCAGCGCCCGTAGAAGTCGGCGACACTAAGTTCGCACGAGGTGCCACAGAAGCGCGCAAGTCGTTGCCTCTGCCAACTGAAAATGGCTCCTCGAGCCGCTAACCTTAGCAAGCGCGACGCATGACGTCAGCATAACCAAAGGAAGATCACCGCGCACCTTCAGAAAAGATGAGGTGCCGCAGCAGCTCAATGATAGCCCGACGGTTGTTGCCCTTGGCTCAACGCCGCCTGCTTCCAGTTGCTGACGCCAGCGAATCCAAAGCAACGTCAGCAGAGCCAAACCGGATATTGCTCACCTTGAGATTGAACTTGAGGTGCCGCAGCAGCGCGCTGTACGCCCGGCGGTCGTTGCCCTTGGCCTCGAACGCCGCCTGCTCTAGTTCCTGGAGCCGGCCGATGTGCACCGCAATGGCGCCTTCCGAAGCGCCGGGGGATGGGCCGACGTCTTTCAAGAGGACGCCCATCGACCTGCGAGCAAGGAAGCGCGATGTAAGATAAAAATAAATGTCATTGCTACGGTCTCTTGAAGTGACTGCTCAAACGAACGCGATTTGGAATGCATAAGAGCTCGGAATGGTCAATAGGACGCCCGTCGACCTGCAAGAAAGGCGGCGCGAAGTTGGGCAGACGATTTTATGCTGCACAGACATTTCCCGAACTTGGCCGCTCAAATGAAGTTGGGTTTCAAGAGGACGCTCATGGACCTGCGAGCAAGGAGGCGCGATGTGAAGCAGAAGGCACTATCGGTCAGAAGTGGTAGCTCGAAACGTCGTATTGTGCAGCGGGAGTTGTTTGGGGGCGGAGCTTCGTTGATCATACTGTGCCTCGTTGAGAAGACATAAATTTGACCACGCTTGCCACTTTCGAGGACAAAAGCTAGACCTGGCATCAGTGGGGCGGACCCTAGCTCTTGGAACAGTCGACTGAAACATGGGCAACCGACGTGCTCCAATTGAGGGCTGCAGCACGTCACTATGGACGTTGCTTTTGAGCGGCCAGGTTTCAGCGGACCTGTAGTACAATTTCGCATGGGCCGCAGGAGCAGCAGAACGGACGGAATGGAACGGAACGGCGGAACCGTCCTCATTAACTCCGCCCACAGACTGAAGCAACCGAAGATTTGTCTTTTGATGTTTTCTTCTAATCTGCCAACCTCCACGCTCGTTGTCTCGCCCCTTGTCCCCTGTCCAAGGAGCACACGCTCAATTGACATTAATAAACTTACAATGTTTTCCAATTCAAAAAGATGCCCCATATGCCTAAAAGGTTTGTATAAAGTTCAAAACAAGAGCACATAGCTCACACGAAAGCATCGACGAAGATTGCCTAACAAGAATCAAGTTTCTGTCGGGCCCTCACTTGTCTCGCGCCGTATCTCCGGTCAGCGCCCCGTGTTCGCCGAGTACCCTTTCCTGCTCCGACATCTTTCCCCCTGCGCCGTTCGGGTTCGCATGGCCCCGCTGCTGCCCGCTTTTTCGGCGCTGCAGAGATTCCAGCTGGATTTCATGGATTCTTCGCCTCGTTGAGCAAAACAGCCGAAGTACAAGTAGAGGGGTCAAGGACAACCACCTCGTGCACTCGGAAGTAGTGAGCTGTGAGATTCGAACTCAACTGGACGGTCAGACAGTGTGGCCAAACCTTATTTGATGAGTAGGAGGATTAAATCAACCATGTCCTTCGACTGAACCTCTTGTCTTCCGGGCAGCACCTGAAGGATAGATTTTCTTGCTGCCCTTTGATACAGATCCCTTTTGGTCTTAGAGGTGAAGACTTCAGATGCCGCCAAAGAAAGTGGCGACGGAGGCGGATCAATGAACGCGTTCCACTCGGAGAATCTTACGAAAGTCGAACTCCTGTTTCTTGCACGCCCCTTCAAGTCTGGTGCGAATGGTCCCTGATGATACACAGACGTCCACCGTCTCCTTATTCTCAGCCAACTGTCCGCCAAGTACTTACTTGAGAGAACAACGCTCTGAACAATGAGACTTGCACAAAAGAAGACGAAAACTATAGTTCTCCAAACAGATATTTTAAACGTATCCTGGACCCACCCTTACACTCAACTCTACGCTTGAAGGCTGCATGGTCGGCGTAACTGAAAATTAAGGAGCATACTTCACGACCAGTGGAACACGGTCCCTCTGAAGACGCACCTTCTTGTTCGGCTCCTCTTCTACATCCTCGATGCTCGCCCCGCTGCTCGGACGCTTCTCGGACAGCGAGCTTATGGCGAGCTCCTCTTCGGACGCGTCCGGAAGGTCGCCTAGCGCAGCCTCGGCTCTGTGACGTCAGAAACGGGGAGGAGGTTCGAAAGCCGACTAATCAAGTGACGAGATCAGACACGCTTACTAGGTCTAAGGCCTGACGTTTTGTGCATCAAACCCCTTTAAAACAGCCTGCCAACTATGGAGACCTGTGGCGTCACTGCTGTAGGTTCGTGGATTCTGAGGATGCCGTTCTGACGCTCTGGCTGCGCAGTCAAGGATCTCAAAAAGTGACGTGTTCGATATTTGCAGAATAACCTTCACCAATGGCCCGACATTTCGGAAATATGTAGATGAACATGGCGTTCAAGGCTTACATCAGTCTGAAAAGCCAACTCGAGACATCAAACGCAGGAAGGCCCCGGATGAAAAGCAGGAGCAGACATCACCAAACGCCTGGTATCCCCAAAGCCGTTGTAGGATCAGACATAGGACCAACTAACAAAACGCCGGTTGGAGCTGGTCTCTGGAAAGTCTGTTCACGACAAACCATAGGAAATACGACGTGCGATCAACGCTGACTCGTCCACTCAAAGGACCTCAGAACATAGGCGTCGACCGCTGCTGCAACCCACCTGCCAATGAGCATTCCGATGATGATTTTGTCCGGGTCCTCGAACTCCTCGTCTTCGAGATCCCTCAACTTCTTGCGCTCGTTGTCATATACCTGCTCGGCATGGTCCAGTCTCAGAATACCAATCAACTTACAGAAGTGGTATGCGCAGTGCTGACCATGGCTCTCATGCTGAGATAGAAAAGAGGTTGACAATGAGCCGACCAGAGACTTGAGTGCTTCTTGGGCCCGTGCCGATGGAAAAAGCGAACGTTTGTGTTACAGAAGCAGGTGCCTTTGCAGGGCCCTCAACGTAAAGGTACTGCTTTGAGTCTCCTATTAGCCTCAAAACGCCAACTGGCAAAGCTTTCACGACAAGCTCCCTTTTTTCCAACGGATGGCTCCAGGCGGTGTTGAATCAGAGACACAGACTGTCAGCAGGTTTTGAAGCGACAGCGGATGGTTTCGAGGACGGAGATTTGAAAGTAGGATCGTCCACAGATTACCACGCAATCGCGGTAGGAATCGCCTAAACGGGGCTCTTGATGAGAAAGAAACTATGAAAGTTTACGCAGTCTGTTCGGACAAGCGAGAGTCGAACGACAAAATGGCTGGACCAAGTTAACGAGCATAAGAAGGCTTACCCTATGCACAAAGTACTCAGACTCCGGAATGCCGGCCGAGCTCTTTGTGTGGCGAATAACGTGAATGGGCACTTTGTGAAAGACGGACCCCGCCGGGACGTCATCCATGTGGAAACTGCGGGAGAGTTGGTCATTCACTCCAGTTAAATGGTTTCAAATCTTGATGTCTGACGGTGATTAAGTGCAGCCTGACGCCTCTTTCTGCATGGCTGGGGTAAACCACTACAGATCAAACACTCGTCTCTTCTGCGGAAGTTGGTAAAACGATATAAACCCATCTTTGGGCGATGGCATTCCAGAGGAGTGTGGTATGGAAGAATGCAGCAACTAGCTCGAGTTCAAAGGAATGAGTTCGTTCCTGATATCCTGGAACTTACGTTTTTTTCTTTCCTTTTTCTTTCCATGTTTGTTCATCATGTGAAAATTTTGAAAGTTCACCCCTGAGTAAGCTTGACTGTCTGAAGTTCTGACGAACTGCTCACTGCCTGAGGTCGTCTTTCGATACGAAACCTCCATTGTTTGATGCGGCCCTTTGAGGAAGACCCTGAGTGTGAAAACCCCTCAAGTTTTGACCTGAGAGCAGTGCAGAACTTCACGGAGCGGACTGCCTGATCACTTTCAGCAGATTCTGGCATAAGAAAAAGCGCCATTTTACCAAGCCCTTGAAGACTCAACAAAGCGAAAGAAAGCACACGTCAGGGGCGTCACACAGAGGGATATGTGTGGCCGCTAACCTGTAGAAAAGCTCATTCTTCCTGCGGATAGGGTACAGCTCCCCATTTCGTCTCTTGGCTTCGTCAGGGCGGTAAAACCACTGAATGGTCATGTACACTTCGTCTTCTTCCTCTTTCCAGATGTCCTGCACGGGGTGATCAGACACTGAGTCAGCACAGGCACAAGCAGGGGACTTTTGAATAAAGCGGCAACTTTGATGCATTTCGTTATCAGAATCTACATACAAAGAAGCAGAAGCAGAAGCAGAAGCAGAAGCAGAAGCAGAAGCAATGTGGCGTCACATAAGTGAGGTGCAGGAGCGGTTTGTTGGGTGCCAATTAGGAATGTTTGCCCATAGCAAATCTGTCCAGTATGATGTTGGGCTGGAGTGCATTATATCGGTGCCGCTAAACCTTGGCAAGTTGACGTTCACAAGTTAACCACTTCAGAAGACCCTTTTTAAAGTCCAAAGAACTTTGAAGAAAGGGGCTTTTGACAATATTCCTTTTCTTTACCTTGATAAGAGCAAAGTATGGGGTGTCTGGACTCCCCTCATCCGGATTCAGCGTAACAGTGTCTAGAGACTTGAACTCCGTCCCTTCATATTCAAATCTATTGTAGAACTTGCGACCATCCTCCTCCTTGATTGGCCTTCCCAGTGGCACTGCTTCGGGCACATCGTCATCATTGTCTGCTTTATCCCCACCGTTGAGCGCCTTTGCCTCCTGGGGGGGTGCTGTTTTGGCTCCCTCGACATCCCCCATAACTCTGAAAAGAAGTCCCCTAACTTTGCGAAACCTGTAAACAAGCAAGAATTTGGGCATGAAACAAAAGCGCCCGGTCTTTCAAGCTCGATGCAGATGGATCAAGCGGGGAGGCATGACACTTAGGGCGGTACATTGTGAGATACCCTTCATATTATACCACTGCAAAATGAGCTGACTGGTGTTTTGGACATTGCAAGGCAATGCTAGAATCTTTACCCCTTGGCTGGTACAAACAGAACGTCACCGTACAGATAAAGAGAGAGGCGTGAAAGAGACACAAGGTTTCGGCAGACAGATGAGAGTTGTTGTGCAGACACAAGACCTCCCCAATTGCCGTCCTGCAGCTGTCCATTGGAAGAAAGCGAGAATGACGCAAACTGCCTAGATTGGACGGGGACATTTCTACACCAGAAATCGTCCATTCAGATCCTGAGGTGGAGTACTTTCAGAGACTGCATGCACTTCTAGTCAAACTTGAGAGAAACAATTCATGGGCTAATCCCAATATGCTTGAAGATCTTTTGTTTCTGCTGGTTCAGGTAGATGCAGGTGTATAGAAGTATGTCATGAACACATTGGCCCTTCTCAGTCAGAGGTGAGCATTATGTATCTTTTGGCCAGAAAGGCGTTTTACCCATTGTCATCTAGAAAGCCCCCCCCCAATTACATGCAAAATTGTGTGAAATGCACGGGGAAAATGTTTGATGTTCCTGGTAAAGGGAATCGATGCAGTGTGGACATCTGGGTTCATTGTGCACTTACCAACTTTTCCAAAACCGCGAGCTCCCTTCTCATCCAGCTTTCGCCCTTTATGGAACAAAAGATCGCTAGTGAATGTTAAGTGCTGCAGGAGATTTCATGCAAGGAGTTGCTCAAATCAGAGAAGGAGCTTCGAAGAGTAGCCGCATGCATTGGAAAGTAGTGCGCCCTCCTCCTGCACTGCTAGCTGAGTATAATCAAATTCCGAAGTGCACATGATGCAGCCGCCCTCCTGCTGCCACTGGCTTTTGTCAGGCAGCAATGCCGCACTTGTGAGGTCACTCATGCAGCAATTGAAAACGTCGAGCAAGCGACCGCAAAAGAGGTTGTCTCTGCCTTCTAGTCGCCACGATTTTACGGGTCACACTGCCGTCACAGGCTGCAAGAAGTCCGAGTCCTGTCGACCAGTGGCAGTAAGTTGTGAACACCCAGGCAGGCCCCTGCTGTTTCAAGCAGAACTCCAAGCAGCTAGCAATCCTGGCCCAGGCAGGCAATGTACAGCATTATAATTATAGCATTGTCAAGCACAGGCTCCTCCAGTGCTTCAATGAGTTTATTCTCTCCCTCTGGAGAAGCTTTGGCACAAAATGCAACACGGGGGAATTGAAAGGGCCTTCGGTTGGCTAGCTGCCAGTTCTGCAAACCGCAATGTCAATGATACGATGCATTGTGCATCTTTGAAGGCCAGGACTGCAGGGAGGCCTCTAGTACGCAAGATCTAGTGATTCACTGGTGACAGCATTGCAGGACTGGCTGGTGACCGCAGCGAAGGGCTTCATCATTCCCCACGTCGGCAACTTTTTGGTTTGACCCATCGGCCATAGATGCAGATTCTCAGGTCCGATGCCTTGCTCTTCTTTGGGTTGTTCTCCAGCTGCGGGTCAAGTGCACCACCATACTTACACGGATTTTCTTGCAAATCCTGTACTGATAAGCCTCTGTTTCGTCACGATTCCTGTTAGGCTGTGAGAAACCATATTGAGGAAAAATCTTCAAAGTAGCTTTCTACTTTAGATCAAACTCTAAGATGTGACTCTGTTATAGAAAACTGGTTTCACGTACTCCAGGTGCCCTGTTCAAAGAGTGGAGAATGTAATAGAGTTCGCTTGTGCAAGTCATTCAAAGTCCCCAGTTTGGATTCAGTCCCTGTCCCATCCCTGTCTGATCATGTGACTGTGCATTGCTCCTTAAGATGGAATCAGATGTTTGAAAGAATCCGCACTTCACATTTGTACAATTGCAGGGGACACATGCCTGGGGAGCCTCTGATGTTGCCGCTCCTAAGGACGAAGAGAAAGGATGTATTGAAGATTTCAAAGGAGGCAGTCATCCAGGCTCTAAAGCCAAGACTTGTACTGGAGCTCTCAAACATGATTGGTGAGTTTCTGGAAAGGTGGTGGTTTTTATCCAGTGAATGAGCCTTGAATTCAGTACACCCGGCTGGCAAAACGCCACGGATACTCCTTTCAAATCCTTGTGCCCAATGATCTGACCCAGAATACAAGAAAGTGCACCATCTGATTCGATGTGCGCACTGATCTTCTGTGGCCCTTCAATCTATTATCAGAGAACAAGAGGTGCAGTGCACAAAACAGAGGTGTCTGTGCTCTGCAGAATCTGAGAGCGAGCAGAATCAATTTAAGATCCTTTGTAAAAGGATTGATGCCAGCGTCAGATCCTGGTACAACGGTCAGTTTGAGGAATTAACAGTGAGTCACCCCCTCCTGCAATTGTTAATGTTCTCCCTTGGCTACTGGTTGTTGATGCCTCAACCAACCATAGTTCCACACTCGACGCACTCGCAGCAGAGCTCTCATCTTCACTCTCCTTGACCCATGATTTGACAATGATGACCCAAGTCGCCACAGTGCTCACATATTGCTATCAGCAAATGTTGCCTATGTTGGGGGCGTCCAACCAAGTTTCGTGCCACCCTCTCTCTTGCTGATACAGTGCTTTCCATGCAGTACTTGTACTCATTCTTTGACCCAGTCACTGGCCCCTCCAAGATTTCTCAATACGACCTGTCTTCTGAGCAACTGAACAAGCTGGAGGTTATGTTCTTGAAGCACGTCATGCAGGTGAAGGACCTCCTCTTTATTCGTTATTAAAAAGCTTAGCTTTTGTCATGCAAGCGTCTCTTAATAGCATCTTAAAGCAATGAAAACCTACGCAGAAGTGACCTTTGTGTAAAATCCGGCATGTATACCGAAAGGCGCCACTAGCCCTGGTTGAGACTCTCGAGTCCTCTTCTCTCCTGCAAAGTTCGCAGTGGTCTCTTTGCGCAACAAATACTGCGCCGTATTCTCCTAACCTTGAATCTCCTCATTTTGACTTGTTGGCCACAGCCTTCCTATCGTTCGAAGGGCCTCAAAATGGCCCAACTTATTCAAACCGTTCTGCTTTGCAGATGTTTGAGAAGAGTAACTTCAAGCTCGTTAGTCAGTCGGAGTATGACTTGGCTCAGAAAGGAGAGTACCTTCTCACCTTACCAATAGAAGTGGACTTGAAACGCCTCGATACTCGGCTGTGGTCCAGGTTTTTCGCAACCGAAGGACGGCAGGACATGCCGTCCTACTCGACACATGTAAGCTTTCCTTTCAGATCTGTTCTATCTTTCAGACCCTCATGAGGCGGGCGCTTCCTGCAGCAGCATCAGTATTTCCAAGAAAGAAGACGAGTTTTCTATTGAATTTGGCATTGCATGATTACAATAAAGAGACGAGGTGTTCAAATGTGGGTTTGCACGAGCAACAAATAAACGACTCGCTCCCAAGAATTGTCGTGCAGCTCATATGTGTGGTGATTCGTCTAGGTTCATTTCCGAAAAGAAACTCTTTCCGGAAAGATAATCGAGTCTGCCCAGCACTGCATAAAGGAGGTCGCCCGCTCTTTGGCAAGCTATATACGTCCCACCCGATCCTCGTAGGTTCCCGCTCAAAGTTTCCAATCACGGACGACTTACCGACTCGAATTGTCTTGTGGCCTGATCCTTTTTCGCGATTCTATGCAGTACTTACTCTTTCGTGGGGGAATTGGCATCGACCAGACGTCCGGTTTTTTTGTAGTCGAAAAGATCGAGCTGCTGATGGCTAGACTTATCCAGTGCGTGTTATGGCCACTGCTATACATCTGGTAAGGCGTTGAATTGGTTGCGCCCCACACCTGACCCCTGGGATGCAGTATTTTCTGCATTTGTTTGGAGTTTCAAAGTTGAAATTGATGCTGTTCTACATTGCTCAAAGCCAGTCCTATCCCGCTCCTGTTCTTTGTGAGTAATGCTCAAAAGGAGGAGCTTGAGGTGATCCAGTCGGTAGAACTTTTCGACCAGACCAGTGCATCGTGCATATAGCAAGACGCTTCGCGTCCAACTTGTTCTGGGCTCAAACATGAACGAGAAGTTTTCTTCCTTATGCAACTACGGAAGATTAAAATCTGTTTCTGCAATCAATTCAAGCCTCGCTGCTCTTTGGGATCCAGGAACCGACTTGTGAGGTGCATTTACAGCACCTCCACGGAAGCAGAGTACGGAGAGCTTCGAGGCGCCAACGATGAAGAGAGCGCATGTCCCGGGAGAGACGACATATCTTTAGAGCGGGTTAGGTTAGAGAACATGCAGATTAGGTAAGGTTTGAACGATGTCGGAGAGTTTCTTTTGACGGAAGAATTGTGCAATGCTCTTAAAGGCATACTTCCTGAAGTCCATCTGCTGCTGATTGTTGTCAACACTAGTAGGCAACAACTTCGGATGATCAGCAAACCAACTACTGTTGTTGAAACGCTTGCTATTATCTTCTTCCACAGTCTGGTCTACCAGTACTTGTGGTCTACCAGTACTTCTCGACTTTGACAATGGCATGAATCTTTGCGACCTGCTTTGCTGTGCAGTTTAAAAAATCTAGTGACAAAGACGACAATTCAAGAGCCTACCTTTGAACGCATCATCCTTCTGTACAGGTAATGTCCGCCCCAAATCTCCATTGATTGCCTGTTGTCCACCGTGAGCTCTTACCCTTGCTTTCCGTGCTTGAGACCTCAGTCTCTCATTCTCTCGTCTGTAAGCAAAACCACGAAGATGAGCGTCGAAAGGACTGAGAAAACTAGCATTGGTAAGGTTCTCTAGCACCTTAACAAAATGCTGTAGTGCTCCGCAGGAAAGCAACGGCGCCGGACTGCCCAGACGCGCTGGGGGACCGAGCAATCTACATCAAGCACTTCCAGAACATTCCCATGGCTGACATGGAGCTCGTGTTGGTGAGTGTTGCCACCAGAGTAGCCGACTCGTTCAGACGTCATGCCTGGTGCTTCCATCTTGAGGCTCTTACCTGCATACTGGCACCCTCCCCTGTCGGTTCTGTCCCTCCACCAATAGCTAGTTGTTGCAATGTCTCTTTGGTCCAGCATCTTGATCTTCCGAGTACTTTAGGGTGATTCTGGAGTGATTCTGGTGTAGCGTGTATTTGAATCACTGAGTAGGGCTTGCTCAATCCGCGCTGGCAGCTGCGATCCCGGCGATTCAAACTTGCTGTTATTCTGTCCTCGTATGGGGAAATTCCTGACGTTCATTATTGCATCTTGCAGCCAGAAAAGAGGAATCCCGGCTTGACGCCCATGGACAGCGTCAAGATGGCGGTCTCCGCAATCGCTGGTGCGGTAAGTCGGACACGCCTCCGATAGTGTAGGGGGTAGTGTGGATTACCCTACGGCCCTCTCTGAGGCCAGCCCACGGATCGATGTGTCGGGCCGAACGTTTAGGCATCGGTCCAAAGATGGCGGCTAGCAAAGTCCTTGGCCATTTCAATTGCATAAAATGTTGAGCAGCACATCAGCCTTGGCACTTTCGACTTTTGCGATGAATCTGTCAAGGAGAATACATGGTCGACTATTGAACGGATCCCAAGCTCGGATTCTTGCGCGCCTTTGCCTGCTGCCAAAGACGGTCGACATCATCGCTGCGCGCTGAGATCCTCCTCTTCAGAAAACGACTTGCTTGAGATCATCCCAGTTCTCTTTCCTCCAGAAACGAAGCGTCGCTCGATATCGAGAACGACTAGGAAATTGTCTTTGGCAGGGGGCGCTGTGGCATACATTGACTGCGGATGAGGTCGACTTCAAGGTCCTGGTGGCCATCGTGACAGCGGTCGGGGGCTATATCTTCAAAGTGCATACGGAGTGAGGCTACCCGCCCCTTTTCCTGTTTGTCTTCCCACTTGATGATGTCGGAAAGTCTGTTTTCCTTTGTCTGTTTGTCTCGAAGAAAGATACGTTGGATGGTGAACAGCTGAATTCTGTGCACCGTCTCTACTTCAGAGGTCGAGTCATTAAACGACAGCTATCTCCGTGCCTCTTGATGCGCTTTGTCACGGCCAACCGGACTGTTCGACTTTGCATCAATCATGATCAAAAGGTTTTCAGAATCCGTTCGGTTCTTTGGTTGCATTAAAGCCTGGCTTTCACGTTTGTTGCTCGATCACTTCTAATAAAGATCTCCCCATCTCTGGTGCAGCTACCAGATTGCACGCAACAAGTACCAAAGTTTGCTGGTCAAGTCCATGTACGACAAGAGCATGGACAACGGTGAGCCGCTGAAATTCATATACTGATCTGAAGACGACCGCCCTGAATCTGCTCGTTTGATTTCGCCGCTCGGACTTGATTTTTGACACTGGAACAAAAACTCAGTCGCGCAATCGTTCGACCAAGCGTTGAGCGACAGGTTTCTCGAAATGCTGGTTCAGTGGATTAGTAAGAGGGCGCAACCAGTCACCTCTATAATAGAGAGGGACTTGAGAATGTGCCTTTCAGGATCGGATATGTGGCGGTTTGGCAGGTTTTTGGATCTCCGGATCTGCGCGCATCTCAAGTGCGCACTCAGCGGCGGACTCGAAAAGCTCTGACAGGGGCACGAGCATCCAGAATCAAGTCGCCCGTAAACGGAGCGATAAGCCAGAGGAAAGCCACGTGTCTTTTGTTGTTCCGTGGGCCATGGGATACTTGCAAACATGATGATCGTGCTGCGGACCTTCTTTGCAGGGAAGAGCACGCTGCTGCACCTGTGTGATGACGTCATTCAGCAGGAAGTAAAGGAAGTCATTCTCGCATACTTCGTGCTCATGACGCGAGGGAAGTTGTCGGAAGAAGTGAGTTTTGAAAAGCCGAAGTGGCCGTCTTCTTTTTCTTATGACCCTGCTTCTGTGTGCTTAGCCTGAAAGCGATTTAAGGTCCTCGTTGATCGTTTCATTCATCTGGTGTTCTCATGACGCATCCCGGATGCTGCCCTTCAAAGTGCTCCGTGTTTCCGTGTCTAGAGTCTACTTTTTTTAAAGGGTGAACTCTTTGTGGTCAGGTTTTTGTGCCGAAAGAGGTACGGCGGTGGAAATAAACGTCTTTTATGTAAGATGCAAAATGTAAAGATCAACTTACTGGACGAGTCTTATCCTGCTCAAATCACTACGCTTACTTGGACAGAAGTATTGCTATCGTGCTACGGCGATGCTACCGACATAGAGGCCCACGCCCAAGGTTTGCTCGGCCATAATTGAAAGCGGTCTAGAGTCTTGTATGGCGAATCCATAGTCTGTCCTCACATCATTCTCAAACCCAGTCTGTTGGATCTCTTGGTTCAGGAACTCGACGGATGTTGCGAGGATTTACTAGAGAACGTGTTTGGCGAGGCGGTCAACTTTGAGGTGTCCGACGCCATCGGCAAATTGGAGCACCTGAAGCTCGTTTCGAAGGTAATCAGATTCTGTACATTCCTGGTATATCGCTTGTACGCATGTCTTTGAAGCATGAACTTGCCCGAAATATTCCGAGATCATGGTCTTCTGCAATACTTTGGATTACTTTGCCAAGCATGACATGATGCACCTTCGATCCTCCTTCGATCCATTGTTGAAGCTAGGCCGGTTATCTGAGTCAAGATGCCCGGAATCTTGCTTCTTCTCTACAGCTTTGGGGCAGCTGCGTAATGATGCTTCGGATTCTCAGGAAATTTGTACATGCAATTCCTTCAGCTGACTTAGTATGTCTGTTGTTCTTGTCTTCAGGATCTGGACAGTCGTTTCTCGCATCAGGTGCTAACAGAAGCTAACTTGATGTTGGGTCCAACTTATGAGGAGCTTTTCGGAGTCGAGAAAGAAGAGCGTGCAAATGCACCTTCAGCTACCTCGAGACAAGTTCAAAGTAGGATTGCCACGGAGCCGTGAGAACTATATTTAGGATGATTCTAAAGGTACTCAGACTCCATATACAAACCTTAACTTATGAGCTCCTATGCTTGGCTAATAGTTGCACGCGCCTAGCTGCTTGTAAAGAAAAAAACAAGAGTCTGGATCGTTTGGATAAGCTGATATGGAGAGGAGGTTACCGTTGAGCAGTCAAGTTACGAAGCCCCATAGATCAACCACTGCATGTCGGTGCGGCTACGATTGAATCGAATGCTATATGATGGCGAAAGTTCGCGCTGTTCAGGCTCTCGGAGTCTGTCACAGGCAAACATTAGCTGAAAAATGGATGCATCACGATGTTCTCTTCTACATGCACGCCGTGATCGACCATATAGCCTCGTGGGCCATGATATGCTCTTTTGCACGCCATGATTGACTCGATGAACATGCCAGGGCAATGAACTCGGGGGGAACAATTGCGGCCACGCATGCTTTCTGGGCTTAAACCGGATTTTCATCCTGGCTGGAGTTTGAGGGATCCCCCGTCTATGCATACCAGGCAAACCTCGTCCGTACATATACTAAGTGCTCTGAGAGGCAATCATTGTCAACGTGTTGCATCGCCGCTTGCATGAAGCAATGTCATGCACGCATGATGTTGATTCAAGCTGAATATCAAGCTGCACCTTTCAGGCTTTCTCATTCTTCTCTAAACGTAAAGCTCAACCCTTGTCCTTGCTCCTGATCAAGGGATCGGACCATTGCTTTCTCTGCCGCAGCTTTAACTTTTTCTCTTAGAACGCCCGCTTTCAGCTGCAACATTTCCTGCTGACCAGCTGACTCTGCTCCAATGGCACCAAGCAGTGCTTTTTCGCTGCGCCCTCTGGAGGAAGCAGACATCCCCGCAGCAGCAGAGGTTGCGTGTGAGGTGAGAAGATGGACGACCAAAAGACGATGGCCGTTAGGAAATAGCTTTCTGCCTGAACTTAATTTGAACCATGTTTGACTGGCTGGCAGACTGCTTGCCTGGCGGGTCAGTTGACCACATCACTTTTGTTTTCTGGACCTTGCTGATCCCATTTTGGTCCCAATGCACTGCCTGAAAGGCTCCACTGATGCATTCAAAAGAAAAGCTTCTCTTGGTGCGCATAGTCTTGTTATGAGTCATCCATTGTGATAGCATTAGCGACAACCAGACTCGGGAACCGCTGGGCACAGTGGCCTCCCGTCTCCAATTGATAGCTCAGAACTGCGCTTTGAGAGCTCTGCTTGTGGCATTTGGAGCTGGCTGTGTGTATGGTTTTGGCTGCTTCAGAACTCTTCCTTCCTCAAATTCAAGCTTTTTAGCTGTCATGTGATATGCAAGCTTTCAGTCCACTTCAACTTTCACTCAAGTTAATCTTCTGAGCTGAGAGTAATTGACTTCCCCCTCCAGTTAACCTTGCTGCACAACAATTCACAAGCAAAGTCAAACTTTGTTTCTTTCCTTTTCCAACCACCCCAAAACTCCAAATGGCAGGTTTAAAGCACCCGCCTCAGAGTTTTTGACATTCCATACATACTCAACTCCTCTGCTCTCTTCTCTTATCTGCCAGCTTGAAATGCATTTCCTTCTAGATTGATTTCACCCACTTTGTGTAGCCATCCTATTGCATTACTATCTCATCTTCTCCTGTTTTGCCTCCTTCTCAGGCCTTCAACTCGTTCAATGAGACCGTGGGGCTTCCCCCTGAGGTGCCCTCTCCGGACCCATTCGTGGAAGTGATAGCGGCCAAATTGCGCAGTCCCCTGTCTTTCTCTGTGCTGGCAGTCAACCGGGAGGGCCAGCCCATTGGCAGCAACTTCATTGTTGGGGACCCAGGTGAGTTTCCGGTTGTTGAGCTTTGGAAATCAGAGCGCAGCTGTTTGGATTCAAAGAAGTCTCAAACCTGGTGAACCACGCGAACCAGGTTCTCGAGCTTTATAGGTTAGTGGGCACTAAGCAAAGTTTAAGAGGAAACGGTAGTAACTTCTCCTGGTTAGAGGGCGTCTCTAAATCACTGTTATTTTCATTACTTTTGGACAGAGGGCTCTTGTGACCATTTTGGGATGTAGTCAACCAACTACTAGATCCATGTTACAGCTTTGGCGTTCATTGAGAAGCGCTCCGTGCTGCAGCTTTCGTCCTCTGATACAGAAAATTGTGTCGCTTTGTGCTGTTTCGCTGCTTGAGCTTTGGGTCTGCTCCCCAAAATTTCACCCGGGAAACGCACAGAAAACAGTGCTGCCCACAGAATTAAAAGGCGCTGACGAAGTTGTTTCAGACTCCAAGATCTGGACGATGGGTCCGGTGAATGTTTCCACGAAAGCCAACAGCGCGGGAGTGGGCCGGGCGATCGTCAAGGCGTGCGTCGATCACGCCGAGAAAGAGGGTGCCAAGTCGCTCCGTTTGGTGCAGGTCAGTTCATGACTGTTCTCAAAAGACCGAGGCCACATTCTCTCGATTGTAAGTTTGATTGAAGGCTGTGTTTGAGCTTTCGGGTTATACAGTCCATACGCCATGTTGCTCTTTTCAAGGAACTAGTTCCGGGGAGGGGACTGAACAAATATGCTAGGAAACAAAGACTGTCTGTGCTTGACGCATTTGGTTCTCACGGTCACAGTGGTTTGCTTCGCCGAAGGCAATACTTTTGGATGACGTCTACTCCTGTCGATACGATGCTCGCAGGCTTTAGAGAGGCTCTCCGAGGAACCAGCTGGGTACCTAGTTCGCATGCAGCGCTTAAAATGAAGTAGTTCTGGCTTACCAGCTCCCCGCCATCGCATTGGGCGTGATGGTTCACCTGACTTTATGCACCCGATTGCAAGACCAAACTTTTTTTGGAAAACTGCTTCCTGTATTGAAAGTTCTGGCCTTCGCTAGGAGCGGAGCTTGGAAACAGGATGAGGAGGAGTGCGGAAAGCGCAAGTGTCTGGATGTGGAACTTTAGTTAAGGGCGGAGGCGTTCTTGTGTCTTGTAGAAAGTTCGAAAGATACAACCTACCTGGGTCTTCGAGTGCCTATACAACCAAAACCCGCTTTTTTAAACCAACGGAGCCAAACCTTTTTTTCCATTTTGCGCAGCTCACGTCCAACCCGAAAGCCTTCTCCCTCTACACCAAGTTCGGCTTCGACCCCAAGTTTGTCGCCGCATATTTCGAGGGCTACCCATCGAAGCCGTTGGAAGTCGCCAGCGGATACACCGTTAGGAGACTCGAAGAGGGCGACATTCCGGGGTGCGACGCGCTGTTCTTGGCCCCAAACGGCTACTCGTTTGCCAAGACTCTGTCGGGTTTCACCAAGGGATGGCCGTTTCCGATGTTCGTGGCGCTGAAAGACGGGGAGGTTGTGTAAGTGCCCTCGACTCTGTTAATATTTTACGCCCGCTTCCTGTCTTCTTTTCTCCTTTTTCTGTTTGCTTTTCCAATTTTGTTTCCTTCCACCCTCTTGTAGGAGCTTCCGTTCTTACCTCCTTTCCGGAGCATTAAAATGGCTGTCTGCTTTTGCAGCGCAGACGAGCCGTCTCTCAACTCTGGTGCGATCATGCTTCGTCGTTCAAAGCGCGCTCGGTTGCCTAACCCTAACCTCAAGCTGACCCTAAACTCAACCTGACCCTAACCTCAAACAGTCTCCGCAAATCTGCTGTCTCTTTGCAGCGCCTACACAGCCGCGTTCTCCATTTGAACCACTTGTGGCTGCCAAGAACGACGACGCACTGATCAAGCTCACAACGCATACCGCAACTCCACCCCTGACTCCATGTTCTCAGGAAGTCCACACAAGCCCGTCCCCATAATCTTCTCTTCGCAACGCCTACACGACCGCGTTCCTCCTGATGGGCCACGTGGCAGCTAAGGACGATCATGCGTAGAATCGAACTGCAAACTGCAAATGTTCCCCCAACCATAATCTCCTCACGAGACTTCCTTAAACCATATTTCCCTTATCATATCCTTCCCTAATCATTCTCGTCCAGACAAACCCACTGCTATAACCTTCTCTTCGCAGCGCCTACACCACCGCGTTCCTCGTTATGGGCCACGTGGTAGCCAAAGACGAGGACGCGTTCGTCGCGCTCTTCAGCGGCGCGAGCGCGCAGCTGCGCGAGATGGGCGCGCCCCCGCCAACGTTCCATCTGCCCGTCGCAATTCACCCCGAGCTGTGCCGCTGGTGCCTCTCGGTCGGTTTGAAACTAGTGAGGTGGGACTTAATTCTGATTCGCCCTCTTATGATGCGCACAAAATTGGACCCTTCGATGACCTGGATGCCCTCAATCGAACGGCCGAAGATCTACGGTAGATCTCGTTGTGGTAGATCTTCGTTGTGGCCGAGATGTGGAATGAGCTCAAGCAGGAGTTGGGTCAGGCGGCCAGGTGTAACCGAACCTGCCGTGTCGTATAGCATTACAGGTAGCAATGAAAGTCGATAGTGTCTCTCCGGGACTTTGAAAGTTGCGAGGTGAAATTTGAGCTGTCATGGAAGCAAACTTCTTGGAAGACCGCTTGTGCCTTTCGTTCGGATTGAAGTAGCGGGGTGAGATGCAAGAAGATGTGGAGGCAAAAACTTCAGGAAACGGCTTACGTCTCTCGGTCTTGCTGAAATCGACGAGGTGAGAAATGAGCGTGGAAGCAAACGTATTGGGTAACGACTGGTGTCTTTCTGTTTGGCTGTAGTTGACGAGGTGAAAGTGCCTCCATCCTTCGCGTACGCAAACCTTTGGGCATCCGAAGAGAGCATCAGTTTTCTGCCACTCTAAATCCTGGTGTAGCTCTTGTAGAAGCGACTGGGTTGAAAATAATTCACTTATTCGTTGTGATCCCTTCCTCCGTAGTGGTTTCAGGTTCAGGAAGACACGATGCGGAGTCGGACAATCTGTTTTTATGGCGACAGCAATGTCGAAGTGACGGGTTCTGGAGTAACCAACTTGAGATTGCCGGTCTCAACTGAAACAATCGATTCTGAGGAGTCGTATGGGGCCTGACTTTGAGTCGTGAGGATCCCCTTTGCAGCAAGTGCTCTCGAAATGCAGCATCTGTGCGACTATCTGCAGGTTTGCCTAGGTTTGACGATTACTTCGGCACTCCCCAGGGTTCTAGTCAATATTTCCTTGCTTTGCCTTGGTGAAGCTTCCTTTTCGCTCGGCACGAATGCACCTTCGCTTTAACTTGAGAACGCTAAACGCTCTGCGGCACATTTCTGCTGGACTGTCTTTCGTGAAGTATCTCACATATGTCTGCAGGCACACATGGATCATGGTCAAGGGTGAGTTCAAGGAGCTGCCAAGGGAGCCGCTGTACTGTCCGAGTATCGACTGGCACTAGCAGCCGCGCGGTTGCCTCAACACAAGAGACTGTGCAAAAACGAGTTTTGAGGAAATTGTCGCAAGAGATCAGCTGATATGTGCAGCGTGGATCAGAGCTAGCTTCCGTAGTGCTTTGCCAATGGTGACAAACTAGCGTTCTGCGTGCTCGGCTCCAATAGATCCGAGATTGTGAGCAAGGAACAATCGCTATGCGGGCATAGACCTTGATTTCCGTCCTAGTTTTCGTTGCATGAGAGGAAGACAACTGAAGGAATCAAGTGCATATTGAGCCTTGAGACGTGCAATCCACTTCCAAATGGACCTTGCAAGTCACTGAGTGGTGGGATTGTCTCAGAAAGTCCATGGTTCGGTAGTGACAACGCCCGCTAGCTCGCGTCCGCTTACATAATGGTGCACAATATGTCGACTGGGATGTACTCAATGGCCAAGCGTTACAGATCGATCCACTACATCTGGAAACGGTAAATTGATCTTTGAATGAGGTGAGTGGCCGGGCACCTCGCATATGAAAACGACATTCAACATTGACATGAGTTAGCTCCAGTATCTTGTGGCGCCACAATTCGATATGGCCATCGAACCAACTGGCCTAATTTGTGATGCCGTATACGTCAATGATTGGTGTGAATTCGACCGCGGCAGCCCTTGAATGGTCACACTAGTCAGCATTTGCCGCGATTGCGACGTTGCATGGCAAGCCTGCCTACGCCTGCGACACTTACAGACGTCCACAGTACCGCATGTCGGACAGTCAATGTTGCGCGAATGTAAAGAACGCTTATAGTGCAGAAGGCAGGCCACCGGCTGGCCTGCGCCTGATACGGTCGCGGTACGAGTGCATATGTACACATGAGCTTGCATGTGCATGGATTGCATAACCAGACAACCAGTGCGGTGCATGAGTCCCTGCATCACGGGACAAAGTCACATGGTACACACTATGTGATTTGCTAGCTTTCTAAGTTGCCCAAAGAGCTCTACTTCGGCGCTCAAGAGCTCGTACTGCACGTAGGGGGCGTCTAATGAGGTGAATCGAGTTGGCCCACGATGACGAGGTAAAAGTAGTCGTCCCGCCTGGTGGACTGATAGAGGAATCAACAACCATGCGCGCATTCACCATTTACTCTTGGTCGATCCAATCTTGCCCGGCCTCAGTCGATGTTGAGTCGTTTCAATTCCGCAAGAGTTTGCGGTGTTCAAGTTCGCCACCAAGGCGTTCCGGCAACGTACTCTTCCGTTCCGCTATCCCATCGGAGCTTCCAGGCTTGCAAAGCGAGCGGCCCCCCTGGTTCCGCACCATAGATCCTCCGGTCCTCTAAACAGCAGTGCAAAGGAGCTACTTTGCGGCTTAGTTCCGCACCCAGTAGGTCAAAACTAGAGCTAGAAGGTTCCAGACCAGCTAAGTGTTCGATAGCAGGCCCAGGCATGTACATAGTATCGCCTAGTAATGGACACCCGACTCGGGCGAGTTGAGCTCGTACCTGCAAGCGCACGGAATGAACGAAATGACCGGAATGAACGGAATGAAGGTCTTCAAGCACAGAGCCTGTAGCGTACAGTTTCGGTTGCGTGTTTGCCGCGCGCAAAGAGTCAGAAGGCGGGAAATGAAGCGGCATAACTTTGCACCAGAGGCAAAGCTGGAACCCGTAGGCATTTGGGAACACGTTCGCCCTTTTGTTCAGCACCGGAGGATCTCCTTGCTAGGTCCCTGAGCTCTGCTGGTATCACCTGTAGCCCTCACCGGTCGGTCGAATCGAAGCGCTGGTCTTTTAAAAGAAATGGACGTCTTTTGAACGATGGTGATCAGAACCGTCAACACTACAGCCGTAGAACCCTGCCCTGCATGCCTCTTCTGTTCACACAGGTGCCTTGATAAATAAAATTAGATTGACATCCAAAAAAACCCTGTAAACGGAAAGTCTGACGAGCCTTGAACTTCCCAAAGCGTGACTTGAACTGGATTAAGAGGCGCTTAGGTTGCCACGAAAGCAACCGGTAAAGAAAACCAGGACAGAGGTCAAAGAGCACGAACTAAAATTGCGACCGTTCCCACCTGGTGCGTACGTCCGGTGATAAGCCGGACGGTGCATTCGTACGCCGTAGCCTGCGGCGGCCAGCCTCCGTCCTCCATCCGCAGCGATCCGACGGCCCCCGTTGGCCATGGCACCTCATCAACGGCCAGAATTTCGAGCTCGCAGGGGAGCCACCCGTCGCGGGTCTCTGTAGGGAAAAGCAAGAGAGGGCTTCAGCACTTCTAAGCTTTCAGATGAGTGTTAAACATGAACGCAAAAAAGGCACATTCGTGGTTTCTTGAAATCTTCGCGTTATTAGACAGCTTAAATAAGATGGGGCAAACCGACGTTGCGACGAGGAAGGAGAAGCACGAAGCACTGTGCTTCGTGTCAGCTGAGGGGCGGCGAAATAGCTCAGCCCGTTTCTATCCAGCCCGTTTCTATCTTGATGCTTCCATATCACATTGCCCGTTTTTCACTACCTACAGTGTTACAATTTGTTCGCAAGCAGATTTGTGCGGGCGGAAATTGCTTCTAAAGAGCGCTCAGCACGTTTCTGTGTCGTTCTAACCTTTGTCTTGACACGGGCTCTGCGATGCAGACGTCTGAGCATCACTGGAAAGCCTGGATCAGTGCTCGGGTTAGTGCTTGGGTTAGCGCGTGGGTTAGAATAGCGGCTGAGGCGCGTACCGTCCGACAAGATCCGGGGCGCGTACGACTTGGGCTGCGTCCAGTGGAGCAAGCGTCCGAGGGGCGGCCGCGCGGCCGCGAGCGCGCGATACGTCTTGTGCACTTTCCGGTCCGCCAGGAGCTGGTTGAAGCTCCGCAGGAACGCCGGCGTCTTGGCGAGGACCAGACTGCGGACGGAACGGCAGTCCGCATCAGTTCCGACGGTGTCCGCATAGTGTAGGTTGTACGTTGTCTGGTTAAAAAGAGTCGACAGAAATGTGGTTTGCTTGTGGTTGCACTTTCCGGTCGGCCAGGAGCTGGTTGAAGCTCCGCAAAAAAGCCGCCGTCTTCGCGAGGACGAGACTGCGGACGGAACGGCAGTCCGCATTACTACCGACGCGTCCGCATGGTACGTTTGGTAATATCGCAATCTGCACGACAGAGATGTGGCTTTCCAGGGCGCCCCTGTGGGTGCACTTTCCGGTAGGCCAGGAGCTGGTTGAAGGCCCGCAGAAACGCCGGCGTCTCGGCGAGGTCGAGGCTGCGGACAAGACGGCAGTCCGGACCATGTCAAAAGGGCGTCCGCGAAAAGAGATGGACGGCGCTCAGGCGGTTTTGAAAGCAGAAATGTGGTTTTAGGCAGCAATGGTTGGCTTCGGACGGCAGTTATGTGGGTTTGGACAGCAGAGATGTGAGTTCGGACGACACTTTCGTAGCTTTGGACGGCACTCGTGTGGTCTGGACAGCGGTCTGTGTGAGCTCGAACGGCAGTTGCGGGGCCTGGTGGAGGCTTCAAATTAATTTTCGGACGGCGGAAGTGCGGACGGCAACTTTTTGGACAAGACGCGTCCGTATGGGTGAGCCTCGACGCCAAATCGGTGGGCGCAGATACGGGAGTGTGGCTTTTAGTGGCTGGGGTGATGTCCGACGACGTTTTTGTCAATCCAAACGGTGTAATATAAGTGCGGAGTGCGGCAAGGTCCTCTTGGTGACATCCGTGGATTTTGGACGACAATACTAGGAGATCCGACAGATCTTGGAACACTCGTTCGTTAAAAAGGACAGACGGAGAGAAACTTGAAGGGGAAAGGAATCAACGAAAAGGTTGACAAAGAGCCCGGAGGCGGAGCTTATAAAATGTCGGAGCGGTCGAGAAGAAAAGGGTAATTTAACGCGTGTGCAATTGAGCGCCAAGAGCTAGAGGCGCAGAATCTCGAAAAGCGAGCCTTTCCGTGCGGGACGAACTAGGACGTTGAGATGGTTCACCATTCCGCGTAAAACGAGGTTCAGAATCTTGCGTGGAACGAGATTGTCAATAAAACCCGACTAAGACCAGTTAACTGCCCACGATACTGATAGTTGCCATGTCATTTTTATCAGGCTCCTACAGCTGGTTTTCCGTCAAAGCTCCTGCCCGACTTGAGGTAAAGAAGGAGACGGGAGTAAACAATTTGTATGCAGCGCTTTCACGAGCGACACTTCCGCCTTTGCTCTGACAGAGACTTGACAGCCTCTCTTCGTCAAGGATAGACACGGAAACACCTCCCTTTCAAATCTAGTGTAGAACGGCTTTAAAGTGAGCGTTCTGTTCCGCGGGACGCCGGACCTTCCAAGATTAGCGGCAGGGGGCCTCAGGCAAGTTTGAGGTGATAATCGCGAATGTCAAATGCCGGGTTTCGTGCCGGTAACCACTGCAGCGACGGCTGAAAGTCCTGGCTCAAATTCAATTACGACGGTTCATGACGTCAGTGCTGACACTTTGGAACGCCCACTTCAAACAAAGCTCACCAGCCTTCGGTGCCCACGTCCAGTCGATGCGTCACCTTCAGGGGCTCCTCCAATCCAAGCGCCTCCAAAAGGCACGCCGCACAATTTTCAACGAGATTGTCAACGGTCCCTTGCACCGGGACGCCGGCCGGTTTGTCCAGAATGACGTAGTCGGGAGTCTCCGTTAGGACCCGCCCCCGCCAGTCGACTTCGTAGCACCTGGAGCGGAGAGCCAAGAAAAGAGTACTTGACTTGATCTCCTTTTGGATCGTCGAGTAAGAAAGTCAGTTCTTATTTGTTAGTTTACTGAACCTGTCTGTGGTCAAAACCTGAGTTTGTCCCGTCCAGTAAGAAATGTTTTTGCACCAGGCAATACGAGGGAGGTTAGAGAGTTGACGGCGACGGAAGCCATGATTGACAACGTTAGGAAGGACATATATGAGCTGCCTTTAAAAAAACTCGCATGTAACTATCTCCTAAGTCGCCGTGTCGAATTTAGACAACCAAATTTTCACTTCTCGCTGTCTGACCTCTGAATTCGGTCGACCCTTCTTTTAACGGAGAGAAATATAAACACGCTTCTCTGTCAACGCTCAGATAGCATCACATGTCCGTAGAACCCCCAGTTACTACTCTTGCGTAAAGCAATCACCGTCTTCCGGTCTGAGGCTGTCATGACGAGAAAGAAACAGATGCCAAGCAACCATATTCCCCAATGATTCAAAAAGCGGAACACGGCCGCACCTGGGGAACCTTTTAGGGTGCACATGTACTCTCAGGTAGCCCCCCTGCCGCAAAAGTCGGAAGGGGTCCTGCAGCCTGCCGACGCGCATCATCAGCTTGAGGGCTTGGCTGGACGGGTGCAGGCCGAACTCATCTGACGCCTTTGCGGTGGATTCCGACCATTGGGAATGAACTGACGGTCGCGAGTTGGGAGGGGGTGGGGGAAGAAGTGGGGCGTAGTGGACTGCGCCAAATTTGATGAGGTCCTCTGCAAAGCTGCGGGAGAGAGGATCAGCAAAGAGGAAGGAAGTGGGGCCGGAAGGACCTGTGCCGGCTTCTTCTTTTTGGGCAGGTGCACTTCTGGCGATGATAGCCTCCGCAGACAGCCCAGTGGATCTCTTGGTTTCCATCAGGATGCCCATTGATCGCAACATGTATCTGCCAGTGCTTTAAGTTGTAGAAACAGAATCCTGGTGTAAGCTTCAATTAACGCAAGGACGAGGAAAGAAAACGCATTCTCACCAAAAAACAAGGCTACCAGCCTGTCAGCAATCAGCCCTAGTCAAGCTGCTGTTTTGGCAAACTGAGAACATTAGGACATTGCTTCTGGTCTCTTCCTCAGATTGCCAAGGGCAGGGTTGATACCAGCTGCTTTTGCAGTCCAGCACACACACAGATCAGCCACGAAGATTGTCTGCGGCATCCACAAGTAGTTGGCGCACCTTGGCGGGAGGTCTAGTTGCTGCTCCAGCTCGTCCACCGCCGTGCCCTTCTCTTGCAGCACCAAAAGATGCTCAACACGGGCTGGCCATGTGGGATCAGGCAGTGGGAACAGTGATGGAGGATACTCCCAGCCGGCAGCTCTTGAAAACTTGCTTGTAACTGCCTTTCCAGGATTGCTGTTCATGATTGTAGGCTTAGGGAGGGTTGGGCTTTGAGCAATTGATGCTGCGCTGCAGCTGAAATTTAAAGAAATGAAGGGTCTACCTAGTGAGACAGTACTGAAAGAAATACCAGCGAAAGGGGTAAGTAAGAGTCTGCTCGTCGTCATTGGGATGACCTTCAAGGTAGCTTTCGAAGCCAGCAGCCCTAAGAATCCTGGCGCAGGACAGCATTGCGCAGCTACGAAAGTGTTTGAGACTGTGCTTCCAAAGGGGCCAACTTTTGGACCAGCAGTGAACAGCTCGAGCATTGTCCTTTGAGCTGTCAGAGAACGCAGTTTGTAGGGCAATCGGATAAGGCTTCAGAACTTCAGCTACTTTGCCCAGCTTTTTGGTCTCAGAACAGCAAGTCCTTGCAGCATTCTCTCGAACATCGAGTCTCTCAAGCGCAAAAGCGTCTAGCTTGAGTAACTTTTCGCGCACTTGAGACCACACTAGTGCGCCTCATCAAGAGTGCACTCAGGCTTCAGCCTCCACTCCACCATTCATTTGCTGCCAGCGCCTCTCTTCTTTGAACATTGGTTCAAAATGTCCAGCTGGCCTGAGGTCACAGCTATCCAAGTCCAGGAAAAAGAAGGAAAAAGGTCCGGCAGCAAGGTTGCAGATCTCACATGAATCTTGAACCGTTTGCCGTTTATGCACCGCTCGTCAGCAAAAGCTGTAACGCTGAGACCTGCACCAAATCACGCAAGTTCGATTCAGTTTCCGCGGTATTCAACGAGCGGCGCTCACCACTTGACCGTTGACAGAGACGTCAACAAAACATTGACGTTCCCGATTCCCAAATCCCAGGATCCGTTGCTCCATTAAGAAATGAATGCGGGGAGCTCCTAATCTACCAGAAGGTACAGAAAGGGCGCATTGCAGCCGCCCTTCGCTTCGCTTGAGGCTGGCTCAAGGAGTCTAGCTGTTCTTCTACAGCGTGTGCAAGGGGAGCAAGCAGCTGGGCCCAGCTTCTGTAGAGGTGACTTTAATTTAGAGCGCAGGCGCGCTGTCAGCACAGTCTCCAGGGAGGCTTAATGGATATGCTGGACGAGTCTGTCTTTGCCGTGCTTTTAAGCTTCCTCGATGCAAGGGATGCGAGCTGTCTGGGAAGCACTTGTACGATTATTCGGCGCTGGGTTGATGAAAGTCCCATGTGGAGGCAGTGGTCTGAAGAAGACTTCCCCTCGCTCAAAACCTCCCCCGCCAAGGAGTTTGTGGACTTGCACGATGGTAGGCAAGCATTTAAGGGCCTTCGCCGTACTTACAAGCAGCTTTTTTTGGGGTTGTTAGGTAGGCCCGGAACTAAGTCGCCGACAGCGGGCCCTGCGCAATCTGGGGCTGAGGCAAGTCCAGAGATCGGAGACTTCATCATCACTTTGGATGTTCGAATGTGGAGTGGAGACATCTTGTCACATTCTGCTACTTGTGAGGGTATGAATCAGGAGCCCAAAAAGTCCGTGGAAGCCGGAATCTGCTTCAGAGGATTGTTTAGAACTGCGTGCTTGGCGGACGAGGAAAGAAAGCTCAGGACTGAAATTCAGGGTCTGGCGAAAGGTGCTCCAAGGCGCGTGAATGTTCGCTGTCTCGAATCCCCTGGGCCAAGGCTTCCTTCCTGGCACACGTTGAATCTGCTTTGCAAAGCCGACGGACGGGTACATGTGTTGCTGGGCGGAAATGCGTGTGGATTTGTGGGGCGTTCCGTAGAGATGCCACGTGAAATGCATCAAGAATTCAAAAAAGAACCTCGTTTTGAAGATGGTTGGTGTGAGAGTCCGGTGGTTGGACTAGTCATCAGAGCAGCAAACGGGAATTTCGAACTTGTGAAATACAACTTCCAGGTTCTATTGCATCAGGCAAAGTTGCAATGCTTGGAGATTCTGTTGCGAATAGGACATGTTGTTTTCGATTTCCAGAATGTGCGAAACGTCCGTTGCACAGCAGATAGTGTGCAATTGAGCAAGCTCGGGGTTTGGGAAGGCTTTCCAGGATAGCGATCGACGCCAGATTTCAGAACTGTCATCTACCCTAAGTGAAAATACATAAACCCTCAGGTTCCCAAAGGTACCAGTCTAGCTCGATTCTCCGTTAATCTGAGTGGCAATCCTTCAAGTCGAGCGAAATCTGGCGGAAGGCTTGAATGGTGGCTTGAAAGGATGACTGCCCTCCAACTGTTTTGACTGGCCGGTCTACCTCAGGTTTGAGCATTGTAAGTCGGACTGATACACAAGATATAACAAGCTAGAAACCAAGTCTTCAACAGCCCATTCATCAATGTTGCTTCCTTGTTCAACGGTTAACATTGTGAGTTGGCAAGTCAGCCTTACTGCCATCCGAGTCATTTCATAACATTGTGAGTTGGCAAGTCAGCCTATAAATGACGATGGCAGTAAGGCTGACTTGCCAACTCACAATGTTATAACCACATATGGACCACGTACAAGTGCTTATATGCAATAAAAAGGTGACGACCGATCTGTGCACGAGATGTTCAATAGGATATACTCATTGTCTAGTATAGAAGGTGCATATACCGGTACATACATACATACATCGTATCATTCGAAGGTTGACTCAAAACCACGGCGCCCCGAAGCTGCTAGCTCCCGATATGTTCCATGACGGTAAGATGTCACACATTGCATATGCCATGCATGCATTGGGCTGCACGTCGACTTTGAAAACTGAAACGTACAGATACAACATAGACAAGCGGCCTGACGTGCAAGTCTGCAGTCAAAGTACATGTGCGGTCCAGAGTATTACTAGAGTATGCGCACCAATCTAGTGCCACAGGACTGTGATTGCAGCGCGAGCAACTAGAGAGGTTCGACTTGATATATAGAGCTCAACATCCACGCGGATGCACGGCCATGCCATCTTGCATGAAACAGCTGTTCCTCCAGCAGCTCCTAACATGGAAATGAGCAATCCTTGTTGCCAGCCAAGTTGCATGCGTCAGTGTCGATTCAGGTGCTGAGCAGTCCCTGATAAACTTAAGGCTCTCGCAACTACGGACCGAGCTCAAACTAGCATACTTCCTCAGTGAAGTATGAGTTGGCTGCAAGTGGCCTAGCTGCTTGTCAGTGGACACTCGGAGCTCTGCATGAGGACTTGCGGATTGGCATGTGCAGAAGTAAAGTATAAAGCGCAATGTGATAGGCATTGCCCACCATAAAAACCATGAATTGCGCAATATGGTTGAAAGCTCCGGGATTACTGTTGATGATGAGCAAGCATTGGTGTGTGAACAAGCGGCGGCCTTGGCCGCCGAGCAAAGATTAGAGCGTAGTCTTGTCCTCGAAGTAGTCATGAAAGGGAGCCAAAAGCGCGTACTAGCACAATCGTAATATGTCCGAGTCCTTCCTTTGATTCTGCGGTGTCATTGTTACTGCGTGCTACTGTAAAGACGAAGTTTTGGTTCTGATTTGACTCGTACCAAAATGTTGGGCGGTCAGAGTGCAGTAGTCGTGCAATTGGCAAGTGAAGCGCTCGTCACAGAGGGATCCCCTTGGCACGCAAATTGATTCGAGAAGCAGACTTAGACTTGCAACTTCTTACTACTTCGCGACATCGTCAGGTCGAGCGCCACCTCTTTGGACAAGCCCTGCATAAAGGGCAGTGCAGTACTTGAGACGACGGCTGGAAAATCAAAGCTGGTGAACGATTTGATAAGTAGGGCACTTGCAATCACAAGAGAAGCACCGACAGACAACCACTGCGGCTGCCAGATTCGAGAACATGTGACGCGTGCGGTAGATATGTATGTATTCATACAAGAGAGCTGCAGATCCTTCGAACGACGAGAAAAACGTGAGAACAGTCGTCAAGGGAGGAAGCCGCCGAGTTTTAACAGCATGCCGCCAAGACGTCATGCGACACACGTGCACCACGTGACACCGGCACGTGGCCGGGGCGTGGCCGCTGATGGCTGCCGGTGAGAAGGCTTAGGAAGCCATTCAAGATCTTGAACGATATGTCTTGAACGATCTAGATCGTGCTGTTGGAAACGCTTCTTTGTCATCAGAATGATTGTCAGATCGAACCTAGCGTTTGCCACTAAGGCCGTCACAGAAGTCATTCGGGGTTCGAGATAAAATCGAGCCTTCTGGCGCCCGACAGAAGACGAGCAACAAGAGGCTCACAGCTGAATAAGAAGCTTCAAGAGTCGCTCCGCCTCCAATCCTGTGATTCCGCTCCTCTTTTCGAAACAGCGGAACTGTCGCCCAGAGCCCACTTGTACCACGGCCAGATCTCCTCCGCCCTAACCGCCCCCAGGTTACCCCCGCTTCCTTTCTTCCTCAAGTCGGGACAGTCCGAGGGCCTGCTCGGGGCGTCCTTCTGACCTGCCCGGGGCGTAACACGTGTCACTCCCTCATTCGTCCCCTGTAGATGGTTCGACGCGCACACGGTCCGCTTCCACTCCCTGACCAAAAGCAGGCCGCCGGGCTGGCCCTCTTGGCGCGCGGCCGCATCGTCTCCTGACGCGCGCGCGCCCTCCTCTTGCGCGCGCGCGCCTTCTTCCTGGGCGCTTGCGTCGTCCTGACCGCCCGGCGCTCCTCCTTGCGCGCGCGCAAAAGTGAGCGTTCCGTCTAAGAAGAGGTCCGTGGGCGCTCCCCTTTCTTTCAGCGCCGGAACTCGGCTGCCCACAAAGTGCCCATTCCGGCACAGGATCACTTCCGCTATTCCGTCCCGCGGAGGCTTGGGGTTCCGCTCATCTGTCGCTGGAACGATCTGGACGCCGCACTCGGAAGCAGGGGGCGCTGGGAGGATGCCCACGTGGCGCGCGGAGGGGCCCTCGTCAATAATGGCCGTTCCTTCTAGATCTGCCAGCACGGTCTGGCATTTGCCACAGACGAAGTCTACCATCTGCAACGCCATGCTTCGTGTGGAAGAGCGCTGATGGTTCCTTTGCCTGGCTTCCCTCTTCCTTTCCTTGCTCGTGATCTACAACTGAATATGGTAAGCTGCGGCCGAAGGCTACTACGGCTGGAAAGACTGCGAATTCAACAGGCTGGGTTTTCCGAGAAGGCGGGCGCTAGAGCGCTCCCGCTAGCAATAGCATAGCTTGAACGGCTCCAATTTGCAGCCCTACGTGTTTGTCACGACCTTCGACGGTCGACTTGCAACTTTGATTTCGCTTCTGCATGCGCACGAATCCAAGTTGTACGGAATTGGTGATTGACATGCATGCGCGAGGATCGTTGCATAATATACCCGAGACGGTTATCACGACATGAACTTATAAGAAAGTCGCGCGGCGGCATGTCCACACATGGATTAAAAGGCTGGATTTGCTTCGCATGGTCAGAGTCTTCAACAGGGTAATTTTGAGACCAGGAGGAAACCGAGACTTCCAGTCGCCCTTGCTCAATACCCCGGGTCAATCCGGAGCAGACTTGCTGTGCAGACACAGAACCCAAAACACTTTTACTGATTGACCACTTAATCTACATCAAAATGATTAACAACCAGGCGCAAGCTTGCAGGCTCAAAGTCACAAGAATCTAATGAACGATCCTACAATATTTAGGTCCGGGTCTGCCGGAGATAAGCCTTAACACAGCGCGCTTGCCCTAATGTGGGCCTGTGAGGGCGAGGTAAATACGTGACGACTTCAAACGCGGGCATGGACGTCGCTCCTACAAATTTCCAACCGCGTGCTTAGCTTCTTCCTATTTACAGCCGGGCCCTTTTCCAAACACGCAAGACTAGAACCATTTGGCTATCTACAGGTTCAATCAAAGCATGTCAAACACCTTCCTTTTTCACTTCGCACAGGGACTCGCAGAACGCGGCCAAGGCTTCTAGATCGCTGACACGTGTCGGTGCCCCCGCATTCAGCTCGGGCAAAGTTCCCGCAATCTCCAAGTGGCACCCATTCTCGTCAACAACACTCGAGAATGTCACACGCACAAGGATTCCCTCCTCCACTTCCGCTTCCGCATCCGCTTCCGCTTCCGAGTCTGCTTCCGCTTCCGTTCCGCTGAGCGGAAACTCCGCTACCGACTTTTCCGCCAGAAGTCTTCTTCCGTCTGACCCTGTCTCCTCCTCTTCTTCCTCTCCACTCAAGGTCAACGCTTCCATTGGCCCAATCTCGTACCCGTGTACCCTCTTCCGCTCACTCCGTTGGGGCGGCTGATTTTCCGGTCCGTTGACCGCTACCGTTCCGCCGACAGCGCTCCGCTTCCCAGTTGATTCCGCCCGTGCTCCATTCCGGGACTCTCGCCCTCCGCCGTTCCTCAGCTTCGCGGGGGACGCCAAACGCCGCAGCCCTCGGCCAAGCACAGCCAAGATTCTGACACGTGGCAAGCTCTCCTTTTCGGCCTCTGCTCCGTTCCAGGACGCAACACGTGGCAGCCCCTTAGCATACATGGCCGGTTTCCTGTCACACGCAATGCTCTGGTTTTCTGTTCGTCCGCCGTTCCAGGACGCAACACGTGGCAGCCTTTCCGGTAAGTCGGCTCGCTCTTGGCCGGCTAGCGGGCCCCCAAGTTTTCCGTTCCGCCGTTCCTTTCCGGCCGCCCGCTTCTCAAACGCCACCTTTTCGAAGCACACTCTCTTTACGACGATGCTGTCTCTTTGCCCCACTCCATTGTCTTTCTTCACCGGTTTGCTGCTCGCTTGGTTTTTTCCGTTCTCGAACCCCTCTGGTTCCGTCTTCGTTCGTTGAATCACCGGGCTTTCTGCGTTCCCATGCTGACCCGACTTCCGCTTTTCCGCTCGAGCAAGCGGGATGGGTTTGACGGATTGCACTGGCCTCTTTGCGCTCTCGCATTGCAGTAATCGTCCCTCGAAGACGCGCTTGATTTTGAAACGAGCATTCTCCACGACGAAGTTATCTGTGCAGGGAAGTATAGGGAGCTCCGGTAAGAGATCCGCGAGAAGTTTTTCTCCAACGGCCAGGTACAATTCCTAGAACTTAACCCAAAAATCCCACAGCCTAGTCTCAAAATTTTGACAAATCAAGCAGTCCCACTGAAAGGATACCAGGCACTTCGATCAGGCAGCTGATATTCCCAAAGATCAAAATACTGGTCTCTGAATGGTGAGTCGTGACACGTGCAAGAGATTCAACGAAGCAGACTGGGGAAGCTGCGGAAATTCCGATGCCTTGCCAGCTCATATTCAAGTCGGCGGATGAAAACAAACTAGTCTCCTATGTTGCGCGCCTTAGACCTTATGGCGCTCGTCTGAGTAGTCGGCTCATCCATGACCCCTGGATTCTGGTCGAAAAGCTTTGAAACTATTGGGAAGGCACTTTTTTCCTCTTCTCAGCCCATACTTTACGCTCAGCTTCCTTCATAATCCCATCAGTCTGGAGTTGGGTGGCTTACCCGCGTTTGGCGAGGAGCTCGCCACGAACGGGTGCCGCCGCCCGATCCACGCACATGCGCGCGTACTCCCACACCTCGGGCCCCAAGCCCCCGGGCTCATTCCCCGCGAGGTCGGAGCTCGCGCGCAAGCTGAGCCTGTGGTCGGGGGATCCCCCGGGGCTGATCATTGAAAGCGAGAAGAGCTCCGACGCGCCAGAGTTGACGGAACGGATCTGGAGCCGCTTGCCGGTTCCGGAATCGAAGACCAGGAAGCTGATGCGGGCGCTGGTGAGATCTTCGACGTTCGAAACGTGGAGCGAGAGCTGCTGCCGGGACGCCACGTGGCGGAAGCCGCGCGAGAGGAGGTGGGCTTCGACGGCGCCGCACACGGAGGGCGCCACGTGGTTGGAAAAGATGAGCTGGAGGTCTTCACCGGCGCCCACCTGAAAGAAGAGGAGCTGACGTCACCGATTGGGGGCCGTCTTACTTTGTTGAAACTTGGGTTCCGGTTGCGTAATCCTTTTCATTCTGATGGTTGCGCAAATGGGGATCGCTTTAAGCTCCTGAACGCTCGACCTTTACAGCTCGAGTTGAGGTCTGTTTTTTAGCGTCATACAGCGACGCAAAGTCAAACCAGAAGGCGTCAGCGCCCAGATCTGCAGTGTTCCAGAACTCATCAAAAATGGATAATCTGATACTTGCAGAAGAGCTTGAGTAATTTTAGGTGAGACTTTACAAAGCCCTCAAGCCGTCGACAAGCAAACACAGGGTCCTAAGACAATGGGGAAGACAGAAACCGCGCGGACTCCCAGTAATAATTGTCAGATTCTTCAAAGCGCCTCAACCCCCACCTTCGCACTCTTTACGAATTCGATGGGAACAGGCCCCCCAAGCAGAAAGCAGTCCCCCGGGACCCCTCCAATCCGGTGGTAAAAGAGCTGCGTTCCCAACTCGAAGTGCACTTTGATCGTGTCAAACGGCGGGGGGCCCTGAAACTGCTGAGCCGCCTCTCTCGCCGCTGCTAGTTGCTGCAAGAGGGGACCCATCTGCTCCGACGTGTGGACGCCCGGTGACGTCAGCGGACCGCCCACCGGTGATGGCGGATCGCACGTTGCCCACGTCATCTCGGAGTGCGATAATTCGCTCGATTGGGCGACCATTCCGTCTGGGTTTGGCTTTGGGTTGGTCGCCTTGTGCAAGTCGGTTATAGAAACGGAGAAAACGGGATGGGGGCTGGCTTCGAAAGCGAGGGCTGTGGGGTTGTTTCGGGGTGCGGTGCTCCGCTCGAAGTCGACGAATCCGTCGCTCTCAAAGGCAGCGCTGAAGACCTGTGTTTGGGAACGAAGGACTTTCAGGGGCAGCGCATAAAGCCTGGTTGCTTGGACAAGGTTTTCTGTGCGGAGGAGGTACTTCACAATCAACGGGAACTTTTGTTGTCTGATTGTGCAGAAGAAAGCATACACACAGCTCCTCTGCAATCAGCCAGAAAAGTGTTGAACAGAGAAGACACAGTCTGTGGCCTGCCTTCGTGTCACCAAGATCTCGGAGATTGCCGCTGGAGCTAATAACGCTTGCTTCAACATACTGGTGCTAAGTATCACCGGTTCTAAATTGCAAAGCCAATTTCGTGATCCGATGCTTTCTCAGTCATGTTATCTGGTTCCTCCTAAGTTGCGTGATAGGAAGTGCGGCCGATACTTGCCTGATGCGTCTCGGGTCCGTGTGGGTAGACAGCATTATCCCGGACAGCTCCGCCTCTCAGAAAGGAGTCAAACTTCTTCCTCACCATTTCCTCTGCTTTGCTCACCGAAGCTGCACGAGACAATGTACCCGTCACAAACAGTCAGTTTGAATAGCTGCGTTGAACTGAATCCGGGAAATTTTGGAATTGGATCTCAAAGCGGGGTTCTTTCAGTAGTGGGTGCAGGGGCCGACCCTATGCGCAATCACGAGCTTTCAGAAGGTCCGGTACAGAGAACACTTATTCAATTTATTGATGCTTTTGAACGATTCTGGGAAAGGTCAGATCTGCCCAGAAGCGGAGCCGAGCTGACCCTAATATTAAAATCTGCTTTCTGACTGTGCAAGCCAAAAGCAGGGGTGCGATAGGGACGGCTTGCAGCATATGGGAGTACGGATCTGGGTGTCAATACTTATGATTCTTTTTTAGTCTCACATTTGGATCTTTGAGAGGATTCAAGCTCAAAAAGTTCGAAAACCCAATTCCAGAAAACAATCACGGAAAGAAACAATCTTCAGAGCCCTCACATAAGCAGGATCCGGACAGCACCACAAGCCCCTGGTCCGCATCCACGTGGCAGTCCGTTCCTGTCCGGTCCCTTACACTCTCCAAAAAGCTGCTCATCAGATCCCTGACGTCCATGTTCTCAGGAAAAGGCACGCTTCGTTCTAGATCCAACGCGAACAGCCCGTTGGTATAAATCTTGTTCATGCTTCTATTGCGCAGATGCTGCAGGTTTGCAGGTATTACTTTGTTCTATCTAAGCTCGCCAAGGTCAGCAGATTCAGGTTTTCCACGCCTTCGAGGTTATACCAGCACAAATTCCAAGGGAACTTGTTTTGTTTGTCCGATCTTGGCCTTTCATCGAAAACGACGCTGTCGCAAGGACTTATGCGAGGATCTTTGTGGACTTTCCGAAGAGGCGTCTGGAAATTATAAAGCGCCAGAGATGCAGAGTAGATCGTCCATACTCAGAATCTACTGGAGAACGCCTTGAAGAGGTCGCGCCACAGTGTGCCGCCACCTCCTTGGGCTCGACTCTTGAAATATTGTTACAAGGAAGCGCTCCTCTTCTCGTTTGCAGAAAACACTTGAACATGGCAGACGGGTTCTCCCACGTTCTCCTGTCCCTAAGGCTTGTGCGATTGATCGCTTATCGGATGGCCGTTTAGTATGACCCTACATTGATGTGACAATGTGAAGCATCAAATTTGAGTCTACTCTTCTGATTCTCGACTCGCGACGATAGAATCTCAGCTTGCGTGCCACGTGCTGATCAACTGGATATAACCTCCTCCTAATACGTCGATGAAGGAAACGACTGATTAATTCAGTGGACTTATTGAGTCAATGAAAATACTTGTAGCTTCACCTACAGTCACGTTGCAGAGCGCTCACGATCTTTCTCATATGATGACACTCCGTTACTTCTCCAGAATGTTAGGAAGCACCTGAGCTTCCGTCAGTGATTTGACGTCACTGTGTTCTTACAGTGGGTTGCTCGCAGAACTTGATTCCGCACCGTTATAGCTTTTTCCATCTGTTTACCTGCCACTGATGTGACGTCACTGTGTTCCTACAATGACGGGTGCTTCGACCGAATAGGTCATCACAAGATACGTCAGCACACGTACCATAAGCAGTGATCACATGGACATATGATATGATAAGCAAGTCCCCACAATCGGCCTGGGGCTTTCTAGATAAGCGGCACGTCTCGTGTCCGTCTCAGGCCTGAGATTAGGGATTGAATTCGGACGACAAATTGGTAGCAGTAAATCTTGTGATCACCATTGATCTGACATGTGATCAGTGTTGGCCGATGCGTAACAACCTTCTTGTTCGAAAACGTCGCATATCATAAAGTCCCCTTCGAGCTTTTCATCCGGCCAAGCCAGTCGAAACAGACTTGACCTGAATTGCCACGGCTGCCCTGGTCTATCCCTCAGTAGCTCAATGACTGCGCGCCACGACCGCACAGGCAGCACGAACCTGATCACCAGTGACTGCCATATAATTTCAGTTCTCATGCGCGTAAATCCGAAGCGCTGCGCGCGTGACTGTAATGCAATGACTGTACATACGTACTGGCCGGTTGCTCTGTAAGCTCAATCGAAACCACCGGTTCAATATGATGGCTGACGGGCAAAGTTATCAGTGTGCACGATTCCGAAGTTCCCGCGCATAAAATTCTCTAATCGCTGGGCCGTCAGGTTCCTTCGTCCCAATCGCTACTATATACAGCTACACGTACTAAGCTGGAACAGAAAATCTTGTATGTGGTCGGTCGGTGGCACTGAATCGCTTTACCCTCGTAGTACATCAAGACATCATTGCATGAAACGCAGTCATACATTGGACTAGCTCGACCTGATGCGCCTGGTGGCTGCGTACTTGGATCGTTCGATTGGACGAATTGCATTCCGACTTTGACGAACTCAAAGGTTACTCCCTTCTAACTGCCGCGCTGCACCTTCGCGCCAAAGCAACAGACAAAAGAATTTACGACGGAGGATCGCGAAGCAAGTGACCTGTATAATCAGCTCATGACTCGAATGAGACTCCAAAAGAAGACCTTTTGGCAAATCTCTACTCTCTCCCGACGGATTCCAACCTCCATTAAATGGTCCATCTTCGCTTTAATCTAATGTGCGCGGAATCTCAGCCGATATCAGTCCCGGGAATCTTCTCCTTCTTAAAGCAATGCTTTTTGTGTGTCCGCCAATGAAGCAGCTGATGCTCCTTGCTGCAGGAGAAATGTGAATGTCAGCACGATTTCCAAATCATTTCGAGATTGGAGTCATGACTTCCAAGGTGAAAGACTGACTTTTTACCGCTCAGGAACAATCACAAACAGATACATAACGAACTCCTGCACGAGTGTTTCCAACACCAGTGATGCGGACTGCGACTTATAACGGACTGCATTTGACTTTCAATCATTCCCCCCCCATCCATTTGCTGCTTATTTGGCAGGTGCAGCATGTACACAAGTCAGCAAGGAGGCGTCAAGAAACAGAAATCACATTGCACAATGATCATATGCGGAACTCTACATCTGATGGTGAAAATTCTCGGACTTCAGCAAAGAAGCGGCCTTGTCGCCAGTACTCACCTGCAGTAATGCGCAACGCCGCAGCGCCCGCACTTGCTGAACTTTGTCCCAGACACATATTCCTGCTTTGTCGTGCAGTTTGATAGTGAACACGTGACTGCCATGCCATTGAAGCCCGTCTTACGCGCAAGCTTCCAGATCTCCTTATCTCCTGCCCCAAAGGCAGGAATGCTTCTGTCTTGGCCTTGGAAGAGCCTGCGTTCGAGCGGCCTCCAGAGCTCGGGGCACTGCGAATTGATTTTCTTGGTTTGGCGCTTCAAGATTGACATAAGGGCTGACTGCGCCTTCAGGATTGCAAGACCTTCCGGACTTTCCGACATTCTGAGCAGCGCCACGAGACAGGCCATGACTGCCTCCCCCTTTGCCCCTGGCTTGGTGGTTTCACAGATGGTTGTGATAACCCTCACTAACCCTGACTCCCTGAACCACTCTTGACAGTCTGGCGACACCGACAGGACGAGCATAAGCCTCGCAACCTGCGTCCGTATTCCCGTGACGGCCTCAGGGCGCGCTTTCTTGGCATGCTCGACCGACACGAGATACTCCAGAAGGGGGACGAACCTCGAAATTCCTTGCATTATCTGACGCAGCGCGGCCGACACGCGGGCCAGGTTTGCAACGAGCTCGATACCGAAGGAGGCGTACATGAGCGGGTCTGAGTCCCAATCGGGTAACGCTCTTATCAACATTGCGTTCTCCAGAAACATCTGGAACAGCCGCTGCTCAAACCCTTCATGCAGCGCTAGGCACAGTTGCGCTGCCGGCCTGCTCATTGTCACCATAGTCAGGGCACCCATGGCGGCAAACCCCAACGAGTTCCCCCCCTCTATATCAAATGCATACCCTGGCCCCGCGCCTGCTTTGTCTTTTCCCGCTAGAATCTGCCTGATCAACTTTTGGAGGACAGAACCCTGTCCGTAGATGGCCACTTCCTGTAGGAGCCTCGGAGGCCAAGTGCTGCCAGCGACTTCCGCCTCTTGCAATTCTGGACCCTTCAGCATTGCCATTGTGAGCTCATAGGAGTTGTCAGACAGAAGCTGCGAGGCAAAGTCGTCCACGTCGATAGGGTCGACCGCCATGATTGGGGACGCAAGCGGGCGCCTTCCTTGATACAATGCAGCTCAATCTGTGCTGTCTAGGAATCGGATATGCTTCTGCTTCGTCCTTGCAATACAGGCTGGCGAAGGTAGCAGATGTCTTCCTCCACGACACCCGGTAGTTGACACTGGTACAATGTTTCCACGGCGCTAGTGCGCTGAAGTTGTCGCAGTGTGAATTACCGGCTACTTTGCATAGGATTCGAGAGAAAACCCTGACGAAAGCCAGATCTGGACAATCTGCTCAGTATCTCGGTAATTGCACAATGCAGCTGGGCGGGCGCTAGTCGTCTAAGAGTTTAGCTGCAAGGAAGGAGTGAGCTTTTCTACAGGTACGGGCTGGATTGGAGGGTGGCAGAGTTGCACAGTGCTGCCGGATTGAAAAACATAGAGGGACGCTTCCCTCTTGCATTCTTGGAAAGCCTTTTCTTTGAATCGAGGCGCGTTAGTGAAATATGCATAGCTGCTCATAATCAGACATCTCAATTTGGCTAATAAGGGTTTCTAAAGCCTGCTGGAAGTTGTCAGTATGTGGTCGGCCAGGGCGCGATGGAAAGTCTGCAGTGGGACTCTGGACTCTGCAGTGGTGCTAACCCAGGGTAGTCATGCAGACTGGGAAGATGTAGAGGGAAACGAGCCTGTGCAAGCCAGTGAGCGCATGATCCTGGGTCAGCCGGACCAACCGGCTCCTTGTGAGATCACCAGTAAGTGTGAGCTCTGAAAGAGCGCTCTTCAGCGTTTCAAGCTGGTGAAGTCTATGGCGGTTCTCTGTTATGACTCGCGTGAATTTTCGTTCAAAAGGAGAGAATGCGGCGTGAAGTAGATATAGAAGAGGCCCGGTGAGAGAGCGCTCGGCAAATTCTCCCAATGGGCGCAGATTATAAGAACATCAGATATCTTGAATTTTGCACCCAGGCACAAAGATATGCACTTGCGCTTCAATGCACGCTGCTTGTATTTGGCCTTGTTCATTGAATAGGCTGAGAACACATGCCTCAACCTTCGTTGCCGGAAGGTTGTAGTGACCAACCTGACCCTTAAACTTTCCCTGTCTAACTCACAACGCTTTTCCCCTGCAGTAGACTTCCCGGAAACCTCCTTCTTTGTCTCCCTCATCAAGCTCTCCAGCACAGCACGAACCTGCGAGGTCTACTCCCGCAAACTCGGCAGCCAAGACCACGAGTACGTCTGCACGGTCCGCGGAGTGGAGCAGAAGGCCCCCCCAACCCCCCCAGCCTTTCCCACCCCCCCGGAAACTAGCCATCAGGAGTCCCCCCCACTTTCCCCAGCTTTTCCC